TCCATGGGCACCAGTGTGCTGCCAGTACCTCCTATGGTGCCTGCAAAAGATCTCAATAAATATCCCATCAATACATGAAAGACTGTTTAGTCTTCCTGCCTATTTACACTAGCTTAGCCCCTCTTACACTGAATGCATATCTTGAAAATGCCCCAATTTCATTGGATGCCTGGACTGGTCTGGACAACCATTCTCCTTTCTACTCTGAGCAGAGAATATGTGCGAAGAGCTTTTTTTTCTGTGAGTGAGCATGTTGGTGGCCGATTTAGATGCCTTTTCCACCATTGACTGGCAGGCTGATGGGAAGGAAGTCTGCACCATTTTGTGATCCTGTCTCTCTTTCTGCTCCTTCAGACATGGCAGTCATTTAGAGTTATGCCATACCCTAGGACAACCATTTTTTGACTGGACTCTGGCACTTTCCAAAAGTTCCAAATGTGCCCACTCACACAAAAAGGTTGGCAACTGTTTTCCTGTACCTGTTTTCCATTTCATGGGTTAGTGTAAGAAGTTCCTATATTGTTTAGGGGGAAAGATTTTTTTAAAATGCTTTATTGAAAGAAAAACAAACAAAAATTCATCCAAAAAGTAAAAACAGTAATATACGTTACCTCAGATCATGATAAATTCTTCTTATGTCTATAATGACTTAGGAAAAAAGATTTCAATGGTACCCGACTCCTTCCCACCCTCCTACTTCTTATCGCATGAAATCAGTGGCCCAAAAGAAGTTTCTGAGGCATCTGTTAAAATTTTCTGAAGCTTGACCAATCCGATTAGGCAGATTATACGCCATTAAAGGACAGGGCAACTAAGCACAATGTTTATCAAGGAAGCTTCTGGAAAATGAAGTCTTGCCCAAAGGCCCAGCAATGCACAACATGATGTGCTTTTAGTGCATGTGATACTGTATGATTGCAATCAGTTTCAGCTGGTCAGGAATATACCAGAATATACCCTGTCTCATGACAGAACTTTTCAGAACACAATGCAATTCAGTAACATTGTTGCTGAGTTTAGATGCTTCGGCCTGGGCAAAAACTTTTGAGGGATTTTGGGGAAAGTGAAAGTATTTGCAATAAGTGTGTGTGTGTGTGTGTGTGTGTGAGAGAGAGAGAGAGAGAGAGAGAGAGAGAGAGAACCCTGATTTCACCTAATGGGAAATATAAGGTGAAGTAAGAGTTCATTGCTTAGATAAAAACTTTATGAGAAAGCTAAAAAGGGTAAGAGTCGTCTGGAAGATGTATGTACCAAATCCTTACATATAAGCATAAGAACTGCTGGATCAGCCAAGCATTCAGTTCCCCATAGTGGCCAACCACTTCATGGTTTACCATGCATATTTCTCAGTACACAGACACAGAAAAAGGCAAGCCAAATTACCAAAGGACTGGAGCAACTTCTATCTGAGGAAAGGTTCTATATGGGGCTTTTTAGGAGGAAAAATAAGTCAGGGGAGACAAGATACAGGTGTATAGCAGTATCATTTATATCATTTTAACACAACACTATACAAAAGTACATATGGAGAAGTTTTTTCTTCCTGTCTCATAATATTAGAACTTGGGACCATCAGGACGGACAAGTAGTTTTTCATACAGCGCATTGTTAATCTATGCAATTCACTTGCACAGAATGTAGTGGTGGTCACCAACTTGAATGGCTTTAAAAGAGTATTAGACTAATTCATGGAGGATAAGGCAATCAGTAGCTACCAGGCTCAGTTGCTATGTTGGAGGCAGGATGCCTCTGAATACCAATTACTGGGAATCACAAATGGGTAGTGCTGTTGCACTCTGCTCCTGCTTGTGAACTTCCCATAGGCATCTGGTTTGCCACTGTAATAACAGGATGCAGAACTAGATAGGGTTTTGATCTGATCCAGTAGGACTCTTCTTATGCTCTCATTATTCCACACAAGATGTGCAGATGGTGATTTGCTTAGTGCTTATCTTACGTGATTCCCATTTCAAGTAGAGTGTCTCATCTCATTTATATCATTCCAGCTCAGAAAATCCATTTTCATATTTTGCAATGTTTTTAATGCTCCTGGGCAAGAAACTGAATGGACAACCAGTGAGATTGATTGAATGAATTCCAAGGTCACAGGACTTTGGTCCACAAGATAGAACACCAGTGGCTTTTGGCATTAGGACTGCAGTATGCTAATCTTCAGAATCCTAAAATTCATATCACCTTCCATTGTCAAGCAAGTGACCCTAATTAAGAATGACAAGTTTGTTCTTCCAATTTGTCCTCAAGCATATTTCATTCCCACTGTAAAACTAGCTCTTATCATTCTGAGTTTATGATTGTCCTGTACTTAACTGTTAAAATCAAATGCTGCTTCTTGTGGCAGGTTTGCGCAAAACAGAAGTCATAAACAAATGAACAACATTGTTTATCACCCCAATAAGCAGGATGTGTTTATTAAATATGACAAGTGCAAATTTTATTGCTAGAAAACAGAATCATGTACTCTGCTGCTAGAGGTTAGAAAGGACTGCACCAAACAATAATGAAAAGAGAAATGAAAGTTTGGACCAAACATTCTGTTCCTATGAAAGCAAACAGGAAAGTTTCAGTTAACTTTATTGGGGCACTCTTAGTTGCCTGGCAACATTTCCCTTAGTGTGTCATGCATCTGAACCTGAAAGTTTCAAGAGAAAGTTAGATGACACAAGCTGAGATGTGGTTTGTAGATACGACAGACCTTGCAAAAAAGACATTTCTGGTCCTGATATATTATGAGGTGTGTGAAACATTTGTGTGTGTTCCTGAGCAGTTTTCTAACTTTGTTTCATGAACAATTGTAAGGGCTTATGCGGTGAGAAGAATGATAAGAAAGACAGCTTGCCCTGAATTACTGATCTCCTCTCTGCAGTGCATTGAGTCCAGGAAATAACATGGTTATTATTTATTAGGGTTATATGAAGCCTCCAGATTTGGAGGCAATATGCCACTGAACACTAGTTGCTACAGTTGGCGAGGACTAACCTTCCATTTACACTGCATGACCCGTTGCACTACGGAACTGTGGCTTCTTGATCACTATACTGCCATGTCACATTTACTTTCATTCACACCAGTGGGTGTAGTGTGACACTACAGCAGGTGCCATTATACATGTCATAACTATAACATGCATGCATGCTTTGGTCCTCATTTCCCCTTGCAGGAAAGAGCTATATACCAGAATACTGCTGCAAATTTTGTCACATGGCATGTTCCATTAAAGCAGGGTGAGGAATTACAGTGCAAAACTCCAACTATTTTGTGTGTTAATGGGGTTGCAAACAGATATTTTTTTCTGGAAGCAATTAACACAAAAAGGAGCACCAAACTTCTGCTAGATTTCCAGAAGCGACTTTTAGATTGTGTGAAACCTCACATAAAATGTAAACATTATCAGGTAAGGAAACGTCCGGAAAATGGAATAAAGTGCTGTCTAAATGCAGGTACAACACAATTAACATTTGAAAGTAAATTCATCACTTGGAAAATAGCTTAACTATGGGTGTGATTGACCGAGGTAGTTCCATTAGTGCAAAAACTTCTGGCTGATGAAAGGAACTTCCCCTCCGTCTCCTCTCCCCATGCCTAAATAAATTTGCCGAAGTAAATTTAAAATGACTTGTTAGTTTACATTGTGTAATGCCTTTTAATGTGATTCACACTGTGATTTAATTAGAGCAGTAGTTATGAACATTTTATTATTAAAAGGTGACAGTTGCTCACAATAGGTCCATTGACAGCTACTACCCCGAAAACCTGGTGGATCATGAAAGCATGCTGTGTACTTTTGAGAACCATCTTCTAACACTCTCCTCTCCTCTGTTCCAAAACTGTGGTGGCTTCCAAGGGGTTGCTGAGATGTATAGTTTGAATTCTCCAGCACCTCTGCTACTGAAGAGGACTCATTGGGGCACTCCATCTGGTTCATTTCTGCTGAGCAACAAAGTAAACTCCATACTTGACTAAGAGGAAGAGGTATGAGTTGGAGTGGGACTGTGAGTTTAGATGCTTAATGTTGGAAGGGTGCTTACCTTTACTTACCTGCTAATGACAAGCTGCTATCCTGATCAGTCAGGTTACACTTTGTTTCCTTAGTATTTATTTACATAGTACATTAATGCTCCTGTTTCCTTCCATCGTGGAACTCAAGATGGCATAGCCTTCTCAGGTAGTCTTTCATCCAAGCACTGCCCGGACCAGACCTGCTTATCTTCAACAAGATAGTTGCATCATATTCCCCCCAGGCCATACCCTGGCACATTTTATATTCACCCTGAAATCAGTCACCTCCTATTCCCAGCAATGCAATATTTTATACAATTGTACAGGCCAGATCTTATTGTGACTTATGTCTGATGAAGGCCCGCATTCCTGAGCACACCTGCAGACTGAGCATATATGCATGCTTCCTGAAAAGAACACCCCGCCGACTTCATTCCGCAGGAAGTGTCACAGGATAGTGGCCATCCTGTGGCATCCAAGCGGCCGCGACACATTAATGTGGCCGGGGGGCAGACAGCTTTAAGAGTTGCGTGGTGCAGAAGAGGGAATCCGGTACAGCTTCTCCTGAAGCGGCGCGGCAATCTCCCCTTTCCATGCAGCCATTAAAGGCGCAAGGGCTCTTTTTCGTTTCGCCACCCTAAGCCCGAGAAGGCTCCCTACTATCTCTAGCGAGACCCTCCCCTCTGTGGAAAAAGACCCCCTGTTGAATTCGACGGGGCTCAGTCCCATGTCTGCGGGCGTTAGGCCAGCCTAACCAAAACAGGGCAGCAGCGTGAGGGCCACAGAGCGCCAGCCTCCTTTGCGCCTTACAGCGTCGGGCTGAGAGGCGGGGAGGAGCTGGAGCCGAGGAGGAGGAGGCGGCGGCGGCTGTTGGTGCTCCTCCGCCCGCGCTGCCTCCGCCCCTCCATGGAGTTTTATAACTTGCCGGGTTTCCGCGTCCTGTGACTCCGGTCAGGTGGTTCCCTCGCTCTCCGGAGCCGCCTGCAGGAGGACGCGCCTTCCCACCAGAAAAGAAGGAGTTGAACAAAGAAAGTTTGCCGAGCGGTCGCAACAAAGCTCTAGGAACCTTCCCCTTCTCGCCCGGCTCCCCCTGAGTGTCGCTGGCGGCTGGGCAGCTCCCGGGGGAAGGCGGGCAGGCAGGCGGGCGAGGGGCGCGAGAATGGCGGGGGGAGGCGAGAGAGGCGGCGGCGCGGGGCTGCCGGAGAGCCGGGAGCATCTGTTCAAGGTGCTGGTTATCGGCGAGCTGGGCGTGGGCAAGACGAGCATCATCAAGCGCTACGTGCACCAGCTCTTCTCGCAGCACTACCGGGCCACCATCGGCGTGGACTTCGCCCTGAAAGTGCTCAACTGGGATAGCAGGACCCTGGTGAGGCTGCAGCTGTGGGACATCGCAGGTGAGGAGGCGACAGGCGGGCGATGCCGGCTCTTGTATGGAAAAGGCGCTCTGCATGTGCTCGGAGGCCATCCCTCGTTATGCGGGCTTTATGCGGGCTTGAGTAGAAGCTTGCTTTTGGTTTTGCTTACTTGGATGGAAAGTCAGTGTGATGTAGTGGAGAGAGGGCCGGGCTTCTCCGGGGAAGATGCAAGTTCGTATTCCTGCTCACGGGGTGTATCTAGGTCAGCCAGTTTCTGTTTCGGCCTTAACTCGCCTTATAGGATGGGCATGATCAGTAGGGTAAGTAGAATTCATATATGCCACTCAGAGCTGCTTGGAGGGGGGTTACCCCAATGGGTCTGCCATTATTTACTTGTTGGGGAGGGGGAAGAGCCACTTTCTGCCTTTCAAGTTTCTAAATGCATATGTTTGTGTTATGTGGAGATAGTTTGATAAAGTTTTTCATGTATGTATCTTACCTATGCTTTTCCATGCACACAAGTTGTAGTCTTTTGTATATACCCACATGCAAGCAGAGGTACTAAGCCTTAATGTGTAAAGTATGTATATGTGTAAACTTTTAAAACATGGGCATAGGTTAAAGGTCTGAATGTGTGACAGCTGTGGAGGTTGTGGGGCTTCGAAGATGTTGCTACTCTTGTGTTGCATTCTCGAGTTTCCAGAAGTTATCAGTATCAGCTTAACTAAAATATTTCTAAGTATACTTTTTACATTATTCCAGACTTCTGGTGAAGTGTGTTAAAAACTCTGGATTTTGGAAATGAGTGTTATTCTTTATGATTTATGGCAGTTGCTGTGTTGTTCAATAAAAGGTGTTACTTCTTGTTTTAGACAAACTTCTAGTAACTGTAAGTTGCAGGGAGCTTTTGGTGTGGCATTTTCTTCAGTTGCTTCACTACAAGGATGTAGTCTTGAAAGGGAAGTCTTCCCAGTTTTGCAAAATTCGTTGTAATAGTCTCTTCGGTTCCTCTTTTCCTTTGCTAGCTCCCACTTTGCTCTACCTTTTAAGACTACAAACTGTTTTATATAGCAGTGGAATGCAAGAAGGATTTCTTTTTCATCTGCCAAGTTGACAACCTTCCAGTTATGGGATCAGCATTCTCTTCCTAGTACCCGCTCCCTCTCCACAACTGAGTCCAGCAACTATTTATCATAGAGTGGGTCAGTTAGGGCGAAAGCTACTATAACTGCAATCCACCCCACTCTTAATTTAAAGAAGTAATGTGATTACTGCAAACCTTTTGCTCTTCTGTCCTTTTAGTTGGTTGAATTGATGTGATCAGCTTTGAATTGGGGGTGATGCATAGGCCGATTTGCAATGACATATTTGGATAGGCCAGATTGCATGCAGCGGCATTTGAGTTTTGCAAGTGTACTTTAACCTGGGTGGCATCAGGCAAGTTGCTCACCTTCAAATACTAGCCTGTAAAAGTGAATCATAATGACTAACCTAATAAGGTTGCTAGGACTGTAAAGCAGCCTTTATATAAACGTACTGTTAAAAACTCCATTCTGATAGTTGATTAAAAATGAAGGCTGGTCACTTCTCTTTTGAACATTTGTGTTACCAAAGCAGCCACTAATATGGGGAGTATTTATATTGGTGTGATTTTTCCAAATCCGCTGGTAGCCTAGAAATGGTTCTTGTTACATATACTTACATTTACACAACCAGTACAATTTAACAGTGCTAACAAGCACCACCTGTAATTTCTCTGTTGTTGTTAGTGCCTAATTTGGGGGCGGGATGGGGGAGTGGGTCTGATGATTGATCTCAGAGTCATTTGTAATAGCTCAGCAAAGGTTTCTGACACCTAGTTGTTAAAGAGCAGCAGTAAAATGACTTTCCCAGCTAAATTAGGCTGTTGAATGAAACAAGCAAATCAGGAATGGATTTTTGTGTGAAAGAACTATGAACTTGGTACAGTTTGGCATGGAAAAAGAATTCCTGGACTCAGAATATGCTCTGAGGGAACTTGTTGATTAATTTTAACAGTATGTCCTTTGCATCTGATTCTGATGGGTAGGTCTTTGTGTTCTTCTAGTAAACAAAAGTACGTCCGACAAGCCTGCCCACCCCAGGTGTAATGGTTGAAAAAATAGAACACCAGTGTTCAGTAACATATATATGAGTCTCAACTGACAGCCAAACTGTTGCAAATGTTTGTTTCAGATGCTGGGTTTCATCGAGTTCTATTGAAATTATCTTTTCAAGATGAGGTTGCAGATTGATGTACTGATCTGTAGATATTGGGTGTTTTTGATGTAGTCTTTTATTTTTATTTCTCTTAAGGCTGTTCTACAACAATAAATCTAAATAGTGTTTATTGTTTTCCTCAATAGAACAACAGAAAATGACAACCTGTTGGCAGTACTAATGAGACTGATGGTAAAGGACTAAGTTTCAGATATTCCACATCCCAACCTTTTTCCCAGACAGCATCAGAGATGGGAATAGGCATGACAGGGACAGAGATAAATGAAGATATCCTATAACTGCCTTCATTCAGCACTCGGCGTAACTTATGCCAGCAGAGTCACTGGTGTAACTGAAATGCACCACATAGGAGTCAGTGGAAGGGAAGCTAGTGAAGGTTTGTGCAGGCCCCCCACCCACCGCAGAAAAAACAAAGCAAAAACATGGCCAGAAGCAGTTAGAATGTGGCTTATGTCGCACCAGAGATACACGGGCATATCTTCCTGGTTAGAATTCCGTTGTGACTGTTGTATTTTCATCACATCAGGATGAGAGAATTGGCTAGTTTAAGTCTCTTGTCCAGTTAGTTCTGAAGCACAGTGTGTGAAGAACCAAATTCTGGTCTCCAAAGCTTTGTGTTACTTAATGGTCTGATCTTTCTGTGGTCTGGCACCTTTCAGTTTTCAGCTAATCAGTGCCATGAAATGTACTTGTAATTGGTTGCGCTTCATAAGTTAATGAAGTGCAAGTCAGTAGAGCGAAACATAACAATGCAGAGAATGCAACCTACCTGGCAAGGAGCCCGCTGAACCAATGTGTTCCTTTTGTCAGTCCCCTAGATGTTTTGAAGTGTGTCCAAAACAATTTTGCACTGCACTTTCTACAGAAGTGGTTACCCCAATAACAGAACAATATAAACATTGCAAGATACAAACACAGCGATCACGTGAAGTACTGAAACCATACGTTCTTGGAGAAACTGCCAAAATGGAAAAAGCTGAAGTTTTACTAAAGTGGCTGTGTAAATTCTGATTATTCCTTTTATGAGCAGACAGTCTTCCACACAGCAGTAGAAACTCATATATATGTAAACTAGGCACAAAATGGCTCCTCAAACCAGGGTCACAGTCACCAAAATGGAATGCCTTGTTCCATTTTTGGGCCAGACAGGTCGGAAGTAGTATTTTTCAATCGATTTTTTGGTTCCTGAAATTCATTCTGATTGTAGATGAAATATAATGGATAGAATTCTACAGGATGTGTTGCTAGTGCAAAGATCCCCAGGCATGTACCTCCAGATGGTGGAGACATCAGGTGCCATCTGTTGCCAAGAAGTGGTCAATAGCCAGGTGCAAAATGTGCCTGGCAACCTTCAAACTCTGCTTCCATGCAAGCAAGTCTCCCTGTCTGCCCATAGAAAGCTTCAAGCCGTTCAACCTATTTGTACTTGCAAGATGCCATTCAAAATCTTGTGACATACAGCCATTACTAATGTAACTTAATTTCAAGTGGATTTATTGTTACATGCTGAATTTTAAGGCCAGGAAATATGTGTGCCCAAATTAGGTTACTGAGGCATCTGAGTTGATGATTGCAACCAGGGAAGCTAAAGCACACATGTCCGACAAGAGCCACTCTGACCCTAGAGCTGATTATCTTCTGAGAGAAACAAGTAGGATCTACAACAAAATATTGACATTATGGACTGCTCTACTTCTATTTTCCTGCCAATGCTTTCTTACAGGATACTCCAATCCATTAGTAAAGAGACCCCTGACCATTAGGTCCAGTCGTGACCGACTCTGGGGTTGCGGCACTCATCTTGCTCTATAGGCCAAGGGAGCCGGCGTACAGCTTCCAGGTCATGTGGCCAGCATGACTAAGCCGCTTCTGGCAAACCAGAGCAGCACACGGAAATGCCATTTACCTTCCCGCCAGAGCAGTACCTATTTATCTACTTGCGCTTTGACATGCTTTCGAACTGCTAGGTTGGCAGGAGCAGGGACCGAGCAACGGGAGCTCACCCCATCGTGGGGATTCAAACCGCCAACCTTCTGATCGGCAAGTCCTAGGCTCTGTGGTTTAACCCACAGCGCCACCCGCGTATTAGCACACTAATGCAAAACTTGGAGTTGCTTAAACATACTGATGTTCCCTCTTTTCCCCCTCACTGACTGCACTTGAACTCCTGTTGATGCTTCCCAGCTGAGTTTGCTATAAGAGGAAATAATGGAGGTTAGAAGTAGAGGTTCCAAGAATATTGGGGGGGGGGGTGAATGTTGTGTGTCCCCTGCAATGGGGCAAGCCCTTAACTAGGCTCTAATCTTGGTACATTCTAATGTCAGTGTGTGTATGTGCATTACAAAACCTCATGCTAGCACAAGTTGCCCAGGATTTCCTAGTTTACTATTCCAGCATAATTTACATTGCCATCCGTTTAAAATTGGGAACGAAGTTTTCTATGGGCTCTTATTTCAATGTTTGTTGATTTCAACAACTTTGTTTTTGTTTTTCATGATAGTCGGCAGGACCCAACTCTTTTAAATGTTAAATCATGAGGGGTTTGGGGTGGGAAGGTGAGGAAAGCATTTAGAAGCAAATTCTATTAAATTCAGTGTGACTTTCAGTGTAATCCTCAACATGACTACTCAAAAGCAAGCTCAGATCAACTCAGTGGGGTTTACTTCCAGGTAACAAATTATAGGATTATGGCAGTGATGGCCAAACTTGGCCCTCAAGCTGTTTGGGGACTACAATTCCCATCATCTCTGACCACTGGTCCTGTTAGCTAGAGATGATGGGAGTTGCAGTCCCAAAACAACTGGAGGGCCAAGTTTGGACATCACTGCCATAATCCCATTGCAGGGGACGCATACTTGTAAAGGAAATGGTGTGGTGATGCATACAACCAGCAGAGCGTCTGGGTGCAGAGACCCCTGCAGGGAAAGAGACTGTTCTGTGGCAAGAGAACTAATAGTGTGAGCAGTACAGTGGTGCCTCGCAAGACGAAATTAATTCGTTCCACGAGTTTTGTCCTCTTGCGATTTTTTTCGTCTTGCGAAGCACGGTGTCGGGAAAGTTTTGGAAAAGCTTCAAAAACCACCAAAGTCTTTAAAAACCTCAAAAAAGGCTACCACACCGCGTTCTATGAGTTGCTCCTCGAAGTCAAGTCACAACTGTATTAACGGTGTTAAGAAAAAGGAAACAAACTTGCAAGACGTTTCCGTCATGCGAAGCAAGCCCATAGGGAAAATCGTCTTGCGAAGCAGCTCAAAAAACAAAAAACCCTTTCGTCTAGCGAGTTTTTTGTCTTGCGAGGCATTCGTCTTGCGAGGTACCACTGTAATGAAGAGCAGGCAGGCTGTGAGAAAGTTATAGTAGGGATATGAGGCTGCTGCTCAACTGTTTGCTAGGCTGAATATGTGGTGCTTGGAAGTTGCCTCTCCAAGGAGAGTATCCACCTTAGGCTAATGAGAAGTGGTTGAGCAGCTAACAGGAGTGTTTGAGCAACAGAGTTTTTAAAAATAAAAAGTACATGGCAGTAGACTTCTCTTAACTTGATGAAGATAAATGAGACTCTATTTTATTTTACAGTAGTCTCAAATTAAAAATCTTCTTTTTCACTTGAAGAATTCAAAAGGAACAAAGCACCACAATGATAATCTCTTAACCATTCCTCTGACAACTCACCTAAAAGAATTGTAGGCTGCAGATGTGTGTCTATTCGGCAGAAAGTGAGGAGGAATTAAAGAACCTTTTAATGAGGGTGAAAGAGGAGAGCGCAAAATATGGTCTGAAGCTCAACATCAAAAAAATGAAGATCATGGCCACTGGTCCCAACACCTCCTGGCAAATAGAAGGGGAAGAAATGGAGGTAGTGAGAGATTTTACTTTCTTGGGCTCCATGATCACTGCAGATGGTGACAGCAGTCACGAAATTAAAAGACGCCTGCTCCTTGGGAGAAAGCTATGGTTTTCCCAGTAGTGATGTATGGAAGTGAGAGCTGGACCATAAAGAAGGCTGATCGCCGAAGAATTGATGCTTTTGAATTATGGTGCTGGAGGAGACTCTTGAGAGTCCCATGGACTGAAAGAAGATCAAACGTATCCATTCTTAAGGAAATCGGCCCTGAGTGCTCACTGGAAGGACAGATCGTGAAGCTGAGGCTCCAATACTTTGGCCACCTCATGAGAAGAGAAGACTCCCTGGAAAAGACCCTGATGTTGGGAAAGATGGAGGCCACAAGGAGAAGGGGACGACAGAGGACGAGATGGTTGGACGGTGTTCTCGAAGCTACAAACATGAGTCTGACCAAACTGCGGGAGGCAGTGGAAGACAGGAGTGCCTGGCGTGCTCTGGTCCATGGGGTCACGAAGAGTCGGACACGACTAAATGACTAAACAGCTACCAAATGAATGTTTCGCAGCAGTAAATATGTTCAATATTTGGGGTGCATGCAGATAGTAAATGGAAGGGTCACAATGTTCCTACAGATGAGTTCCAGTTGTCAGATGCATTCATAAACTAAACGTGCAAGTTCTTAGTAAAGCTTGCCCTTTAGAAAAAGGGAGTGACGGTCCAGAGTGAGCATGTGATAGTCATTCTCTTTAATTTTTCATATTGTCTGTCTTTGTAGTATTGATGTGTGGCGACAGGCAAAATAATTCTAGGCTTGTTTTGTTTTTTAAAATGAAATGTGGGTATTTGAAGCAAATAGGAAAATGACTCATCTACATAAAATCAAGCTTAAAATCAATCAAAGTTGGTATTTATATCATGTATAAAAACAAACTGTATTTTCAAATGGAAATGCGTGGCTAACTGGGGGTAGAGAATTTAATTGCAGGAATCAAGAGTCAGTTGAGACTGTTTCAGTAGACATATGATGGCTGCTGGTGGTGTATAAGACTTGGTACATACTTCCATGCCTTTTCTTTTTAGAGCTTTGGTGGGCGCAAGTGCTGCCCGCAAGTAATTTTTTTGTAGCCACCCTTTGGTTGGCTGTGAGTCTGCCTCTCAATCCAAAGCCCTTTCTGAATGGGCTGACTGGGAATCCAGGGATGGTCCAGCTGAAGTGGGGAAAGGAATACGAAGGCTACCTCGTCTACGTTGATGGCTACAAGAACATGCAGCTTGCAAATACAAAAGAATATACTGATGGTGCATTATCTGGACACCTTGGTGAAGTTCTGATAAGGTGCAACAATGTCCTTTATAATACAGTGGTACCTCGGGTTACATACGCTTCAGGTTACAGACTCCGCTAACCCAGAAATAGTACCTCGGGTTAAGAACTTTGCTTCAGGATGAGAACAAAAATCATGCTCCGGCAGCGTGGCGGCAGTGGGAGGCCCCATTAGCTAAAGTGGTGCTTCAGGTTAAGAACAGTTTCAGGTTAAGAACGGACCTCCGGAACAAATTAAGTACTTAACCCGAGGTACCACTATAAGGGGTGTGAAAGAAGATGGAGAAATGACAGAATAACTATTTTGGACTGTGTTAATAAATTTAGCTGTTAGGTTTTGTGTTTTTGTTTTTATATGAGAGACTTTGTACATAACTGCGTTGGCCATTCTTCAGCGAGTACTAAGTGCAGCCAGTAGGATAAAACTACAGCATTAATTTAGGGCTCATCCACACTTTTTGCCCTGTGCTTTCAAGGCACAAGTCTGTGTTTTAAACCTCTGTGCCCAAGCACTTCCCTCCCCCCACCTCTTTCCACAGGAAAACCTGCTCTTTAACATTGAATCGGAATTAATGGAAATTTGGGTTTTCAACTAATTGCCATTTGATTCGATTCAGCAGTAAAAAGTTGGTTTTTATGGGGAAAGTGCTGGGAGGTAAGGAGTAGAGCTTTAAGTGCGTACCTGTGTCTAGAAACCCGGCAGAAAAGAAAGTATGGATGAGCCCGTAGAAATGCATACCAGAACTATTGGGAAAGGTACTTGACAGAGCATCAGGCTTGGAATTGATCATGACAGCATGTTCCCCCCCCCCCCAACAAACCCTAAGCACAAATCTTGAAGAAAGCTTTTCCATATTTATCTTTTGCTGGTATTTAGCACCCTTAAGGCTTAACAGGGTAGAGAGGAGAACAAATATACGCTGAAGGTGTAAATTGTGAGCCACGCTGATATGTCTGGTATTTTTGGTTCTGCCTGAAAATTTAAGCCTTCTGCAGAGTCATAATAAATTAAATCAAACTTGCAACAGGATATGTCTCTTCTGAACACTCATTAATCTTGTCATTTGGCTATGCGTGATTTGGTTATGTCAACGGATATAGGATTGTTACTTCATTTATTAGCAGTGGCACATATGGCAACTTGTTTTAACTGGGGGGAAGACTCAAGGACTCCTTTATCAGACGAGTGGATTTTGCAGGTCTGGGAATTGGCAAATACATTCTAATGTAATGATTATATGACAGTGAGGGAAGGTGGACAATCTAATGATTTGTTTATTGAAAAATAGAATTCTGCTTATCCTGTACTGGTGCCATAAAATGTGACAATTTCCATCCGCATTTAGGAACACCATAAAAATATATTGAATGGATTTACTACTGAGTATTTGGGAAGAATTTATGGATAACAGAAAGTTTTGTTTACTTATATTGCGATAATTATTCATCTGGCTATTTTGTCTTTATAATTATTTTGTTACATCACCTTTTACTATACTTTTCATTGTAATAATAATAAAAATTTAAAGTAAATTGGTAACTGGTAAGTAAAAAACATGCCTGCGAGCGAGTGGAGTTAGGGAATGTGCATATTCTGGATAGGATTGTATTCCCTCCAAAGATATGGGTATCCAGTCTGAGGAGACTCCTTGATCCATTTTCATCACTGGAAGCCCAAGCAACCTCTGTGTCTAACGAGTGCCTTTTGCCTATTTCAGCCAGTGCACCAGCAATAACCATTGGCTACTAAAGCCTGGCCACAGTACATTAGCAACCTCAAGACTAGGCTACTGCAAATGAGTTTTGTGTGGGGTTGCCCTTAAGACTGGCCCAGAAGCTGCAATTGGTGCACAGTGCAGTGGTTGAGTTGCTAAGTGGGCCATCCTGTTGTGCATGCGTAGGCAAACTAAGGCCCGGGGGCCAGATCCAGCCCAATCGCCTTCTAAATCCAGCCCACGGACGGTCCGGGAATCAACGTGTTTTTACATGAGTAGAATGTGTGATTTTATTTAAAATGCATCTCTGGGTTATTTGTGGGGCATAGGAATTCATTCATTATTTTTTTCCAAAATGTAGCCCGGCCCCCCACAAGGTCTGAGGGACAGTGGAACAGCCCCCTGCTGAAAAAGTTTGCTGACCCCTGCAAGTATTGCACGTATATATGACTCCTGCCTTAAAAAAAATTTGCATTAGCTGCCAAGCTAGTCTGAAAAGGCTTCATATGCAAGAGCTGTTGCAGGAGAAGTCCTCGCCACGACCCAAGGCACTGTGAAACTAGGTATATATTTACAAGGGGCTTTAGGCAGTTGTGCCTTGAACAGTAGTCCCGTATGAGAAATCACACATTTTTAAAAAAAATGGTGGGGGAGGGGAGAGAATTGGGACTTGTACTGTGCCTGCTACCGTATTTTTCGCCCTATAAGACGCACCAGACCATAAGACGCACCTAGTTTTTGGAGGAGGAAAACAAGAAAAAAAATATTTTGAATCCCAGAAGCCAGAACAGCAAGAGGGATCGCTGCTCAGCGAAAGCAGTGATCCCTCTTGCTGTTCTGGCTTCTGGGATAGCTGCGCAGCCTGCATTCTCTCCATAAGACACATACACATTTCCCCTTACTTTTTAGGAGGGAAAAAGTGCGTCTTATAGAGCAAAAAATATGGTAATTGCTGCTTGCTTGCTTGCTTGTCTCCTCAATTTTAAAGCAGAATTTTTTGTTTAAAAGTTGGAAAAAGCTGCTCTTGGGTGGAGGTGGGTAAACTTGCCACTCATTTGAATACACAGCTGTTTCCCCATATGCTTCATCCTGGAAAGAAGGCTTAAACATATAAATAAATAGCCTTTGGAAGACCGATTGGCAGGAGTAGCAGTCCAAAACATCTAGAGGGTAACATGTTGACAAATGCCGAATGAAAGCATGTTTATTTCCCCTTTTGCAGTAGACTTCCTCCTATGTATGCACTATGAGTGTATGCACTATGTATGCACTATGAGAAGGCAGGCTCCTCTTGATCCCGGCCCAAGTATGTTACTTGCTTAATACAGGTTGTGGATTGCAAGAGCAGATCACAGTGTCCCAGTTCAGACACAACTGCCACAGAAGGACTTCCAGAAATGAGTAGTGTGTGCTAATGTAAGACTTAAGCAAAAGTCCCTGAGGTCTTGTGGCTTGTGGCTTTAGTTTTAGTTTTGCTCTTGTGGAAAGACATGGTAAAATGTAGAAGTGACTATTCATTCTTTTTATCACATGAGCTAAGTCTTGTGAATGGAGATCCATTAGCCTGAGTTTTAAGCTTATTTTCAAGACTCCTGATTAAGCAAGATAAAAAGGAAGTGCTGTTTTGTGTAAATGAGTGGTTTCAGCTCGATTTTGAATTAGAAATTTGTTTCCTCTAAAGCAGAATAATATGTTCAAGCTTGTGCCGGTGTGCAAGTCTAGGGACTGGGGGTTCAAATCACAGGCCGCCAGAAGTTGATGAACATCTGAGGCTAACTAGAAAAACAGGAAAAGTCACAGAAAATAGCTGCAGTGCTTGTGTCTACCCACTAACCTTTCCCCAGTTGTTTTAAAAGAGTATGTCTTGAAGATACTTTGTCCACTTTTCAAAACGTATAAACAACATCACCAGAGTAGGAGGTAACAAAACAAACAAACAAATTCCCCAAAGAAAATTATAAAGTTGCAAATTAAAATGGCTAAAAATGAAAAACACAGAAGCGGGATAAAATCCAGATCTAAAAGCAGCAGGATGGAATCACTTGGTATAATTTCTAGGCACTGACATGAAATCAGCTGGGTAAATAAAATAGTCTTGGCATGACAGTTGAGAGGAATGGTGCCAAGTGGGTCTCTGTATCCAATAATAATATCATGGAGGCCCAAATGTCCACTTGGCCATTAAGGCTTCTGGGTGCCCTTGACAAGTCATCCGTGGTGGTGGACTGGTGATAAGTGGACTGAAGATGGTGGAGCATTAAAGTCTTAATCTCAGGGCCATGGGTTTCAGCCCCATGTTGGCAAAAAGATTCCTGCATTGCAGGAGGTTGGAGTAGATGGCCCGTGGTCCCATGATGCACAACCACCCTAGGAAGAAGCACCTGTAGCAAAGAACCCAAACATCGGGTCCCTTGCTTCCCTGCAAGGAAGCTGGGAGGCAAGCACTTGCAGTGCAAATTAAGTTACTTCCAGTGCAAAGCTTGCCAGGACAATCGTAGAAGGGCACTGTCTTGACTGTGAGCAGAAGAATCACAAGCCTCCAACTGTAAATCTAAAATGAGAAACAGAAGAGACTAGCAAAATTAGACGGGGATATGAGTTTTAAAGCTACAGTGGTGCCCCGCAAGAGGAATGCCTCGCAAGACGAAAAACTCGCTAGACGAAAGAGTTTTCCGTTTTTTGAGTCGTTCTGCAAGACGAATTTCCCTATGGGCTTGCTTCGCAAGACGAAACGTCTTGCGAGTTTGTTTCCTTTTTCTTAAAGCCGCTAAGCCGTTAATAGCCTCTAAGCCGTTAATAGCCGCTAAGCCGCTAATAGCCGTGCTTCGCAAGACGAAAAAACCGCAAGACGAAGAGACTCGCGGAACGGATTAATTTCGTCTTGCGAGGGACCACTGTATGTCAAACGGCTCCCCAAGTCTGCTTAGATTAGGTAGCAGAAGGTGTTGAAAGGATACTGAGGTAGAAGGGGTTTCCTTTCAGATATTGTTAGCAACATAGTGTGCATGTCTCCAAGTCAAGTGGAGCTCTTAAGTTTAGTTTATGCAATTTCTTAGATGTCATTTCCAAAACAAGACTCATGGCATTGCAGAGCAGTTAAAATGCACTAAAGTTCAAAACAGTGCAACCCCACCCCCATCCCAACACACTAACACACCAGGGATAACATGAGTGGAGGCCAGTACAGTGGTACCTCTAGTTATGAACTTAATTCATTCTGGAGGTCCATTCTTAACCTGAGACTGTTCTTAACTAGAGGTGTGTTTTCGCTAATGGGGCCTCTTGCTGCCGCTGCGCCGCCAGCACACTATTTCCATTCTCATCCTGGGGCAAAGTTCTCAACTCGAGGTAACTCTTCCAGGTTAGTGGAGTTTGTAACCTGAAGCGTTTGTAACCTGAGGCGTTTGTAACTCGAGGTACCACTGTATGTATGAAATCAGCCCCTTGTATCACATTTTATGCAAATTCCTGACTTGCTTGAATTCAGTTCAGTGGATTCATGTGTGTGGCTAAGAAAATGGTAGCCTGGAGAGAAGAACAAGCTGCACATGACTCTGGCCCTGAAATTTCTCTGCTAGACACAAATAAGTCAAATAACTTACAGAACATTTTAGCAGTTAGTTCAAGTCTCTTAAAAGGAACCGGGAAGAAGCACGCACCAGAGGTTACAACACCTCCCTCTGTATAAATTGGGTCATTCCTCTAACTGTTTGTGTTACTTCAGATGATGAATGGCCTTTAAAATTTCATAAGGCAGAAGAGATGATAGAAGTGTGGTGTGGCAGGTCTGCCAGTTCAAGAGGTTTCAATGTGTTTAAAACCTGTGCTAGTTGTTAGTTGTTGGCAGAGCAGAATAATGTGAGAGCTTGCTTCAGCATGGGCTGTAAAATGCCACACAGTATTGTGCAGAGATGTTAGGCTGGCTTTGTAGCCTTGGCTGCTTTCCAGACAAACTTGTGGCAAGCAGATGGGAAAGGAGGGAAGAAATGAGAGAAGAAGGTGCTGTCACACCACTTGCTATGTTGTAACTGTTTCTCATTGGGGCAGACTATCTTTCAGTCAGGGTCTGGCTAAAACAAGCAGGTAAGTTATGGTGGCTTCTTCTTCTTCTTCTTTGAATTGAATTGAATTGAATTTATATACCACCCTATACCTGAGGGTCTCAGGGCAGTTCACAGAATAAAATCAAGATATAAAACCACAAAATACCTAATAAAAATAAAAACAACAACCCAATAGCCCCTTCCCCCCCAAAAAAAACCAAAATTTAAAATGGCATAGGATGTAAATCAGATCAACCAAAGGCCTGGTTAAAAAGGAGCGTTTTTGCCTGGCGCCTAAACGTGTATAATGAAGGCACCAGGCGAACTTCCCTGGGGAGACCATTCCACAGACGGGGAGCCACCTCAGAGAAGGCCTGTTCTCGTGTTGCCACCCTCCAGGCCTCTTGAGGAGGAGGCACACGAAGGAAGGCCTCAGAAGATGATCTTGGGGTCCGGGTAGGTTCATATGGAAAGAGGCGGTCCTTGAGGTGTTTCGGTCCTTAGCCGTTTAAAACAAAAGGAAATTGTATACTTTGCTTGTAGTCAGTGGTGATCAGTTGGGGTTTCCAGTATGCAACTTGTTGCCATTTGTTTTTGCAAATATAGAAACCTCCATTCATTTCTCCACACTTGGATTCCATACATGGAGAACCACTGAACAGGGCGGAAGTGTACATACTATATGAAGCGTTGAAACCCCTAAGACAAGGCAAGGTGACTGTTGAAACTGGTTTTGAGCAATCATCTCTTCAGAACTGACAAGTGCATTATGTCTTCCTTCTGTTAAAGGAAGTGAATTTTCAGTATCCAGAGCTGTTTTAATTTTAGATCAACTTTTACCCTTAGGATGACGGGAGAAGCAATTAAAAATATATCTAAAACCAACTATAGCCTTTTTAAAAAACATACAATGGAACATACATTTCAGGGGGCTAAAACCGGTTTGTGACTTCCTAACACACTTCTATAAATATACATATAGCCCCATCAAACATTGTTTGGTAGAAGCTCAACTTTACCATGTACCTGCAGCATGGGAAATGTTGGAGAAGTGCCCAAGATGTAAGCAGGATGTGGTTCACCAGAACTTGTAAAAGAAGCATGAATGGTTTGGGGAAAGAATAATGAAGGTTCAGAAGGCAACAGTCACAGAAGAGAAGTGAGCTGACATGCATGGAATAGGCATTCAAGACTGAAGGGTTCCGGCCTTGGATGGGGATCTGTTTTTTACTTTTTCAGGTGCAGTAGCAGTAATTGGATTCAGCAACTAGAAATAGTGGACCAGTGGTAGGGAACTTGTTGCCCTGGATGTTGTTGAACTCTGCTTCCATCAGCTCTAGCCAGCATGACAACGGTTGGGCCTGAAAGGAAATAGCAATCCAGCAACAACTGGAGGGCCACAAGTCCTCCACCACTGGAGTAGATGGGTGGTCTCATCCTACTTACAAGTCACACCCTACTAATCCTATTGTGTGCAAGCTAAAGAAACTTTGAGGTCCTGACTTTTCAGTTCTGTGTTGTGCTTGGCGGAAGACCATGTTAAAGGGTTTCTGTCATGTTAAACTTCAAAACTTTTGCCCAGTTTTGAACACCTACAATCTAACAAGGATAAGAGTAAGCTCTTGTTACTATAAATTTTGACAGAATTTGCCTGCACCCTCACCATTACCTCATTGACTTGTATAAATATCCCTGGCTTCATCCAACTACTGGTGGAAGATGCTAGTTTTATTACCATTGTCCTAGGATTAATTCATGGTAAGTAAGAGCAGATATGTCCATTAGATATGGTAGACGTTCTGAAGACTAATTAGGCTTGCACAATGCTGGTGTATGTGCAGAGTTCCAGTTAAAGTAAGCTTCTTGGTAACAGTACTTGCTGCTGGAGTTGATGCCCACATGAGTAGTGTTTTAACAGGCACTCTGTGCAATAACTAAGTTTGTGAATTGGGAATTCCACTTTTCTCAAAGATGTGATGCTGCAGAGAATACCAAAGGATTCATGGGGCAAGGTGTTTTGTGTGTTTGCCCTTGACTTGATCTAGGGATGGATTAAGGTATATTCTAGAACTGGTGTCAGCTTCACTTTAGCTGATGGACCTAGTTTCAGCAGACTACAGAATGCTGCGTTGTAGCCAGGTATGTGTGACTTCATGGGAAGCTGAAAATTGCACTGATTTTCTGGCACTGGATCCATCATCTTCAAATGTTTGATGCTAGCACCTGAAGTATAGTTTTATAATGAGTTTAGTGAGAGGCTTTTATGTCATTAACCTGGCTGGTTAATATTACAACAGTGCCTACATGAACAAATTACAAGATAAAATGTGGAATAATGATCCGATTTTTCATTACTGTGCTGACCCCAGTACCATAGAAACAGCCTCCCCGTGCCCTGTTTAATTCTATTGCAATTTTTAAGATCAGCATGCATAATCCTCTTTTTGACTGTGTGCTTTGTCTCTACAAAAGATAAAAGCCTTCCATGCAAGTTATCCAAGATAACTTGGATAGTTTATAATTATACAGGTTTTTACAAACTTGGCATATGTGGTCAGAAGGGGCGAAAGGGAGGACTGGTTGATATAGCGTCTTGCATTGTTGCAAAAATCAGTTAATGTGGGGAGGAGGGGAAGAAAAACCTTTCATAATAGGAAGTCATGTGGAGCCCATAACCCAAAATTGCTGGGGCTACTGCCTCCCTAAATCGACTCAGTCAAAGCAATTCTCTGGCAGTGGAAGAAAGGTGTGTTCTAAGTCCTAGCCCAATGTCTTGGTTAAGCAGCCTTCTCTCAACAGGCCAAAAGCGAATTAAATCCCCACACACACCTTAAGTGGTGCTGTAAGAATTCTAAACATAGTAGCCATGTTAGCAGAATTGTTCTTTAAAACACACATGCAATAGTTGTTCATAGTACTACCCATGAAAAGTTGGTTTGTGTGGGCTGGCCATCCTATCATGTGACAATGTTGGCCCGAAAACAAGAAGCAGAACTAGATGGACCATTGCCCTGATCCAGCAGGCTCTTCTTATGTTCTTAAATGATAGAGTTTCATATTGTACCATAATCAGGAGTCTGAGCTGTTCATGGTATGTCAGCTAATTCAGATGCCAACTCTGTCTACCAACAACTTGCCCAACCTTTCTGTCAACATCTTCTGGCCTAACTGTGAGCTATTAATGTTTTAACTGAAGTCCCTGGCACAAATTTATTTGCTAATTTTGTGGTGAAGTGGTTAAACTCTGGAAGGGAAGTCCTTGGGCAGGGAGACGGATGGACCTTTTTCTGTTGCTAGGTGGGTGAGTGTTGCAGTGGGTGAAACCAGCACCATGTGGTTTTGATTGATTGATCCGGAATAAAATACCACCTGCTTCAGTTTGCAACATGACCACCTCTGATTACAGTTCCCAGTACCATACAGATTTCATTGGAAGTAAGCCCGATTTGTTTTCGTAGGACCCCCTCAAAAAGTCCACAGAGGGTTTTGTACAACATTCCAATACAGCTACTGTTCTGGAGGTTAAGTTAAAGTCATTCCTTTCTGACTTTAGTGTGCTATATACAAATGCACACACCGACATATATAATCATAGTAAGCAGTTAAGTGGCAGAAGACTAACAATTGTTCCCAGACAGCCAGGGGCAGAGGAACATGCCTTTTCCCTAACCAATACATCCAGGATTAAAAAAGATAAAAACCCTGTTAACTTTTATTCTCTTCCTTTCTATGTGAAATGTGGGAGGATGCAGTTAGGAAGTCAGGAAAAACTTAAGAAGAAACAGGAAGGGAGGAACTCTGGCATGGAAGAACAGGGTAGCTTCAGAAGGTTGCAGAGGACATACAAAATGATGTCAGGGACTTCAGGTTGGCCACCTTGGCATGTGCTCTAGTGGGATCTTTAAAAACTCGCTCCTCCTTTCTACCTTGCTTGTACACAGGGTCATTAGGCAGATGACCTCCAGCACTTGACAAGGGATCTCAATCTCCTGTTATTTGAAAGACGTCCTAGCATTCTTAGTACTTACTCAATGCTTGACCGTTAAACAACTAGAATTCTTTTAACGTTATTATCAATGTGTAAATGTTAGTTTAATCCCTTGGAAATAGGGTACCTGAATTTTGCAATAAAACGTGCACACCTTCAGCCATGAATGATGGCTTTTGCTTGAACGACTAATCCACTGTTAAGCTGAGTAAAGCTATTGCTGTGGGGATTAGCTTGAAGGTACATGTGGCCAGGGTGTGTCTGTGTCTCAAGCCTACTTTGCAACAACAAGGGGTTGGGCCAAAGGTTATCTGAAACAAGAATGGGTCCACCAACATCTCAGGACACGCACACACCCCTGTGCAGACATCCTAGGCTCTAGGAACATAGGAAATGTCTTGCATACAAGCAGAAGAGCTTGCTCATCAGGCCAATGGCTCATCTAGTCCAGCATCCTGTTCTCACAGTGGCCAACTACATTTATATTTAAAGCCTGAAAACAGAACCTGAGTGCAACAGCACTCCCCACTTACAATTCCCAGAGTCAAACCACTGGTCTGTCTAGCTCAGTATTGCCTACACTGATAGGCAGCCACTCTCCAGGGTTTCAGACAGTGGAAATTCCCAGATCTATATGGAGATGCTGATGACTGAACGCGACACTTTCTGCATGCAAAGCACCAACTTATGGCACTTCCTCCAGGCTCTAGTGCATGTCTGTGATGTCCTCTACCTATCCCAGACTTCTGCAGGACTCTGTTCACCATAGATGGACACTGTGTTGAGGACCCTGTACAAATCATATTCTTCACTCTTCCAGTTGACCCTTCCAGAGTGCCTGATCTGTGCTGTGCAGGCCAATGGTGTTTGGCCAGATCAATTGTTTACTGTTGGATTCCCTAAATTCTCAAAGTCTTGTGCAGGCAGGCTTCATTATTTCACTCATCTCTAGCTCTTCTGAGTGCTAGCTCAATTGGACATACATTTTGCCATATTCACATGATCGGCTGCCAGCTGCCACATAACCTGATTATCAGTATTGAACAACCCCTTTTTGCTTTGGCTACTTTAAGAAAACAGTGCCTAGTGCTTCCCTTCGTAACATTTGCCCCCTTGTCTTTCAGGTCAAGAACGTTTTGGCAACATGACCAGAGTGTACTATAAAGAAGCTGTCGGTGCTTTTGTAGTATTTGATGTCACAAGAGGCTCAACATTTGAGGCAGTTTCCAAGTGGAAACATGACTTGGACAGCAAAGTGCTTCTCCCAAATGGCAGCCCAATCCCTGCAGTTCTAATTGCCAACAAATGTGACCAAAAGAAAGACAGTGGCCAAAATCCTTCTCAGATGGACCAGTTCTGCAAAGAAGGTGGTTTTGCTGGGTGGTTTGAAACCTCTGCAAAGGTAAGAATATTCTTAAACCAGGGTAAGCTTTAAAGCTTATGTGTACATATGTGAAAAACAAAAGCTGTGCAAAGGCACACTTACAAATTGAATCACAAAAGTTTCTGGCCTAAATAAATGTTTGTTATCTGATTTCTTTCATATATCTGTCTGATTTTGTCTCAGATACAGTTTTGAGGAGCAGCTATTATTATTATTATTATTATTTCAATTATTATTAGTATGATTACTTTCTTGTGACAAATTCTGTTACAAAAGAGAAAATTCAAATACAGCTCTAAAATATGACATAATAAATTTGAAAAAATTGTCGCACAATGTGTATTCACCATCACCCTTACCACGGAAGTCAGTCTGTGTTTGATCATGTTAGAAGCCAAATGTCTCAGAGCTTATTGCCTACCCTTTCTTAATTTTGATGTGGTTTGGATTTGGATTTGATATCCCGCTCTATCACTATCCTAAGGAGTCTCAAAGCGGCTAACATTCTCCTTTCCCTTCCTCCCCCACAACAAACACTCTGTGAGGTGAGTGGGGCTGAGAGACTTCAAAGAAGTGTGACTAGCCCAAGGTCACCCAGCAGCTGCATGTGGAGGAGCGGAGACGCGAACCTGGTTCCCCAGATTACGAGTCTACCGCTCTTAACCACTACACCACACTGGTTCTTAATTTAGTGTAAATAAATCTTCTTGCCATGTAATTATGTGGTATATGATACTTATTTGTTTTAGTCATATGGACGGTGAAGCATTAAAATCCAGGAAATGAAACTTTATAGACCATAAACTTTATAGTTAATGGCTGTGCTTTTGATCTAAAGAGTACATCGCCTGAAACAGTAACGGCTTCTAGGAAGCTCAGACACATGTGACTCTTAAAAGAAATGGCAGCCCCACTGCTTCTTGCTTTGAGCAAACATTTGAATAACTAGAATCACAACCCATATCTCATGATAAATGTGTAAGGAAGCATAGCTCATTGGCAGAACATTTGACTATAAGTTCCAGTTCAGTTCTGGGCGTTCACTCAATAGTGGTTCTTGAAAGGAAGAAGTGTAGCTCAGTAACTACTGTAAGTACCGGTATATCCTTGATGTTTTAAGGGGGCCCAAGTTCTAAGTTTCATGTATCTCTGCTGCCACACATAGCTGACTAACTGGGGCAAAATTGCAGATGGGAGCTAGTATAATTTCATCCTTCTGAAAATCACGCATTCAGGTGCAGATGTTGTCCATCAGTAGCATATTACTTTTGACAAGGAATGGGCATTCAGGTCTAAATAGGCACCCACATTCTGCCCCAACTACTTAATTGAACCACACATATGTAGATGCGGAGAAATCTTGCCCCATAGCAATGGTGGGCAATGGAACTGCTTGTACAGCAAGATAGAGAGATGTGAATAAGGCACTAGGAAGTAATCTTGATTGATGTCAAATCTCAACATGTTCACTGTCTGATCCCTGCTTAGCTAGGCTCATGCGGGGGAGAAGCAAGCTCTGAAAATGGTAGCGAATGCTGCTGCAGGAGTGTATCTGTGATGCCAAAGCAGGCAAAAAAGAGAAGAAGACAGGAAACTAAATTAAAAGCTTTTTAATGCAGCTTTTTCTATCCACCTGAAGATCATTTTTCTGTGTAGAAAATGAAATTCAACATGGCACTGGTTTTGCACTGGCTTTAGGAAGGTAAAGTTGCAGACTTTAACCTTAAACCAATTGCATGGAAGCTGAAATAACAGTCACAAAGTGCTTTGCTTGTAAACTTTAGTTCTGAACAGTTTTCCTAAATGTTTTGAATCATTGTATCAAAACACCTTTTACACATATACAGCAAGTCTTCAACTTACGCAGGGGTTACGTTCAGGGATCGTACCTAAAGCCAAAATAGTGTATTGTCAAAACCCATTGAGTTCATTGGTGGATGGGATTGCTGAAGTCTTTTTTTCCTGGATGCCCACCCCCTTTTTGCCCCCTTTTAATTTTTTTTAGAAAAGGTTTGCCGAGCATGTAAAGCTGAATGTGCATTAAGTTGTGGGCTTGTTGTACAAGGCTTGCATGCTTAAGAGGTGGCGTTCTTAGATTCTTCTACACACGAAAGCATTAACTTATCTCCTATGGTTTCCTCCACAGGATAATATCAACATAGATGAAGCTGCTCGGTTCTTGGTAGAAAACATCCTTGCAAATCTCAAAGCCTTTCCTAGTGAAGAGAATGATGTCGGGAGACTAAAACTGGAACCGGGTCCTCTGACAGCAGAAAGCAAACCTCAGTGCTGTTAGTTACATCCAGTCTTGCAGTGACACACTATGTCAGAGCAGCGAGATTCCTGCTCCTCATGTTGGACTGCTGCTATGGTGCTTCATCACGACAATCCTAATGAGGAATTGTGTTTTGTAGAGTTGATCACACTCCAGGCGTTTACACACTTTTTTTCCTTGTTGGGTAGGACTTCAAATTGCCTTCTACACTATATCATTGTCTGGTTGTGAACCATTTAGCACAGTTGAAAGCTGCCTCCAATACGAAAAGGCAGTATTTATCCTACAAGTCAAGGGTCAGTATGAGTGACTCAATCCCAATATTTATCTTTCACAGTGCAATTTCAGAACTAGAATAGGAACATCTGTCTATGAGTGAAATTGTTCATTTTGATAAGTGCTATTATTGTTTGCTTATATCCCCTTTAATGCATACAAAATCCTGTAGCTGCCTCCTTTTGCTTTTCCCATAATGTCTCCTCCATTCGTCTTGAGCACCAGGGCCACCAAGCCTTTAGGGACACTTGGCACCCAAGAACACTTCATTTCTGAATAGCACAGGACTGATATTAAGCAATGGTAATCTTAAACTCTATTGCTTGGAAAGTCGGGATAGGAAGATTATGCTGTTTGAAAGGGAGTGATAAGGATAAGTCAGTGCTGTCCCATCTGACCAATGAGTAACAGTCCATTTCTGACTCAGATAATGGAAAGAAACATTCCAGTACACTTGCATACATTGCATCTGTGCACAATTAAACTTTTAAGGAAAATCTCCCTTCTTGCACAAGCACAATTCTTTCTGTATGTTCTTATGGTATCTGATGGGTTAAAAATGAATAATGTGCCTGATTAAACTGTCTCAAGAATTTTTTTAAAAATGAAATCAGATTGCAGCACAGAACTGTCAACTTCGATCTATTAACTGATAGGTGTACGAGTAGAGACCTCTTCTTAATCATGCTATATTTATAGTACTGTATTTTTCTACTTTTACTGTTCTACACAAGGAGTCACACTTGATTCAAGTCTTGCACAAGAACAATTTGCAAATGTGGAATATATTATTGGTTTTATTACCATTGCTATCTGCTAAAGCTGTGTGTGCAAAAATAAGAAGTCTGAAGTATCTGTACAAAAACTGCCTTTTTCTTATGGTGTGTGTGAGATGGGGTGACTTCTGTAAAATATTTAACGCATTGCATATTACAATCTTAAAACCTGTCAATCCTGTTTTCTGCACCTTACACCTATATAACATAGCATGCCAGCCACTAGACATCTTGAAGTACTTTTGACCTCGTATTTCTGAAGGCTTAAACTGGGTCACAAATCTATTTATGTGACCAAATATGTTTTGATATGATTTAAAATACCAGGCAAATATTTTTATGATGTAAATGCACAAGCCTGGAGTTTTTAGAAGGTATGTTCAGGCACTTTGTCAAGAATCCAAAGAGAGCATCTCATGTTCCTAGACTTCTGTTCTAGGCTTGCACTAATTTTGTTGAATTCCACAAAAGTCAAAGCCCCTTTTAATCCTGAATCCCCTAACCGTTGTGGTTTTCATTTAGTTTTCTAAAATAAATAAAAACATTTGGAATAGATTTTAATACACATGAAGTGCAAACTCTAAATGTGAGCTTGAGTAACTCATTGTTTTTAAAAAATCAAAATACGATTCCTAATGCTAAATGTAATGGTAAAGCATCCTATAGCCACCTTCTGCTCCCCAAACTTGCTGCATTGGATGTGGAGGGGGTGGGTAATTGTGTTTACATTAACAGATGTGTGCAAATGAACATGTTTATAAAACCTCATTGGAGATGCAGTCTGCTAGCCGCCAGCACTTCTGAGTAGAGCAATAGACAAGAGACATTCTTTGGGGGCTCGTCTTTGCCAGGCTTTCAGTGTTCTGCTTAACATGGCAGTCCTTTGAGCAGAAGTAATCTCTGCTTGTAAGGAAACAATCTTATGCACAGGTCAGCAAGATGGATAACATCACACTACTTGTTGATACTTGTCCAATGTGATATCAGTTTACAAGAAGAAGAAGAAAGGGTTTTGTATACTTACCGTGAGTTCATGCTGTCCTTGAGAAAGCATTGGACCACTTTTTCTTAAGAAGGAACTCTAACTTCTGCAGATTTTTAATTAAACAGTTGTTAAATCTTATCCTTCCAGTTACACGTTTTTGAATATTTCTTCCCAAAATCTAAGTGAGAAGTTTACATTGCAGTTTGACAGTGGGTGTTTAGAGCTCTGATATCAGCAAGCTCCTCTGATCGCTTATAGAATTCTTAGAACATTCAAAAGCTAAACTTCATTGCAGCATATAAAAATAGGCTGAATACATATCACATGATTTGTGCTATGTAATGGTGAAGCACCCTATAGCCACTAGAAATGTACCAAAGGTGGGGAAAAAGACATCTGCTAGCTTGGTGATAGTAACAAGGCATTAATTCATGCTTACCAAATATTTATTGGTGTGCACATTTAGCTATTCAAAGCACATTACTGTTGATAGGGGGTCTTCCATGGATATTGTATTGTTCTAAATGGGAGCAAAGCACTTGCATAAAGGGGCATGGTGGTGCATTTTGGCATAGGGGCCATAGAGTACTCAGTGTTGCACCTCAGTCTATCTGTATAGTACAGAATGTGGTATTAGCTGTAGAACTCAGCTTAATTTAAGAAAACAAACAAACCTTTTGTGCCTCTTAAACTAGCTTAAAGCATGTAGGCAATGCTTGGTGGAGCTCAAAAGCCAGAGGCAGTATTATATGTAATCTCTAGTTTGGGGGGGAAGGGAAGCATTAGTGCCTGCTGTTCTCTGTGAGTAGCAGAAAGAATGTTGTAAAGTAAGTTGTTGATAGCTCCACCTCCTTTCTATATCTTTTAACCTTAGCAGCATAATTGTATAACTTGACTTCCATGCATGGCTCTTGAGAAGTCACTGTTGTCCAGAGAAGACAAGTCCAGCAGCAGTGACCCCCTTTCTCCCTTTGAAGTTCATTCAACTCCTGTCTTATAATTGTCACTCTTAAATTTGAAGGGTAAATGAAATGTGGTTTATTCCCTGGCTTAATTTCATGTTTTTCTCAAACTGCACAGTGACCTTACTGCTCCCTGATGAGCGACTGAAGGGCTGATGCCTCCCAGTGTAGAATATTTAGTTAAAATCCCGACACTATAAGGCCTGGGAAAGATCTCTGCTATGTGCTTGGACAGCTGCTGCCAGTCAAAGTAAACAGTACTAGGCAAAGTGGAATGATGGTCCTGGTGTGTGAAGCCTTTGTATTTGTATTTCTAAGCTAATATTCTCCCTTAATAGCCTTGTTGTGAGGTTAATTTTGACATGCTTGCCAGGGCTAATGATAGTTACAGTCCCAAGACACCAGAACGGCCAGGATGGAGTAGGCTGGCCTAATTCGAGGGTTTCCTGAATGATGGACAAGAACCATGTTCTGGCTCTCCCCCCCCCCCCTTCATTTTGCTGTGGTGTGTCCTCTAGTTGAAATGAAGGATTCTGTAACACTATACATACATGTGTGTACATGTACAATCACTGTTGTTTTTCATACGTCTGTGTTGTCCACTAGCTCTCCAGGATTAAGAACAATTTCTTCTCTTGGAATAATTTTTCTTCCTGAGAACTAGTTGTCTCAACTTGCTTCTGTGTCCTTTTCTTTGTTCCTAATTTACTTGCTCCCACATAAACAATCCACCTTAAGTTTTTAACCATACATGGGGATGGTCAAAAGTTAGTTATGAAACTTTGGCCTTCCCCAATCTTGAGTCTCCAAATATTGTTGGACTACAGCTGCCATCATCATTCCTGGCCATTGGCCTGCTGGCTAAGGATGATTGGAAATTGTAGTCCAAAAATATCTGGTAACCCAAAATTGGGGAAGGCTGACCTAAAGGATCCTTGCCACAATAAAGCTTGAGACCTATTGTATATATGAAATGAGTAAACTGAGCCAGCAGGTATAAAATGAATGCTTAGGCTATATCCAAACCGCTTGCTCACAGTATATAACCCATGACATACTGGCAACAGTTGGTGTCCTTGCATCATCCTAGTTGTTAACCCTATTTGAGACTCTTGACTGCTTCTGTATTTTTGGCTCCTGGTTGGATGTGGCTTTTTAAAACCAATCAAGTTCTAAAATATTTCCCACATTAAGGGCATAATCTCCTGCCTAAGAGTTATATAGTGCACTCCAATTCTTATTGTTCAGTTTAGCTGTTTTCCTGCTTAGCATAAGTGCATAGGTGCATGAGCAGGTAATGAGACAAGGCAGTTTGGGGAATGTGTAGCCTGCATATTCCTTCCACATCCAGCCTGTGCCATCCTCTGCATCAACACTTAACTAGGAAGATGGGTCTCCACTGAACCCTTTTGGAATCCAACATATGTTGCCTGTGTCTATTAGGCACTAGAATATGTATTATATATTTCTAAATATTTTTGGAAGAAAATAGATGTTGATAGTTTTTCTACGTTGTACACCAAGTTTTTAATACGAAATCCAATTGTTTGTGTGTGTAAAAGCAAAAGCAATTGTCTACTTTGATTTGCTCCAATACAGTGCTCAGGATCTGTTCTCTGTTCTCATCCTTGCTTTTTTGACACTATTTTTGTTTTCTAAAACTTTAAAGTGCTCTTTATATTTTGTATAAATAAAATTTGTAGTCAATACATTGTGTTTCTCTTCTCTTCAGTGGGAGTCAAGAATTATCCCATGTGGGTTAAGTACTGTACTGGGAGATGATGTTTTGGTAGAAACGGAGTGTGGATTAACAAACGTCCGAAGTAACTTGAGTAATTCATTTCCCCAGAAGATCCATTATTCCCTTAAGTTCTAGGAGGCTTCATGAGCTTTCGTTGGACAGGTTTTAGAAGATGCAATGATCTGTACATTCCCTGCCTGCCCTGTAACTGCAACTGATACTGTAAAAAAGAACCCCAAGCAAGTCAAACAGTTCACAGGAATGAGTCAGACCCAAATCTCACCAGTCTTAATAAGAGAACTGGATAGGCTGCAGCTCTCTGCTGTGTACATTCAAGGCTGGTCCACATATGTAGCAGAACAAAGCTGTCCTACATGGGACTGCATATTTCAGACTTGTTTCACTTTTTTTTTCAACACTGCTATGTTAAACTTCTCTGCAAACAGAAAGCCAATGCAGTTGGACAAAAAAATCTTTCTCTCCGATGCATTGTCTTCTGCTTGCAGGATTTTTTTAAAAAGCAAGTACTCAAAAGTACCACCGCTACCAGTAACTTCTTGTCTGAAGTGGTGCATTCCATTCTGCTGACGTAGTCCAGCTGGAGGGCCACAGGATCCCCAATCCTAGCAAATCTGAGTTACTTGAAAATCTGTTGCATTTGAATGCCAAACTCCTCCCCCTGTAATGTTTTCTTTCCCTTATCTTGTTTCCAATAACTATTTTGCTTTTACTCCTGTTTTCTTGAGTGTGACTGCTTGTACTGAGCACAACAATTGATCTGGTAAGATACTCCCAGGGCAGGCCCAAGACATTTTGGCACCTGATGCAAACTGCAAAGTGGTGCTCCTTCCCTGCCAGGAAAGAAGAGGTGAGTGAAGATCTACATCAAGAATAAGGGTGGGGAATAAAAATCTACCTAGGGATCTGCTGACCCTGCAGATCCTGCTACCTGAGGTGGTCACCTCACTTTGCCTCATGGGTGGACCAGCTCTGGGTACTCCAGTAACATTATTCTGTACTGTAAGTCATACATACACGGGGGCAGGCTAAATTTAAGAGTGGCTTCTGACACCCTTGTAATGTAAAAGGTAAAGGTACCCCTGACAGTTAAGTCCAGTCGCAAATGACTCTCGGGTTGTGGCCCTCATCTCGCTTTACAGGCCGAGGGAGCCAGCGTTTGTCCGCTTCCACAGACAGTTTTTCCAGGTCATGTGGCCAGCATGACTAAGCCGCTTCTGGTGAAGCCAGAGCAGCACATGGAAATGCCATTCACCTTCCCGCCAGAGCAGTACCTACTTATCTACTTGCACTTGGATGTGCACTTGGAACTACTAGGTTGGCAGGAGCTGGGACCAAGCAACAGGAGCTCACCCCGTTGCAGGGATTCGAACCACTGACCTTCCGATCGGCATCCCCTTGTAATGTAGTTGACTAATATTGCCACATTAATGATAGAAAGACATTACAACTATTCCATCTCGAGGTCTTCTACTTCTCAGATTAGGCTAATGTTAACAGATAAAATACTTGCTTTCAGTAACTCCTCTGGACAAATAACTTCAGCATGTGTCTTGCCTCCAGCAGAAAAGATATACACCGTTGGGTTTTTCAAATTGTTTTATTTCTCGTGCACTATATATGTTTATGTTGAACTCCGCTCCGCCACCTAAATAAACAAACACTAATGCAGATTTGAAGAGCCGTCCCCTTCTCACTCTTTGTATTTATGAAGATATTCAACATGTTATCAAGATATGGACAGGCAGCGGAAGAACGATTTGCGCAAGATGAGATACAGATACTCGATTTTGTTGACAGTATGCAATTCGATTGTATCTAACTTCCATGAAAACACACAGCCACACCGTCCTCTCTGCGGTCAGCTGCGCGCGAACCCCTTGCGCCTCCGGCTTTGTTCATTCGTCGGGCTTTTCGCCCAACAGCGTAAAAACACAAACGATAAATAAAAACAGGAAGCCAGAAGTCGAGTGTTATTATCTCTATGGACTCAGGGAGACGTCCGTCTACCCGGCGGCAGCTCTATGGTAAAGAACATTCCCTATCTACTGTGCTTTGGAGGGAAGGTTCCGGACCGGAAGTGGGCAATGAGGACTGCGAGGCTGGTGTGGGCGGCTAAAACTTTCCGTGCTTTTTATCGTGCCGGAAGTACGGGACGCGTGGCACTCTAACCCGTTTCTATCTCTGCGACTGAGTCGGCGTCTCTTAGCAACGGGATGGACGCCGGCGCGGCCGACGCCTGAGGGAGGCGAGCGCTGAAGCTCGTCTAAGGGTGCCTGGCATGTCGAAGTTAAGCAAAAAGAAGGAGCCGGTGAAGAGCAACAACGTTCTCCAGACGCCCTTCCCCGCTAAAGAGTAAGTCTCCGCTTCTCAGGCGGCACCCGTTCCTCGCCGCCTCTTTCAGTGCATTTCTGTTTCTAAGGTTAAGGACTCGCTCCTGGAAGATGTGAAGCGATAACAGCCGGAAAGAGTGTTTCTGGGCGCGTGCAGAGTGCACTATCCTTGCCAAAACAGTGTCTGGGGTCTAGGGAAAGGTTGAGCGTATCATGATCAATATTTTTCTTTCCAGCTGCAGTTTAGCCATATCTAGCCATCAGCTACTCAAGTAAGTCTTGTCTGTGCTAAATGTCTTTGATTCTTGTTTCTAGGCCACATGCCGTATCTGCCACATGTACTTTGCAGCTGTTGGTGGCTTTGTTTTGATGCTTGAGGAACTGCAGCACCTGGGATTGGCTGGGACTCAAAACCTTAAACGATTCTGCATACATTGCGCATTTATTATCTCTCCCTTCCTTCAAGAAACTTGGGAAGGAGCTCATCGTGTGACATACACACTCCCCTTTCCCAGTCCTTAACAACAGGTACAGGGAATTGGCCTCGGTGAGTGTGAAGGCTGAGCAGAGACTGAAGCTGGGCCTTTCCACTGCAACCATCCTTCCACTTTCTACTTTTCCTTAAAAAAAATGGGTACCCTATCTTAGAAGTGTCAGATATTTTCCTTGTCTGGAATATGCAGACTTGCTACAGAAGTGTTGCTCTGCTCCCAGAAAATGTAGTCTGGGTGGAATCCAACACAGGCAGGTTAGAGGCAGCGAGAGCAGTAGGGGCCAAGTAGAGTCAGCCACACTTGAAAGCAGTAGCTGTGTTTCCTTGTTTGCACAGATGTATGTTAAGGGCAGCATATAAAGTAGGAAGGAGAGGCTCTTAACTTCAATGAAATTGATTGGCAATAGGCTCAGGACAGATGAAAGAAAGGACTATTTCACTCAAAACATTATTAACTTGCAGAATGTATTACCACAGAATGCAGTGATGATTGCTAGCATTGGTAGCTTTTTTATTACTAAAATTCATGGAGGATATGTTTATCAGTGGCTATTAGCTTTAATAGCTAAGGGCATCCTCCCTTAAATGATTCCTCCTTTGAGGAAAGTATATCTTTGAATATTGAACACTGAGGAATTAGAAACAACAGGGAAGAGCTATTGCTTATACCCTCTGCTTGTGGATTCCAGGAAGTATTTGGTTGATGAACCTTTTGTTTAATGCAGCAGGGCTTTATATGATTTCAGAACACTTGGGGATATGTTTTGGGAAGATAAGGTTAACGGCATCTCTCTGTGTCTGCTGCATGTTTGCAATCAGGCTTTCCTCTTCACATGTTATGTGCACCCTGTTGGTACACAGTAAGCATACCTGCCGTGGTTAAGAGTGAATTTATACAAAATATGGAAGAACTGTCATCAGTTAGTGGTGTTGAATGAGTGCTATTGAGATTCTGGGTATAGTACCAAATTGCTGGGTGTTGTACTGTCTATTTGGTTTAGTAAGCCTTGGATTTACTTTGTCTTCAGTGATGTCTGTTTGCCTCTCTCACCACCGCTCCCCCTAATCAACTAAAAGAGGAGATGCCACATCAGTCTCCAGGAACTTCTGAATGAGCATATCAAGCCGTTTCAGCTGTTTCCTGTTAACTGGGAATTAAATAAGTTACTGTATCAGAAAGCTCTCATACTTTTCTTGAGCCTCGAATACTAACGTCTTCTGATGCAGAAAGAAAGGAGTATAAGACTGCTTGTGTGGCCAGAAGACATGTCATGCCTACCTGAGAACTAACCATATTTACTATTTTTTGGAAGGGCTGGAACAGAATTTCAACAGGAGTTGGCTAAACCAGTAGCTGATTGGTAATAATAGTTGTGCAGGGTCATTCTATAGAGCCATCAATTCTATCACTGTGGATTTGATGGTGGCTAGCCACATGCCCCAACACAAGATAATGACAGCTATTCTCAGCAGCTGAGAAGTGTCAAATACACTTACAGCCATCATGGTTAGTGGCCACCTGATAAGCAAGTCTTTGGGGTATTTATCCACTTTTATCCAATTCATTTATTTACTAATACAGTGGACGCTCAGGTTGTGAACATGATCCGTGCGGGAGGCACGTTCGCAAACCGCAGCGCCACATCTGCGCACGCGCGGGTTGCGATTCGGTGTTTCTGCGCATGCGCGAGCGCTGAAACCCAGAAGTAACCCATTCTGGTACTTCCGGGTGTTGGCTCGTCTGTATCCTGAAAACATGCAACCTGAAGCGTCTGTAACCCAAGGTATGACTTTATAGCATAAAGAGGCCTCACCTATTCCTCTTCAAAAAGGTACAAGGGGAAAACCTGGGGATGAACAGGAAATAAAATGTAGTACCAAATGTGATATAATTGTCTGCTTTCCAATTTTATTTTAAAAAGTAGGGCACACCCCACAGCTGGGCTCTATATATGTCCTGGGTCCCTTTCAAGTTCAGCAGGCAGAAGTTTCCAAGCTCAGTTTCTTTGTTATAGATGGATTGTTTTGCTGTCTTGTCTAATATGAAAGTGGGGAAGAAACCCTTAAACAAATAACCTAATGACAACAACAACCAATCCTGACATTGTTCTGCAGATTGACCTTAGTCAAGTCACTGCTTATATATCGCAAAGGATATATATATGAAGTCTTTTACGAAGCTGTACTCGAAATAGTGTCAGGTCAGAGCAGCATATCTCTCTTCTACTTTGACAAACCACCAACTAAGCCTTCTGGCCCCAGCTGTCAGGAAATATTTAAGTTTAGTTACTGCTGAACTGTAGATAGTATTTACCGTATTCTTCGCTCTATAAGACGCACCAGACCACAAGGCGCACCTAGTTTTTCGAGGAGGAAAACAAGAAAAAAAATATTCTGAATCTCAGAAGCCAGAACAGCAAGAGGGATCGGTGTGCAGTGAAAGCAGCAATCCCTCTTGCTGTTCTGGCTTCTGGGATAGCTGCGCAGCCTGCATTCACTCCATAAGACGCACACACATCCCCCCTTACTTTTTAGGGGGGGGGGAAGTGAGTCTTATAGAGCAAAAAATACGGTAAATCAAGAGGTTGATGGCAGCTTGTTGTCGTCTATTAAGTGATATTTTTAACTATAAAACTTTCAAAGAGGTCAGTTTCTTTCTCCTAGCTTGTTGGCATACATCTGTATGCATAATATTGAATATTTAAGTCTGTATGTTAAAAATAAAGCACCTGGAAAATATTAGGAAGCCTTCCTGCTTTTTAAAATTGGACTAATGAACATGCTTTTCCATAAGTCTGAAAAGCCCCAAATGCTGTAACCTTTCCTCTTAGAGATGTGGTTCCAGCCCTATGAACATTTGGTTGCCCTTTTCCACACATTTTCCAGCTCTACAGTATGTCTTTTTGAAGTAAATAAAGACATAAACTGTTATCTAAGGAGCTGTCACTATTCAATATAATAAGAGGAAATGAATTACCACCACCCTACAGACTATTACACAATGGGAAAATATTGGAAAATCTGCTTGTCTGCTATCTTGCACTTCACCTGCTTTGTTAATTTCTCTTGATGTTTGCCTTAGAGGTACAATAATGAAGACACGTTGAAGAAAGTAATTACTATGGTCTTTATAGACATTTTATGGAAATATTTTTTTATAGTAGGTACTTAGAAACTAGTCTGAATTCAACTAGTAAAATTCAATTGTTGGTACATTTGGGTTATTTTTTAGTTTTAGTTTTTATTAGTCACTTGCTACCAAGGTCTCCAAGGGACTTACATTTAGGAACATAAACATAAATACATTATACTGTTAAAAAATCATATAAAACATTAGCATTCTCATACATTCTCCATACCTTCTCATGCAGACACCTACAATTAATGCACCCACCCACCCCCTGGGTAACATCTGCAGGAAACTTTTAGAAGCACACTAGCAGCAGAACAAAATCAGCTCAGCTTTAGAAAAAGTCTTCACCTAGCACCAAAAATATGTCATGCAGACTTCACTGGGAAAATTATTCCACAGATGGGAAACCACAACTGAAATGGATATTAAGGTTCCATTGACAGCTCCTCAAAGGGTGAGGTGGTAGAAATGCAACAGCAGTGCAAGAGCAAAGTTTACTTCTCTGTGCAGGTGCAGACATTTAGTCGCAGCCCCAGTGAACATTTATATTATGTAAAGGATTCATTTGAGCTTGGGGAAGGGGTGAGGTGCACTGTTTGTCAATAAGGCACCCTGGATTATCAGACTGGCACAACGCTGAACAAACAATCTCACTTTGAATGTCAAACAGCTCAGAGGTATATGGCTCTTCAATTAGATGCTACTACTAGTAGAGTTTTCACTATTTCCCTGCCAACTGGCTAGTAGGCTTGGACAATAATGTCCCCCTCATTATTTGGGGTCATTTGTCTCCACAAAAGTTGCAGGCATTTTTTTAAGACTGGAGGGGGAGCAGTGTGTGTTTCAGGCGGGTTTCCTGATCACGCAGTAGAGCATTGTGATTTCTCTTATTGAAACAAAACAAAAAAACAACTTGCTGCAACTTCAAGTAGTGGCAGAGCTACAATAAGCAGCAACCCAACAGCGTTCTTCCTTGTGAATGACCAATGGGAATTGCATTTCATCATAGCATCTTTCCCAGGGTCATTCTAGGGAAAATAAAGATTTTTAAAGAAATGCTGTTCCCATTACTACAAGCCTCTTGTTTTGGTTGTAGAAATGATAATTGTTTATATTTTTTCTGAGGGACTGTGAGCTGCGTCAGTCATAAGGCGCACATAATAAGCTGCTCAAATGATGTATTTCTTATCTCTTCATTTTATTTGTAGTGATAGTACTTGCATGGGGTTCAAAATGAAGATATTGTGCTTGCCAACAGTATGAAACTGAAATTAGAATAAGAAAATTTGGAAGTTGATTACCATGTAACTAACAGCAAGTTCTCTTCTCATGCTCACGTTTTATTTCAGCCTTTGGGGTATTACTGGATCAGTCTCTAGTGTAAACCCTCAAGGTCCTTTGGGTGAGTCTAGGAAACCAAGATTTCCTATCTGGCCAGAATGGAATGAAGCAGATATCAATGTAGAGAAGTGGGATGCAGGAAAAGGTGCAAAGGAAAAAGATAAAGCTGGAAGAAGTCCTATTTTAGTAAGTTTTCTGTAGTAATCAGAAAAGTTCTTTCAGATTCATCAGTATTTGAGAATATGTATTAACCCTGTATCTTCTTAAGCACACCTTTTAAAGATTCATCATTGAATGAGTGCTCGCCATTCTAGTAATGCAATGAGGCTTTTCATTAAACTAATATTAAAGTTAAAAGTGCTTAGCTGTTTCTGAATCATACCTTAGCTCAAGCATTGCCAACTAGTGATCACATTTTGCATTTTAAGAGAGTGATGTGGGCACCAGTCATAACACAGCTGCTGGTGGAAGCCAGCAAAAGGACTACCGCAGTGGGTATCTCAGCACCCTCTCCTCCCTCTGTGTGCCCTCACGCCTCCCCTGAAACCACCAGGAGAACTCCCAGAACAGCATGTAGAGGAAGGAGAGCACTGCACTGATAGAAGGACCTTGTTAGCACCTTCTGATCAGGATTGTACAAAGTTACCTCTCTGCTGGTATCTTTCACTAAGAAGAATGCTGCCTGTTGGGGAGGCTACACTATGGTGATGGTCCCAACTTTGCCTAGGTGGGCAGACAGCTACTGCTGGAGGTTTTCCCACCAGCAGTAGAAAGTCTGTAAATGAGGCATTTCTGAGTGGGATCACTAGTAGCTTTGGATATGCTGATAGGGTCCAGCCAAAGTTAAGCACTTTTTGGTTGAACTGCTCAGATGTGTGTACATCTGTGTTATAACCTATATTAAAATCAGTAAGATTTAAAAGTTGAGCTCCCCAATTTTTGGCTGACCTTCATGGGCAACCAAAATATTGTGATCTCTGGGATCATACACCCTCCCCTAAGGGCCAAAGTCTTGTAACTGACTTGGTGCTGTGCTTTGAAAACCCAGTGTGAGGCTCTCAATGATTACTATCTGCTGTTCTCTCCCACTCCAAGCTATGAGCTGGAAAGCATTGAGAGGGATTTTACACATAGTAATAATGAGCTCCCACCCCTCAACAGCTCCATGCAGAAGGGGTAAAGAGCCTTGTGCAACTCTGTGCTCACCAAGTGCTCCAAGTGACTGGCAAGCACAAAGCCAAGCCAACATTCACCTTCCTCTATCTCCGAGCTGTAGGGTGAAGGCAGAGACTTGTTTTCCAGTGCTTCCTCTTCTCTTCTCCCTCCACCTGCAATAGTTCCAGGACTGAGAAGAAGCCTGAGACCCATCACACTTCCCAGGGCTATCTGTTTACTTATCACGATGTGAGCAGCAAACAAAATAGTTTACAAAATAGTATCAGACTTTGACTGGTACATTCCCCAGATTAATGATGATCATGATGCTGGTGGTGGTGATATATTTCTGAATGGCCTTTTACATGCGTCTCAAGGCAATTTACAAACATTTTGTGGACTGCACAAAGAATAGAAGATAGGTTTTAAAACAATGCAACATAAAACCCTAAGGCAGCTGGAAAAGCTTGTCAAAACAAAAAACGACTTCAGTTATTTCTGGAAAGTATAGATAGTTGGTGTCCTGAATTACTGTGGAGCTATTTATGCTCTTCTAATGCTACTTTTTTAATGCTTGTCTCTACAACACACATTGTTGCTTTCCTTATATGATTGTTGTTATGCTATCTATAAAAATTTAGAATTAAAAATAATTGATAGTTTCCATTTCATACAAGTGTTCTTTTATTTTTCTCAGTTGTTTAAGCTTTAGTTCTTGATCACTATTAGAATATTAGATATGCTTCTTAAAAAAAACTTGCAAGTGAAAAGTTTGCAACTTTTCTTTGAATTGTATGTAATTGAATCTCTTCAGGATAAGCAATATATATATATATAGTAAATGAATGCTTTTTACAGCATGTCTTTGAGGATCCAGAAGGAAAAATTGAATTGCCCCCTTCTTTAAAAGTGAGTTTCTGGAGAAGGCCACAAGAATTCTTAGTCACTAAGGTGAGAAGATGTTTCTTATCTGATGTTTATTTTATACAGCAGAGTTGCTAACCCTGCACCCATTAGTACCCCCACCAGATTAAGACTTAAGAAAGAAAGAAAGAAAGAAAGAAAGAAAGAAAGAAAGAAGTGTCTCCCTTCCTACAAAGACAGTTATGAAGCAAAATATGCAGATAAGCAAAATGTGCAGATATAATCAATTTCTTTGAAAAGAGCCAGCCTGGCTCTCTTGCCTGTCAGTATTTTTAGCCAATGAGTGAAGTCAGAGCTGTGATTGATAAGTGAGTTGTTTGGACACCAGACAACATGAATCCATTGAGTCCTGCAGAGTTTCTGTTTCCTCATGCCCTTTAGTGCACTTTTCCAGCTTGTGTGTTTTTGTTTTTGTTTTTTAGCCGTTCTGTTTATTTTGTTTTTCTGCCTGCCAGCCACATGGAGCAGGGGCTACTTGAAAGGCTCTTTAAAAATGTCTCTGTTGTGGTAGTAGAAAGAATGTGGGAATTGCCTGTCAGTCATTTTGCTGCCTGCAAAGTTGTAGTGGTGAGGGTGCCCATTTCAGAGTCATCATTATGATCATGACCATTTGTTCCTGCCTGTTCCCAAGTTGTTTGAGTAGGGGAGAGCATAGTGCAATGGTAGAAACATAATTACAATCATATCCTCATACACCTCTAATTTTGAGACACTTGTAGATGACTTTCCACCTCAAACATTGTCCAATCTGGGCCAGTATTATTTAACTATCCACCTGTTACCTATATTCAAAGGTTTTGCGGGTGTTTGCTTTCAAAACTTGCCTGACCAGTGTATAACAGTGGGGGGGGGGCATGTATGCCATGGGAAACAATGCCACTATCACACTATTGTATGTTACCCACTGATTATTTCACTAATGTCCAAAATCAGTTCAACAACAGTTCATCAGTCTTTTACAGAATTTTAGCACTGATTACTTTAAATTGCCTTCCTTAACTTTTGAATAATATTTTGTAGGCAGTTATACCGGTAAGTTATTTCAAGATTTTGAACATGTATAAGCCTTCATAAACATTTTAATAAAAGAATTACAATTATCTTTTTAGGTGCCTGTGGTAGTGAAAAATGAAACGTGGTTTGACCTTTTTTCAGCCAATGAACATTTAATGGGCAGTGAGGTATGTGTACGATCTCTTCTTAATTAAGAAAGCATATTAATTGTGTAGATGAATGGAGGAGACTTTTGATGTTGTCATAAAACAGGTAAAATGCCTTTGATAGGGCAGGGATGGCTCTACCATGCTGCAAGGCGAAGTGACCTGTTTCAGGTGATGCCACAGAAGGAGGGTTAAATGAAGGGAAGAATGAGCACACTTACATTTTCAAAATGGTGTAAGCTACCTTGAGCTATTTTAAAATTCAAAATGAACTGAGTTTAAAAATTCAGCTTGGGGGTAGAGTGCCAGCTGCTGAAGAGGTAGCTTATATGAAAAAATATATGATAACACATGGATTGAGAACAATTTCCATCCATTTTAACAAGGGGTTTGGTGTTATAGGGGAGCTACTGAAAGGGAAAAGTGGGGGGATCCAGGTGAATTTAAGCATGTTGGGGTCTCATTGATGTCATTGGCCTTAAGCATATGTACATTTGGATTGCACCTTACCTAGGAGTATGTTACCCTGAACCCAGAAAAGCTTGCTTCTGAGTAGGTAAGAATAGACTTGAACTGTTCATTAAGGAAGAGCTACATACTAGAATACCTTAGGCTGTAGTTAAAATTAACTAATCTGTTACCAGGCTGGATATCAGGTTCTTGGCCTCAGTCTAGAGACTGGATGCTGTTCACCCACAACAACATACGGGATCTTCCACTTTGTCCCCATGCACATATGATCCATTCTGTCAGAGCTGCTGGTGGTGAACAACTGTGTGGTGACAGGAGAGGAAAGGAGTCATCTATTCTCCCAGATGACAGGGTTCTGCTCCTTCTCCCTAACAACATTCTTTTGCAAAAGTATGGCCACATTTGGTTCCAGATCATGCTTGCTACTTTAGGGTGTCTTTGTTTCAGATTATTTAATACTGACACACCACCTGCTGTGTGTGATCCAGGAAGAGATCCCTCAATAAATTCATATGGAAAAGTGTTCCCTGCTTTATTTTGATTTTTCTTCCGTTGCATTGATTGCCTACTTTTATAAAGGCCTGGTGATTTATAAATAAAGTATTCTGTGCACCTTTTAATATGTCTTTCTGTCTGCCAACCCTTCTCTCTCATGTCATATTGGTGCTTAGATTCTGCTCTGTTGAGCACAGACTTCTTTTTTAATGTTCTCTGTGCAGCACTTGCTTTATTAGCTTCTATACAATTAAATAGTGTTGTTATCATTATATATTTCATTTTAAAGTAGAGTTAGACTATATATGTATATGTATGTATTGTGAACAAAACTGACTTCTGTTATTTCCTCCACCACCCAAAAAAACCCCTGGCTTCAGCTGATAAGATGGATAATAAGTGAAATCTATGCAGTTTGGAAATTGTATAATGCACCTGCTTTAAGTCCTGATCCTAAAGCTAATGCAAATGAAGCACCTCAGCTTTTGTGGAAGCCATGGGAACATATATATTCATTATGCAAAGCTATCAAGGGACATATGCCATTGTACAATAGCTATGGAAAATATGTGGTAAAGCTTTATTGGATGGTAAGTATGCATCAATCTTTTTGGTATATATTATGCACATCATTTATTTTACATAGGTTGCAGTCCTGTTGTGGGGTGGGGTGGTTGAAGGCTGAAAGCCTTTGAGCGGCCTTATCAAAAGGCTTAATGATCTTTCGCTGGAAGGGTGGAAGTGAGGTTCTTGCACTCTTATGTCCTTCTCCAGTTTATTATTTTATTTTACAGTTTTCCTTTCATTAGTAGCAACAGCTCCAAAACTGGCATGGTTTTCTTCTTGGTTTGTAGGGGTGGATGTGCCAGAGAATTGGACAGGCTAGGAATCCTTTGAATCAGTGCCTTCCCCCAGCACACACCCCTTTCATTCCTTTCCACACAGAGGCTGTGGACACTTCTGCAATGACAGGGAGGGGCCATATAGGGTTGGATCTCTCTACGTCTCTCAGATCTGACATGGTCTGCAGAAAGGGAAATCCAGTGCTTCCTATAGCCTTGGGTTGGGGAAGCTACAACTCTCCAGGTGTTATTGGACTGCAACTCCCATCAGCCTCAGCCAGCATGGCCAATGATTTTAATAAATGAATGACAAATATTGAACCAAAATACTGGCCAGTATATGATGCATGAATCTAAAGAGATAGCACAGGCTGAAACAAATGTCTATCTCTTCAGCAAGAAATTATACATTTTAAAATTTAAGCTGTGCCCACAAGCTATTTTAAATCCAACATTAAAGCATATAAATTATAGTAACATTTGAAATAACTAAACCATTTGATGTTAAGGAGAAACCACACTCAGGTGAATGTAGATTCAGGCCGATACAATCCATGTATTGAAAAGGAGTGCAATCCCATATGTGAGATGTCCTATATATATACAGCAAGGAGGAAATAATTCTCCCTTGTTCCAGATGCTTTGGAAAGTTCCAGAAAAGTGGATTCTAATATATTGCCATGGAAGCATAACAAGCCATTCCCAAAGTACCAGAACATTCCAATAACATTCTCCCTCAATGGTTGTTCAGTGGCATCTGAGTAGCACACTTTGTCCCACCCCATATTTCCACTTTATATGAGTAATAATGATAGATGACAAACTGCTTTTATCATTATGCTTTTATAAGATGAGAATGTTCCAACTAATCCTTTTAGTTCTGAGAGGATAGTTTTGCATTGGTGAAAACCACAAGAGCTGACAACTGAGGAATAGCTCATCAGTACCCTGCAAACAATTTCGAAAGTACTAGCTGTGCTGCTTTCCATTGTGCAGATGGAATCTACTGGACTTTCATATTTGCTCTCCCTATTTATTAAAATTATCTATAATGAGGGTCACGTTCTTGGAAGGTCACACAGATTTCCATGCTGACACCTAATCACATTTAATTTCCTTTCTCTTTTGCAGGGGAGCTGGCGAAAGATTATTGTGGATGACAGCATACCTTTCAATGAAGACAATGATATGCTGCTTCCAGTAACAACATGTGAAATTGAACTTTGGCCATTGATATTATCCAAAGCCATAATTAAACTAGCAAACAATGAGTATGTTTTCTAAGCTTTGTGTCTGTTTTGAGATCAAAATAGAGCGATGGGCAACAAAGCTAGAATTTAATACATAGGGTGGATGCTTGTTTGTTAAGAATGAATGAATTGATAGGGGTGCTTTTTGAACCCTATAAAATATAGTAAACAAAGGAAAGAAATATAGTAAACAAAGGAAGATCCTCAGCTGCAGCCAAAGTCAGTGGGTATGTTAACACATAATATACTAAGCCATAGTTTAATGCTACATGGATGAGCCTGAAATGTCTGACTGCAGCATTAGCTTACATCCTCCCTGCTTTACTCCTCTTGCACGTCTGGGAGGAGGACTTTGGCAGAGTTTGGTCCTACTTTTAAAGAATCCCAGCTTATTGTTTGGTTTAAAACAAATTGGTTAGTTTTAAGAACTGAGCTTCATAACCCATGGTTTGAAATTGTTTTCTTCTGAAACTTAACCAAAGTTTGTTTTAAACAGGAACTCTGGTTTGAACATAATGCTAAACTGGGATTCTTTGAAAGTTAAACTTGGCTCTTTCCAGCTGTACAGGAAAAGGAGAGAACGCAATGCAGTAGCTTCGACCTTTTACTCAGACTTGTTCAGGCTCATCCACATAGCAGTAAGCCATGGTTTAATGTCACATGTAAATGCAACTGGATTATATTTACATTAATGAACAAACACTTTCATTTCACAGAGGCCCAGGGTGTCCTTGATTTTCCCTTCCCTCTGCTGCAATCTCCTGTACCCCACTGAACACCTTCAACTCTCACATGAAGCTTTTTGAAGTAGACATGAAGTTGTAGTAGGAAGAATGAAGTGGGGAAGCCCTATTCCATTTTTGGAACTCATTTTGCAGTTGTAGATTCTAAGGCTCTGTTTTGTTAAGGAGGTATTTATATTGCACCCTTCAGCCAAAAAGGCTGCCTAAATGACTTTTTAAAAAATCAGCTTTAAGATGGTCCCTGCCCTTAGGTTTATGATCTAAAAAGAGGAAAAAGGAGTGGTCGGGGAGCGAGGTGGAGTGGGAAAGCAAACTGGAGCTCAATTTGTAACATTTCAGTTCTTATAACTGTTATAAGATTCTGTTTGTGTAGAAGAGCAGCATCTACTCACAGGTGTCAGAGGCAGTTATGGCCACGGCTTTCTTCACCAGAAGCCCTCCTCTCCTCCGGTCCAGGAGCAGAACTGCTGAACAATGTGCAGGACAGAGCAGCTTCTGCCACCGTTCTTCCCTAAGGCAGCTGCCGTAACTGACTTGATGACAGTTAGAATCCTCTCGGGAGGGGGCTTGATGGAATTATTTCCCTCTTCAGCCAATGTCTGTGGCAGCATGGGAGCTATAGACCTGTTTCTCCCAAGGCCCAGGGCCACCCAAACAAGGAAATGCTAGGGAAGTTGGGGGGGGGGGAAGATTCAGGGTTTTAGGAGGGCATATGTTATAGAGCTCACTGCATTGTAGATCATGAATTGTGTTGGCAGTTGGAAAGCTAACACAACAACTAACAAAGTACATTTGCATTGCCACCCTACATATTGGTCTGTTTGACCAATAATTCTATAACTTTGTGTCTAGCAGTTTCAGTTGCATAGCTTTGGAACAAATATAATGAAAAAATTAAAGAAACGTAGATGTTATAGCAGCAGAATTCCACCTCCATTGTGAGAGGGCAGTATTCCTCTGAATTCCAGTGTGCTTCCCACATGCTTCTGAATGGCCACTGAGAACAAGATGATGGATGAGCCTGAACCAGCAGGCTCTCTTTCTGTTCATACGTTAAAATTTTACTGAGAAGATCTAGAATGGCAATTTTAAATAGATTTATAGGTGGACATTTAATATAAAAGCATGTCTTTATTGTCATGAAAGTTTATGGCTCAAAATAAATTTTCATTTTTCAGTTAACTTAAGACTAGCTGGCTAACATAAGTTTTCCTTTGGAATTTGTCAACTGAATTTGTTCAATAAGTTACAGCAAATTGTGTTGCCAATAAAAAGTCATTGGCCATGGTTTTTGTTCTAATTTCTTCAAACCAGGCTTCCTCAACCTCGGCCCTCTAGATGCTTTTGGCCTACAACTCCCATGATCCCTAGCTAGCAGGACCAGTGGTCAGGGATGATGGGCATTGTAGTCTCAAAACATCTGGAGGGCCAAGGTTGAGGAAGCCTGCTTCAAACCTTTGAAAGCTTGAATTGCTTAATGCTATCTGATGCTATATTTTGTTTCTGGGAAGATAAGATAGGAGGCCTGTACCCCTCTGACTGCAGCTGTACTGTGAATTGATTTGTGAATATTCTTGTCTGCTTGCAGTGGAAATTATATATGAAATATGAAGAATTTGGAAGGATATGAGTGACTGTTGAGACAGAATTAATATCTGAATAGAATATTGATCTGCTTATATACATATTTGTATTTGTTTTAGCATAAATGATGTAGGAAAAAGGGAGCTGGGGGAATTCACAGTTCTACATGCACTTACTGGATGGATACCAGAAATTATTCCTCTCCAGTAAGTTCCACTTTTATATGCAGTTCCTTCAGCATTGCGTCCTGTATACTTGGTTGATCTGGTGTTTGGGGTGGGATGGGGTGAACAGATACACAGTATTACTCAAAACTTAAAAGCAGTCAAAATCGACTGAATTCTGTGAATTTTTTTAAAAAAAACCTTAAAAGATCATAAGTTGATTGTTGCTGGGGTCTTTTTCTTGTCTTCCTTTCTGCCTGCTCGATACTCACTCGCTATTCAATCACTTTATGACTCCTTTAGTGAAATATTACCTTTTAAAATGGTTGTATACATGTTTTATTTGTTGGGTTTGTCTGGTAGTTAATGGTGTCTATAGGATTCTAGCCTAAATTAATTTCAAATTCACACTTACCTGGGAGTTAGACCTGTTAAACTCAGTAGGGCTTTCATCTGAGCAAACGTACATTGGATCGTGCTGTCCAAGGATGTAGGGGGGAAACTATGTTTCATCGTTTCAAATGATCATTTTAAATATCTGATTTTGAAACTGCTTGGTTTAGTGTTTTTTGTTTATGTTATTTCTGAATGAGTTTTACAGAGTAATCCTAACCTTCTGTGCTGCTAGAGAGAGTTAAGATAAGATGATGTCCCTCCACCAGTGGAGGACTCCATTGCTGCTAAAAGTGCATTGGGTTGAAAGGCTGTTTGAAGCAGTTAGTATAGGGCTCCAAAACATAGGCTTATAGAATCATTAAGAGGGTGGGGCAGGTACAATGCAGAACCAGCCATAGATCCACTAGATGTAAAGCTGCTCTATCCCCTGAGGGGAGTGCCAGCATAGAATCCCTCAACAGTATCAGCCTAGAGCCAGCATTGCAAAAAACATATTGACTGGCTCAAGTGGCAAGACTTGGGCATGTGACCGTTGTTCCACCACTTTACTCCCCTGGTTGGGGTTGCTTTTGCTTTGTCCCTAACCTTTTGGCAAACTGTTGTGCTTGTCTTCGTTGTTATTTTCTCAGTACTCGAGAAAAAAAATAGGTTGCATTTCTTTTCAAGGAGTGGATACATTCTAGATGACACTAGGTTCCAAGAGTGACTAGAACGGTTCCAGTGATAACCAGACTATTTAAATGGTAGTAAAATTCAGCATGGTTGCTTGACTTGACTTCTATAGATTAAAAAAAAACACTTGAGTAGCATAATGCATATGCAGTAAATAAAGAGCAGACAGAACTACATTTCAAAGTAATGTTTATGTATATTTTAAAGATCTGGATATTTGGATAAAGTTTGGGAATTCTTAAGAGAGACATTGCCAGAATTTAAGTTACCAGAAGAATCCGTTCCTGAACTTAAGATATCACTTCAAGACACTAAAAAAGATCTAAAATCATCTGACATTAAAAATGATGCCGTACCTACTGTTAAGCCACCAGAGAAGGTAGAGAAACCTGAAAAAACTGCCAAAGGTATGAAATTATAAAGACTGTGAATGATATGCAACAAAGGACACCTTCTGGACAGAGAAACCACATCTTTATTTCTTTGCACTTTTCTGTATAGACGTCAAATAATCACATTAAAATCCAAGGAGTTGCCAGACTTGAAGGTGTTACATGTATGTCAGAGAGAGAACTGAGGTTTGATGTAAGGTTGCAATTCAGTGTACAATAAAGTACTTTTAAATCCTATTGAAATCAGTGCAACAGTGTGCTGGACTGAAAATTTAGGACTGCCCTCAGATAACTCAGCACCACTGAACTTAGTGAGATTATTTATCTTGAACTTAACATTTATCTAAAACAGAGGCACAAATTTTGGTTCATGGTTTTCTGCACTACCCATCCCTTGAGACAAGGACCACTGGGTGTTGTGTGACCATGTATGGTAGTATTCACACGTGCATTGTCTTTCTTTGGTAGAGAAGCAAGATCAAAAAGATGTTGGAAAGAAGAGAAGCAAAGATGGTGAAAGGGATAAATTTAGGCCAGGGCCTCATTCTGGACGCGTGTCTTCTGACTTTCAAAATTCTCTCCAGCTGTTTCTTGATGGTAAATTATAATTGTTCCTAGATGTATGTAACAACTGATCTCGACACCGAATACTTTATTGACTTCTGCTCATAATTAAGGATTGTAGGCTTTTCCTCAGCTGAATGAGACTGCAAAAGATCACACCAGTTTGCATGAAGCACAAATTAATCTCAAAGGCAGGCAGAAAGTACTTCAGAGTTGGTTTCAGCCTCAGAGAAAGTGTATATTGCCCCACATTCCCTTCTTCTTTTAGGTGGTCTGAAGAAGTTAACCTCTTCAGGTGAACTGCAATCCTGAACACTTTGCTAAAATTTTGGGTTTGTTGTGGGAAAAGCAGGTGGTGGCTGGGAAGGTACATGGAACAATTCACTTGGAGGTTGCTAGTTCCTTCCATGGTTTGGCTAGCTCTTTTTCTGCTCTAAGCACAAGAGGTCACGTAGGGGCAGATCAGTCCCCAGGAAAAAAAAGTGAATAAAATGTATGCCGTTTAAGTGTAAAGCCCTAACTGATCATGAAACCACTGTTCTGAAGTAGCTCCATTCATCTGTGCCTGAAAGGTTACTTAACTTGAACAAAATTGGTGAAATCAAGTTTCATTTCTTGCTTTCATAGCAACATAGCACCCAACAAGGTCTATAATAGTTATGATAATATTGAGCTATTATCTGTGGCAGCATTTCAGGGGGTTTTTGTTACTGTTTTGGAGTTTTTTTATCTTGTATTTTTATCTTGTGAACTGCCCTGAAATCTTTTGATGGGCGGTATATAAATCTAATTAATAATAATATGTAATGGGTTCTTTTAATAGGTTCTGCAACACCACTGCAACCACAGATGGTGGTATATGCTTGCTATATGCCTCTTTATGTGTCTGAAAGAAAGATATTTGTATTAGGGAAAATGGTAAGGCTTTGTTTATTTTGCCTTCAAAATATGAACTAATAATCGAATAAAAGCAGCAAATATATCAGCAAAGAACACAAAACATATTTGTGAAAAGGGCTGTTTGTAGGCCAATTTTCTGCCTCTGTCCAGCTCAGGTTTGGGGTTGGTTGGTTTTATACCTTAAGTGCTTTGACTTGTTAAAAAGAAACATATGTTTCATAAACATTCCTTTTTTGAAACTTGGTACAGCAATGTGCAGTTAATTGGAATCCTGGCATGTATAGTATTCTTACCATTAACAGGGATATCTTCCCAATGTTACTGGAGACTTTCCATATAGGTCTAGCTAAGAATAAGTTGCCCATCATAACGAAGGATAATCTAGAAGTAGACAGGGCTGTAATTATGCTAGTGACTGGCCAAGTTTGCCAACACTCTTTGAGAGAAATTACAGCTCAATTACAGTGCAATATTTTATTTCCACTCCAAACCTGAGTCTTATTGTTTTTGCAGGACTGTGCAGTTGTTCCTATATTCCTCTATATTCCCCTTCTACCTCCTTGATACTCTTGTCTTGCCAACGGTAGGATTGGAGCGCTCAGATGGAGTTTAGGGCTGTTGATGGCCCCACATACAGAGGCAGTGCGGTGCTCTCTGTCCTAGAACAATTATGATAGTCAGAAATTACATAATTGTGCCAAAATTAGTTTCCTCTTGATATTTTTATGTGTAACACAGCCTCCATTGTGCATTTTATTCCTATTTCTTTTGCAGGCTGATTCATCTGAGCAGTTGCGGCAATATGGTCTTTCCCACATATACAGTCACCCTGCACTACTAACCAGAACAAGGTCTGGCCCCCTGGTAGCCCCTCCAAAACCACCACCTATTCCTCGTTGGAAACTTATCCGCCAGAAAAAAGAAACAATTGTGACTGATGAACCCCAAGGTTTGTTTTTCCAGGCTTTGCAGTATATTTTAAACTAACAATAAGCCAAAATGTAATACTTGTCTCTTGATTTCACCCACACTGCCATTTAGAGGATCAAAAGGATTGATGTATGAAAATTCAGATGCTTTTTATTTTATCGGTTACCTAATAAGTATTATTCTGTGCTTGAAATGAATACTGAAAGTAGTACTATTGTGTGGTTTTTGTTGTGTTTCCCTTGTCTTGACCACGTTCGAGACATAGGGATATATTGTGTCTTCTGAAAGCAATCTGACCCACAGCAATACACATACATACACAAAATATAGTATAGGATACTTCTCTGGTTTGGCACAGAAACTTGCAGTGTGGAAAGTGTTATCATATTGATGGGAGGAATGTTGACTTTTTCTTTGTTTGGGCCAGACTAATGAGAAAAGAGAGTGACAGAGAAGAATATTACCATCATATTATCCCTCCCTCGAGCTCCTAATAGTCAACATCTGTCTTTGAAGCTTTATAGCTGTGGCAGAACCAGCTGGAGGACTCTAGGCATTTGAGCCTCTTTTCCTGCCCACAGGGCAAGACTGCTGCTGGTGGGCTGACCCCAATCTGGGTCATTGTTTTGGTACTGTCATGAAGGTGAGGCTGATGTTCTTTACAACATTAAGAATATTTTTTTCTTGTTAAATCTGTGCTGTTAACATTTTAACATAAACCTGCTAACCATGTTTGTCTGTGTGCACATTTCACCTTCCTGAATGAAAGGCAGTCTTATTGTATAGAACCTGCAGATAATATACTATTCCCTGGATTCAGATTGTTATTTTTCAATGAGAGTCTTTTTGTGTGGAGGGTTTCTTAAACTATGAAGAACTCCTGTTTTTGTTCTTTACCTTCCAGAACCTGTCATTAAAAAGCCAGAACAATTCATTGAACTTGCTAGCCCGTTTCTGAGCTATAGACTTTCTCCAATACCAATACCAAGAGACACGTAAGTATATGAACCAGTGGGCTTCAGTGAATTATATTTGGAAACCTACAATCAAGCGTTATATAAAATTTAATAAATAATGATATTTTGTGCATAAAGGTGAATTCAACAACAATTTAACACTACAAAGTGTTAAAGGGGTGTGTTTATCAATAGAGGAAGAAAGGGAGGAAAGGAGGGAAAATGTGCCACAAGTGATTTGTATTCATAGAAGTTCATGGTAATGCTGTAATTTAAAAAAACCTGAACTTCAAAAATCCCATTAGACATATATAACTTCCTATATGTCCAAAAGACAATATGTTGGAATCAGACTTGCATTCATGTTAGAGGAAGGAGAGGCACTTTTCTCAGATTCTTTTCCACACCCCCCACCCCGAAGAACTGAACCAGAGGAGATTCCCTAGAGCAGCACGAGAGGCAGCATGCATGTGCGAGGGGGGTGGGCTACATAAGCAATTGGAGATGATGATGAGGATTTCATTTCTAATGTGTATTTCCCCGAAGGTCCCAGGGCAGGTTGCAAAAAATTTAAATACAACATTAAAAACAGATTTAAAAACAAAAAAGACAATCACAAAAAATAACTACCAGAAATGATGGCTTACAATTTATGCTTCAAAAGTACTTGTGCAATGGATGGTAATCAACACGATGCCCTTGTTTTCTCCCAGGCAGTGATTTCAGCCAGGAGACAAGGTTCTTGCCCAAGTGGTAGCATATGCTAGACCAGGCTTCCTCAAACTCGGCCCTCCGGATGTTTGAGACTACAATTCCCATCATCCCTGACCTCTGGTCCTGTTAGCTAGGGATGATGGGAGTTGTCCCAAAACATCTGGATGAGGCAAACCGGCAAGGTTGTTAGATAAGTAGCACCCTGGATAGCTCCTAGTAGCACCTAGGTTGGCAGTGAGACAAGGAAAGCTTGAATGTAGCTCCAATAAACAGTGAACCCAGACTAAGCCTAAAACAGGCCTCCCACTTCCTTGGAACAGCTAGCCCAGCCTCTGGTGAGCAGAGCTTCTGCTCTTAAAAAAAGTCTACCTTCTTTTATAGAACAGGTACCAGGATTAGAAGCTTCATTAGTAAATCTCACCTCCTCAAAGTGCAAGGAAGTGTTATTGGTTTCTGAACTTAAATTAATTTTCCTTGGATATTCCCTATTTTCCAGTAGGACTTCTTTTTATGGTAACTGCTAATGGAGTAGAGTTACTCCGCTGGACATTTTAATATATACATTTTATTTAGAGATGAATGTTAATTTATCTGTGTTTTATTTAGCCATTTCCCACCTTCTACATTCAAAAAAGGATCTCTTCCAGCATCCAGTCTTCCTGCTGTCACTGAAAATGATGAAAGCGTAATTGACTCTTCTGGAGATTCAAATTTAACAAGTACAGAAGAAATTTCTCAGGTGAAGATTTTATTCTGCATGTCTTGTTCCCCATTCATGCAAAAAAATGTGTACACTACTTCCTGTATGATCAGTTTTTTGAAAAAAGAAAAATGTTGCTGAGCTCTTTTTCTTTGCATTTGAATAAATCTGAAGACTGTGATTCATCTGAAGTTTGTAGTAAAAAAATTATGTGCACAAATCATTCTAGATCAGTCCTGCACAACTTGCCAAGCAAGCACAACTAAGCCTACCAGCCATGCATGTATAACCTGTTGGGGTTTGAAATTGGCCCTGTTGTTTTTTTTGCAGTCCCAGATGGGCAGCAAAAACAGGATTCTTATCAAGCACAAAATGCTGCTGGGCTGCATTTAATGTGACTAGTGGCAAGTTGTACAAACCTCTGCCCCATTCACCAGTGTCTCCCAAGTCCCATGAGAGGCTTTAAGGGGCTGTGTGGATAAGTTGGGAAATTCAGCTTCCACCATCCCTCTTCTGGGAGCTGTACAGTCAAACCTTGGAAGCCGAACGCCTTGGCACTCGTACATTTTGGCTCCCAAACACCACAAACCCGGAAGTGAGTGTTCCGGCTTGTGAACATTCTTTGGAAGCCAAACATCCAGTGCGGCTTCTGATTGGCTGCAAGAAGCTCCTACAGCCAATCGGAAGCCACACCTTGGTTGCCGAACGTTTTGAAAGTTAAATGGGCTTCCAGAATAGATTCCGGTTGGCTTCCAAGCTATGACTATACTCTGGATTCCAGATTCTATCATTTTATAATCTTTATTGAGCATACTGTAACATGGAGGAGACAATTTGTAAAAATGCAGAAATATTCCATTAAATTGGACTCCCAGTACTATATTGATCTGAGAGCAGAACAGTTGTCCTAGAATGGAATTGGTGGGCATGATCCTAAATCTGCCACCATGCATAGAGGCAATTTGGTAGTAGAGGGCTGAGCATACTTCTGATTTAAGAGTTGTCCCTAGGGACGAGAACAGAGTTGTTTTAAGCATTCTGTTATTGCCTCACATCCGCAGTGAAGCCAACATTAGCACGCATGTGTTAACGTGTGCACAGAGTCTCATGGAAATGAGTGTGTAGTGAGGTTTGCCAGACTGTGGAAGTTTGCTACAGATAACTAGCTTTCTATGACACTTCTAATTTATGACACATTTAATTTATTTTGCTTTTTGCTATTTTGCCAGTATTGTTCTAAACAAACTTTTCCCCTCTCTGCAGGAATCTACTTTAGCTGCACTACATACTGTGGAAGGATCCACCAGAGGTAAATAATATGATTGTGAATAATGAATTCTCTATTGAATAGGAAAATATTTATTAATTCATTCAGTTATTTAGTTACAAATGAAGTAAAAATTCTATAAATAGCTAGTTCCAAGGTGTCTTACAATGCAAAATTATAGGGGGAGAACAGCAATGAAAACTTGCCAGAGAAATAAGCAGTTGGTAAAAGGGAATTTCTGATATTGCATCACATTAAACTAGTATTTCCCTCCAATAATTTTGGACTATAGCTGACATAATCTCTGACCATTGACTTTGCTTACAGGGTGCAGGCTGTAGCCATGGACATGTAATGTGATCTGATGGTGAATTTGGGGTGACCCAATGCAAAGATCCTGAGGATCCATGTGGATCTGTGCTTTGTAACCACATTTTTGCACCATTGCAGCCCCAGGCAACAGTGGGTGCATGATTTTTTTGGTGCAGGCTGTAGCCATGGACATGCTATGTGATCTGATGGTGAATTTGGGGTGACCCAATGCAAAGATCCTGATGATCCATGTGGATCCGTGCTTTGTAACCACATTTTAAGTGGGGAGGGAAGGAAAAACACAGAAGGGACAAGGAGCACTAGAGGGGTGTGCAGAGAAGCAGCTGGCTAAGAATGCAGGAGAGGGGTTTAATGGGAGGGAGGAAAGGAAGGCAAAAGTTTTTCCCCCCACACACCCCCAAGCCAGCTCTCTCTCTCTCTCTCTCTCTCTCTCTCTCTCTCTCTCTCCCACTTGCATGTTTTCCGGCTGCCTGCGAGTCCCTAAAATGCTTCCCTGGACGCAGCAGCACTGGAGCACAGAGAGGAATTAGAAGGAAGGAAGCGATTCTTTCTTTTCCCCTCTGCTTGCCTGGAGGGGAGGGGATTTGCCTGCTCTTTGTTCCGTTTGAGCAAACAGGAACCGAAACAGAACAGGGTGGGCAGTAAGACCCTGAGGCAGAATGCAGGAAAGCAACAGCTTCCTCTCTCATGGAGCTCCTTCCTCCCTGACGCGCGCGATTGGATTTTTGCCGGATTTTTGCCCCTGCGCTCCAGCCAGTTGGCTCCAGGGACCACACATTCGCTCAATAACACGCACAGACATTTCCCCTTACTTTTTAGGAGAAAAAAATCTGTGTGTTATAGAGAGAAAAGTACGGTAATCTCTTTTAATGCTTCATGACCTTTGTCAAAACATGCACATAGTACATGAGTGCTTCTCTCTCTCAAAGAGCATGTGTGTTAATATTTCACATTGTGTTGTTATATAACTACAGAAACATCACATAGCAGTAACCTACTGTAATTAGGGATGGATGGTTGTTTATTTCTGTTCTGTGTCACTTTTACTTATGTTCACTTATAATTACATTTATTGCATCTCCACGTTAATCTGTATTTGCGGTGTGTGCATATTAAATAGGCCTTTTCTGTCAAAATCTGCATTTCTTAACTTGCTTTCTCTCAAAATACACATTTAAAAATGTATTTCAATACTTTGAGCCAAAACCTGCACCAAACACTAGTGAATTGCAAAAGTTGGTTAACTAAATTCAGGTTGTCATCTTGATCCGGGAAATGTTGTTCAGTTCCCTTCTTATGAGAGTGAGTTAGCACAGACTGGCTTCTTGGAGCACAATGCTTCCAGAACTTCAGTTGGGCTTGTCTCTTAAAAACAAATTATTTTAAAATATGGTATATAAGATAGTTTCAAGGATGTGCATTGACAACCCTGTATTCTGCAACTTCCTTACTAGAGATTAGGTAAAACAGAGAAGCATTTGTTGTCAGCATGCTTCAGGGCTAACCTAGAGAGCCCTCTAGAGGTGAAGCATAACCGTTATGTTTTCATTTATCCAGTATTTTTGTGAATTGGGTTTAAAGGGTTCATAGCTTCACAACCTTCATTTCAATTCACAGTCTTCAAATAATTTATTTATTCTTTTTGAAGATGTATGAAATCTTCAATATGCAAGCAATATGTTGGTTTGGGGGTCCTGTTTTAAGTGGTTATAGACAAATCCTCCCTGATTCAGTCATTATTTAGTAGCTGTCTTGGTGTATATTCAAAAAAATGCTTCTCTGCTTTTGAGAATTCTCTTCTGACGTATTGATAGTTCATCTGTGCTTATGTTGCTGGACAAACATGCCCTTCCCAGCCTGGTACCTTTCAGATGTTTTGTACAGTGTTGCTGGCTGGGACTGATTGGAGTTGTATTCCAAAATATCAGAAGGGCACCAGGTTAAAAAAGGCTGCTTTACTGTGCTGCTTTCTGGCAGTTAGAAATTCAATCTCTCTCCTTTCTTTACCTTTTTAAGAGAAGAAAGAATAGTTCATTCCATTTATCTTCAAAGCATTTGCCTTTGTGGTGCATGCAGCTTCACAGCAATCAGTGAGGATTTAGGCTGTTACGTGCATACATATACAGTATTGCTAAGTTGCTTTATGATAAATTACTAGGATAATTTTGCCCTGTTTAAGTTTCTCAACTTTACCAGTAGAATATAGTCTTTCATTTCTGAGTGTAAACTTAAGGAAATTTTTTTCCCCTTATCTGTGCAGGGGAATCGACTGAAAAAATAAGTAGTGAAGCAGCTCCAATGCCAGAATCAACAGAACCTGCTAATAACCAGTTAGGAAATAAATCTCAGGAAGAGATTGAATCAGAAAAGAGCCCCATCTCCAGGGAAATATGGATGGACTATGAAGATTTCTGTGTTAGTTTTCAGTAAGGCATGCTTTTATTATTGTTACAGAAGCTATATCTTCTTTTGTGGACTTTTGCAAATTATCCTTCACATTTGTGTAGGTGACTCATGGCTGCTACACAAAAGGCATCCTCAGTCCCTGTGGTACATACTAGAAATTCAGCATATTTTCTTATAAATCTGCCATCTGATTATTCCTAACAAATTATGCTGTATTTTCTTTAAGACAGTGGATGGTGGCCAGTGGTGGCCACCACTAGGAGAATGGACTTCTACTGGTGTGACAGAACTTTCCCTTCCTTTCCTTCCCATTGCAGTCCCCTGCTTACATTCAAAAGCTGTTCTTGATGGTTCAAGGAGCCCCTGGAGTAGATTTGGGGAGGACATGATGGCAGAGAAAAAAGGGAAGTCCCATTGTGCAAGCAAAAGTCCACTCATGCAACAATGGATGTTGCCCAGTAAGAGATTTCTGTGATGTCTGATAACCTTCTTTAATAAATGTAACATCAATTTTCCAGAATAATTGTCTTCAAAAGCAGTTGCCAAACTCCTAGCATTCCCCCTCCATTGTTACTTAGAGAACAAGCTGCACATACCCAATGGCTAGACCCATAAGATCACAGGTGTCATCTCAGCCCATAGGTCTGTAGGCCCGTCTGCTTGGTTACAAAAGCACTTTTGCAAGCTCCATTTTACTTCCCCCCCTCTTGGTCCCTTGCAGTTCTTGCCATTCTGCCTCTTGCTGCCCCATCCCTGAAACCAGGTTCTTTGAACTTACTCTATATGCTTTCACATTGGTTTTTGGTTCTACATCTCCTGGACATAAGAATGACTCACTGGACACATTCTTCCCTCATACATAAATGACTTGAAATGCCAAATATTATTTTATTTATGAAAAACAGTTACGGTGAAATGAAAAAAATGTACAAGTAAAAAAGTCCTTTCACATAACATTTTAGCATTTAGGGAAATCTTAAGCACGTGGTTATATTTTTTACATCAGATTTGATGCTCATAAACATCCTAAATTCAACCTGAACATGATACAGGTGTAATGGAAGAGTTCTGTCATGGCTGCAACCACAACTACCAGTGCAATCCTATGCACATCAATTTAAAAATAAGTCTCATTCAATTCCATGGGGCTTACTCTCAGCAATGGAGTACAGGATTGTAGCCTAAATGAACAATGGAAACTTAGACTTAATTACAACTTGCAGTTCAGAATGGTGACAGATTATTCACATTTTCAATTTCAGAAGCTGTCATGTAATTTGGAAGTTAACTTCTGTTGCTAGATGATAATAACATACTGAGTAACTATTCAAAGAATCCTGATGGTTTGTTTCAGTTGTCTTATATTTCAGTAAAATGTGATGCACAGCATGAGAGGTTTCTGTATAATTAATGCTAAAATAATAATGTTTTCTTTCCTTAGGAATTTGTATGTTTTCCACAAGCCAAATACCTATAGCTACACCTATCAGAAGTCAGATTTTAGAGTAAGTGCACTGACTACATGATTTATTCATCTCTTTGTAAACTATAACGGCATTGTGAATCCCAGTTTTGTATCCATTCTGTAAACATTTGCATTCACCAGTAAAATGTTACTATCTACAAAAACCTACCACAGAAATAATTGATACAAATCCTAAAATATAAATGACAGACATTAAAAACAATGTTATCATGATACTTTGGGATCAGAGATACTGCAGAATTTCAGTTTGGATCTGACAGGGAAACTAGTTCCCTTAGCCTCATTTTGTATAAACACAAGTTTAGATAATTGTATTTTTTAATTTTTCCTCTGCCATCAATTCACTCAGAATACTTTGAAACCTCTTTGTAGTTTGTATAGTATAGTAGGCTAACATATGAGCTGGACAATGACACGAGATATATGATGAACTTTTAACTAAGATCATTGGCTAATTAAAAGGGATACTGTGCACAAAGGAATACTAATAGTTACATCAGGGTCTTAAAGGTACTTGATAAGTGACTTTTACCTCAGGCCAAATCCCTAAACCTCCACCCCAGTCAAATGAGCCACAACCCAGTCCAGTTACTTGAGTCAATCTGCCTCTGACCCACCAAATTCCTCTAGTTGCTTAGACAGTTTAGCCCGCTTAAAAAACCTGCTTGTGCAACCTTCCTCTGTTAAGACTTTTAATAGGGCAGCCTCTCAGACCTACTCAGTCACCAGCTCCTTTCTCCTGGTTTTCACCAGATGGAGTATTAAAAACACACTGGGTATTAATATTCAGGATTCAACTTTCCCCTCCGATTTCCCTGTCTTTCCCCAACTCCTTAACTGACCATTTTCCAACTCCTTTCCTGACTATTGGACACCTCCACTCTAGAATTTCTGTACAATCAGAGTCTGCTATCACCCAGCCGAATCAGAATGAATTTACATGCTCTAGGTCCTGCCTAATACCTTTTCGAAGTGATCACCTCTCTTCCCTCTCAGAGCATGTCACCAAGCAACTACAGTGGTACCTCGCAAGACGAATGCCTCGCAAGACAAAAAACTCGCTAGACAAAAGGGTTTTTTGTTTTTTGAGCTGCTTCGCAAGACCATTTTCCCTATGGGCTTGCTTCGCATGACAGAAACGTCTTGCAAGTTTGTTTCCTTTTTCTTAACACCGTTAATACAGTTGCGACTTAACTTCGAGGAGCAACTCATAGAACGCGGTGTGGTAGCCTTTTTTGAGGTTTTTAAAGACTTTGGTGATTTTTGAAGCTTTTCCAAAACTTTCCCGACACCGTGCTTCGCAAGACGAAAAAAATCGCAAGACGACAAAACTCGCGGAACGAATTAATTTCGTCTTGTGAGGCACCACTGTACTATTATAGAGGCTTTCAACGTAATAACAGTATAAAGCCTCAAACTCTGTCACCAAATTTATATTGGGTTGAATCCAGATAAAAGCCTATAGAAACGCAGCTGGCTTACCCCCAGCCATCTCATGGAAGATGCCACTGTCCGGTTTTCTGTGATCTCCCCCCCGCCCATGCCACAGCCTACCCCATTTGACTAGGTCCCCTGATTCTCATTATAAACTTTCTGGGAGCTGGAAGCTGCCAGAGAAATGGGGGTAGGAATATCAACTTATCCCAGTCCACTGCTGTGGAATTTTCTGTGGATCCAAAACATTTTGGAATACAGTGGAGTAAAGTTATTAGGCATTCAGCCAATTCAAGTACCCCTTGTACCCTAAGGCCTAGAAGAAATTGAGGAGAATTTCATTTGTTCTACATTTTTAAAGCAAGTCGCACATTCTGGACCAATACACGGGAAATAATTCAGTGTTGTACTAAGGTGGTTGTTCTACCAGGACAAGCATTTCAGCCTGCCAGATGGAATGATTCCCTTTCTCCTCTCACTCTTACTGTTCTGGGATTCTCCTGACCCCCTCAGGGCCAATTTGGGGGGGCAAATGGAGAGGAGACTTGTGTTGTGCTTAAGTATTTTGTGCTAATTACCGTATTTTTCGCCCCATAGGACGCACTTTTTCCCCTCCAAAAATGAAGGGGAAATCTGGGTGCGTCCTATGGGGCGAATGCAGGCTTTCGCTGAAGCTTGGAGAGCGAGAGGGGTCGGTGCGCACCGACCCCTCTCGCTCTCTAGGCTTCAGGAAGACATCCGCAGCCTAGACATCCCTGCGGACCTCCCGCAGGGCTGTCTAGGCTGCGGATAGCAGCCTGCTTCCCGGAGCGCCGGGCGCGCTGAAAGCAGAGCGCCCGGCGCTTCGGGAACACATCCGCAGCCTAGGCAGCCCTGCAGGAGTTCCCACAGGGCTCCCCAGGCTGCGGATAGCAGCCTGCCGCCGGGTGCGCGGGGCGCCCTGAAGCAGAGTGCCCCTCGCGCCGGGCAGACATCGGCCAGCCCCACAAGCTCGGGGGACAGCGGGGAGGTGCAGTGCCGCCATCCCGCTGTTCCCCGACCTGGTTTTGGGGGAGAAATAAAGGAAAACATTTTTTCCTTTATTTCCCCACCAAAAAACTAGGTGCGTCCTATGGGACGAAAAATACGGTAAGTAAAATCTAGTTGCAGAATTCCTAAACCCATTGCTTCATCATGTTAACTAGCTTTTGTGTCTTCTCTTTTAAAATATTTAGACCAGTAGTTTACGAAGGGTGCTCATTAAAGATTTCCCCTGATGTACTTCCCATGGACTGAGGCAAACGAAACTGGGCACAGTTATTAGTCCTTCTCTACATAGCTACCAGCAAGAGTCACACACTTCTCCCATCACTTTATGCAGCTACAAATTACCACGTTACCTATGGAGAGATGTATACATGTACAATTTCATCCTCCTACGATAACAGAAGTGGGTCAGGGAAAATCTTTAATTCTTAGGATAAACTTAACTTTTTCAGTAGATTAAAATAGAAGCTAAATGTTATGGGGAAGCAAAATCCAAGGTTTTTCTTGGTGACCTTTCATTGTTGACTTTATATCATACATTGATTTGAAAAACAGTGTTTAAAATATAACTCAGATGCTGCCAAATACTAGTCGTTCCAATACTAGATAAATAATAAGCATGGATACTCTTTTTTTTCCTTACAGATGGTGGATGATCGTATTGTATATTACTTATCTGTAGATAGTTTGAAGCCTACTGATATCCTGGTTAGCTTTTCAGCATTAGTACACTGGGGGGAATCAGGAGGTAAGATCAGTATCAAATAGATAGGTAATGCAAGTATTGATTCTTGTGATTTTTTTCACAAAGAGGTACTCAAAGATAGAACTCTGTTAGAGCTGCAGTATTTGTGATCTTCTTCTATGTTGACACACAACTTTCTCATTTTACCATGAATGTTTGGTGAAAGTCTTGGATGCAATTAATTGTTCTTAAGCCCAGAGTCTGTGGTAGAACTGCACATGTTATTAACTAACAAATCAAAGTTCAATCAACTTCCATCCTCTTCATAATAATTTGAGGCTGCTTTTATGGTTTGCCATAATTTGCAATTGAAAACAGCCTCAATGTATATGTCAGAATAAAAATGCCTTACATGCAGCTCTGTTGTTACTGGAGTTCTAGGGTCTGCAGCCCTGCTTGCTCTGTTCACCACCATCCCTACCATTCCCCCTACATTAATCTCCTAGAGCTTCCCAGCCCACACAACTACTAAGCTTTCTATTTTAGGCTTTAAGGAAGGCACATAGTACCCATAGTCCCTTCAGCATTAGTTCAGTGCACACGAGGCTCAAGGAAACCTATGAAGGACCAGTCTACTCTGTCTCCTATCATTGCCTTGGGTTTGGTTTGTTGTCCACCACAAGAGGCATCTCATTACCTGAGATCTGGAGAGGGTAACATAGCATGTTCCTCACTCCTTGTATATTCAAGATTCTGCCTGTTCAAGAAGGTGTAGAAGAGAAACACGTTAGACTGCAGTTCTTTGTTCATGTACCTGAAGTAAGCCTCTTAGTGGTAGGCATATGTAGGCGTCAGGGAACTGCCATCAGCTCAGAGGCGAGAGATGGAAGGGCAGTTGTGTTATAGGGAGCATCCGGAAATCTTGCGAAACAGTTCCTCTTCCAGCGAGGAGGAAAGCCACACTTCCAGTGGAGAAGAGGTGCAGGGACCAGGGGATGCTAGGGAGAGCCTCAACACCGAGCCTGAGCAAACCGGAGAGGCAGGAAGTATGCCCTTGCCAGCTCCCAATCTGCGCAGTAGGCTTCGGCGCAGGGAGGGGCGGAAAAGGCTGGGGGTGACGCGACTTTTATGCTGGGGGAGGTACAAAAACCAACCACTCCCAGATTCTGCTAGCGATTGAGCCAGACATGAACTTACGATGCTCTTCACTGTAAATAGTGTGCACCAAGAATAAAGCCTGGAAAAGACAGGTCAGAGTCTTGCCTGTTTACTCTCGAGCAACCACACCAGCATCTGACAGTAGGATTTGAGTGTTTCATTGTTTCTTAGTAGAACTGCTTACAAATTTTAATTATTTGCTGTCTCTGGCAACTTGACTTAACATGCTATAGGCAGAAAGGAAAAGGCTGATGAGCTTCCTCCTTTCCTTTTGTTTTATTGTCTACTCTCTTGAAAGACTGCCTGCTGATATTTATAAGATATAAATCATGTTCTATGAGCTTTACAAGCAACAAACTACAGGTTACATCTAAGAACAACTTTCAGAAGACATCTGACGGCAGCCCTGTATTGGGAAGTTTTTACTGTTTGACATTTTTTTATGTTTTATGTGTTGGAAGCTGCCCAGAGTGGATAGGGCAACTCAGCCAGATGAGCAGGGTATAAATAAAATCCTCAGCATATGTAAAGATATTGGAAATGGTTACATTTTGGTGATAAAAAAAAACAAGTTATCCGTACACTTTTATTTTATAGCAAGTGCACAAAAAGAAGGCCATGTTTTGCCCAAGGGATTACTCATGGTTGAAAAATTCTCATGGAAAAATTTGGCGCCAGGACAATTAATCCTGAAGATCCATACATATGCCACTAAAGCTGCTGTGATAAGTCTTCCTGCTGGGTATGTGCCAGTCTGCTACACCCTTTTGATCCAGGAGTTAGAGGCATAGCAATAGTGCTTTAAAATAGTGCTTTAAATAATTCTTTACACACCTTCTCAGATTTTCTAATCCTCACAGCAATCCTGTAAAATAGGTCAGTGCCATTGTTTCCATGGAGTTACTGAGGCTGAGAAATAAGCATTTATTTTTACGCTACCTCAATATTTAAATAAATAAACACACCTTTATGCTTTTATCAAAGCTATTGTCACTTTGTATGTTGTATACCCCCTTGCTGTATCTTTTATGAAAAATACAGTTTTAAATATTTAAATAAATTAATTCATGGTAGGGCTAAGCCTCAGCAGAGGAACTCTCTGTTTTCTAGTGGGCAACAGGACACTTCCAACTGGGATCTTGTTCCTCCCTGTGCTTGCAGACAGGAAATGTTGACATTTTCAAAGAAGTTGCTGTGTGCCTCTCCCTTGGAAAGCCACAATCTGATTTCTTGGTTTCACACAGCTTGTGCTGCCTTTCTGGCCTCTTCTTTCTAATCCATTTGTTATTTTTGTCAGTTTTGTATGTGTGTGTTTTTCTAAGGTGGAGTGTCTTCGTGGTAGTTTCCCTCCCTGGCTGTCATTGTTGTTGTCTCACTAGTCCCTCATCTCTTCTCATGTGCCTTGCTCTGATCTCAGCTTTATACCAGGAACTCTCTGATTCTCACCTCAGTTTCAGCCACAAGGGAGAGCTCAACTCCCACCTGAGGCATCTGTTCTTGCACAAGGAAGAAGATGGCTATGGTTACTTACTTTGCAAAATAAGCTACATATTTATTTGCTAGTGGGTGGATGAAATGCCAACAAGTCTTAGCACTTTTTCACATATAACTTTTTTTCAAAGTGTACAAACACATGTGGTCCACCAAATAGTCTTAGAGCCTTCTCTTTATACATTAAATGTTTTGAGAACCAAGCAATAAATAATGAAAGAGACAAGAGGGTTTTACTTACACTGACTGTTTAGAATTTCAGTTATGTTTTCGTTTCTTTGTTCATTAGTGTGCTTATTTTAAATGTAGGCGCCATGTGTTACTCTTCACTGCGAGCTCTCCTGTAGGGCACCATATCCATCTTTGTAGCATGGTCCCATGTGTGTTTGGTGAAGAGGATATTGTCCTGCCAAATCTTGAAAAGGTATTTGTTACCATAACAACTGGAGCTATATTCCCATTGGGAGAAACAAATATTCATTGTCAAGTTTTAATTCCTATTGAAGTTAAAGTTTTGTTCGAGAAGTAGATAGTCTGTTTCTGAATGGAAAAAATCACAGATCCATAATAATCCTGCAATTTAATTTTAAAATGGGCAGAATCTGGAAGACACTTGCATCATCACAAAATAATGCTAAAACATACAACTGCTTATGCAATTTTGAAATTTGGTTGCAGGCCCCACTGATGGCCAAAGGTAAGTGCCCAGCATTTTTTCTCCAAATCATACAGGGAGAAAATTCTGCAAAATGTCTACAGACTGAGCTCCACGAGGATCTCACCTAGCTCTTCAAAAAAGTAGTTGTGGTTCAATTTCTGCTGGATTTTCTTTCTAGAGGATTTTCTTTGTAGGTTTAACAGAGCTAGCAAATACATTTATACAAGTGGAGTTACAGGGTAAAGTCCTTCTGTTCATGGTTCCAGACATTCTATTCTTTCTCCACTCATCTCCTGCTTATCTAAGTTTTCCTCTAGCAGACAGACAGCATTCCATACCCACTGAGCATGCTCAGTCTTCATTCAGTAGTTTCCCCCCTTTTGTTTCTTCACTATATTTAGGTTTCTGTGGTTCCTGATATGATCTACTGTATTGGCCCAAAAATAAGCCACACTTTTTTTCCAACTTCCGATCGTGAACAGTTAAAGTGCGGCTTATATTCGCAACCTTACTGCACAGGCAAAGCAGCACGCCCCCCCCCCCCAGAGCAGCCTGGGAGCACAGGGCAATGGCGCCCATCCCATCCGTGGCTCCCAAGCCTCTCCCAAGCAGCCAGATTTTAAAGGTGCGGCTTATTTGCAAGTGCGGCTTATATTCTGGCCAATACGGTATATTGAATTCATAGATTTTTCAAATGATTCTTTATGTGGAACTCTCTTTCCTCTCCCCAGGGACATTAAAAAAACCCTCATAGTAATTACATATGAATGTAATAGTCACTAGCATAGGTTTAGTGCTTCAGTAATTCCTAATGAATTGACCATGTGCATGTTGTTGAAATAGTGATATATTTTTAATATTTCTGACTAATGGTAGTTTATGTATTTTCTCTTCAGGAAAGCTATCGGTTCATAGAACAAGCCACCACTATCATGAAAGCCATTGGAAATGTGATACTGAATTTTGGAAATGCAGAAAACCTTCCCGCAGCCATAAAGACACTGGAAGCAACACATTGTCCTCCTGGCCTGTGTGCTCCAGGAACAACTAGAGAACACTTTAAGGTAAAAAAACAAGAAGAAGAATCTTATCCTTCTGTTAACATGCAGAATATATTGTGCTTTCCAAATGATTGTTTTCTAGTGCAGCCCATTAGCTGAAACTCCTGATAATGAAAGTTTAGTTTGTCTCCCATGAATTCCTGTAAACATGCTCTTGTGAATTTCACATCAGATAGTTTGAAAAGTCTAGATTTTCCTCAGTGTTGACAAGAAATCTAACCCCGTATTCTGGATGGTATGAACCAATAATCCCACTGATGCCTGTTCTCTGGCTCCTTAGTGACATAACAGCATAGAATCAGCAGCTGTGCTGTTGGACTGAGGTGATCCTTGGACACTCTGTAAATGAAATTATGGTCTTGTGCCATTTTTCAAATTATGCAGACACAGTGAAGAATGGATGAGATCAACAGCCTTGCCTTCAGAACAGATCTCCACTCCCTAATTTTCAGTACATTATATAAATAATGAGAAAGTGAAGTATGAGTTTTAGAAACAATTACAATAAGCTCCACTGAGCAGCTGCGCTCCTCTTATCTTAAAGGACTGCCCTTTAGCTATGGCTGTGCAAGCCTTAGGATCATGCTGCCCATGTTGCAGTACCTAACATGTTGTTGAACTGCCCTTTTCTCAGACAAAATACTTTGACTTTGGATATAGCTTTCAGCTAACTTCTTGTTCTTGTTGTTGCTGCTGCTGCTGCTGCTGCTGCTGGGTTGTCAGTTGTTCAAACACCACAATGCCCCCAAATCTGAATTGTCCCCAACCTTTGACTGATGTTGAAAAGATACATTTGTTTGTTCTGGTTGCTCATGCAATTAAATATTTTGGAAACAATAATGTCACTAGGCAGATATCTGACCCTCTGAAAATATACTGTTTATATGCCATCATATCTTAAGATAGTGATCACATTATGTGGCTGGTTTGAAATATCAAAAGGAAAACTCATTTAGTTGGAGTGAACCATCTTATAGATTCTACAAATCCACTCTATCTAGTAGTCAAATATACAGGTTGGGGTATGTGTTTGGTAATATTTTCCTCTGAAAATCATTAGTAGAAAATATTTGAACATTTATTTATAATAATTTACTGACCATTTCTCTTTTACATTTTAGGCTTTCAATAATGCTTTTTGGCATTTGATAAAACAGACATTGGGGAATGTTCCTCTCAACTATAAATTTGCTTACAGATGTTTCACTTTGGATTTTAAAGACAGTGATGTGTCTGTTGAAGACACAGACTCCTCAGGTATACGGAAAACATGAATAATGTACCAGCAATATTTAATTTTAAATAATCTATTAAGAAGATACCATTACAGAAAAATTCTGCTGAATGTTGAGATGTCCTGCCATTTTTAACACAACAAACCAGACAGCAAATTCTTACGTGGTATTCTCTCATATAACTGATGGAGCCTACAGATTTTTTGAACTTCATACATCAGAGCTAACATGATGCTGCTAACTTTAATTCTGTATCGGCACACCTTTATGCCATTGAACTTGTTTGGTTTTTGTGTGATACTCTTGAAGTTTACCCATCTTTGATCCCAACTTTTGGGGCACTTGAACATTGTTGATTCTCTAGACAGACCATTGTTCCATCTAGCTCAGTATTGCTGACACTGACTGACAGCAGCTTTCCAAGATTTCAGGCAGGTGTCTTTTACATCTGTATGTGGAGATGCCAGAGATCAAACCTGGCAGCTTTTTCATACAAAGTATATGCTGTAGCACTGAGCTACATCCTTTTCCCATTTCTACAGCACTTCAATCATTCAAATGCTCTGCAACACCTACAAAAAAAAATCAGTCTTATGTATGTTCTTAAACTTTAATTGGATTTCAGTTTTAATTAGCATTTGACACTAGGAGAACAGCACATCACTTACCTAAGCTTGCAAGACATAAGTCTAGCACTCAATACAAAAATCAATTTGCATTTTATGTTCCCAGACTTAAAGTGTAAATGCATTGCATCTAGTGTGGAGGATGAAACTGTCCGTGCTGTCTGTTTGAGGTCATCCTGGACCAAAACTAAGTACTTTGTTTAGCTAGTGCTTTATCTCCAATAGTTGCCAGGCCAAGCTCCAGGAAGTTGCAAGCCACTACTGTGGTTGGTGCCTAAAGGTAAAGGTAAAGGTACCCCTGCCCGTACGGGCCAGTCTTGCCAGACTCTAGGGTTGTGCGCTCATCTCACTCTATAGGCCGGGAGCCAGCGCTGTCCGCAGACACTTCCGGGTCACGTGGCCAGCGTGACAAGCTGCATCTGGCGAGCCAGCGCAGCACACGGAACGCCGTTTACCTTCCCGCTGGTAAGCGGTCCCTATTTATCTACTTGCACCCGGGGTGCTTTCGAACTGCTAGGTTGGCAGGCGCTGGGACCGAACGACGGGAGCGCACCCCGCCGCGGGGATTCGAACCGCCGACCATGCGATCGGCAAGTCCTAGGCGCTGAGGTTTTACCCACAGCGCCACCCGCATCCCGGTTGGTGCCTAGCATCTGAAAATTAGCAGTCAATTGCCTCTGAAAATTGAGGTTCCATTTTTGGCAATCAGGATTAACCAGGACCAACAGTAGATATTGCACCACCTGAGATGGCAGCAGATGCCATCACCGTTTCTGCTGCTCCCCTCCTCTTCCTCCCCTCCACCAACCATTCCCTCCCACTCACGCTCTTCCAACAAAAGACTCGTTTCTTAAAGCAAGACATCTCAGAGATGCTCTGGGCTGCCATTTTTCTCCATTGGCAGCAAATGACTGTTTAAATCTTCCTCTATTTTAAAAGGCAACTTAAGCAGTAATTTTCAGCTGTAGTACAGACACTATCTAGGAGATTTCACTGACATTACCTTACTCTGGGGAAATACCCCAGAGCAAGTCATGGAGTACATGCCACCACTCCTGGCAGCAAATAGGGAGCAGGAGGGAGCAGGGGCAGAATGAGGTGGCAGCAGGCAGCAGAAGGGAAAGGCAGTCAGCCAGTTGTGGGCTCTGTGGGGGCGGGCACATAATCTGCCAACCATCCTGATTTGCTGCCTGGCATATCTGGGTTTTTACTGATATATGCAGCACTAAGCTTGCTGACGTAAGGTCTACTAAACATTCATTAGATGAGAAAAATGTTTCAGATCTATCAAACTGATCTAAATTCATGTAAATGTCCTGCAGTATCCAGTTACCTGAAAACATTTTGCAGGGAAGCAGTACAGAACCATATATTTTCATCAGAAATGTTGCATTAGACTGCTTTCTTTGGGTTCCTGGATTGTAATGAACAAGTGGGAACTGCAACCAAATGTTGCAATGGTCCCTCTTATGTGTGACTACCTAAGAATCCACACTTGTAGATGTGTATTAGTATATAGGATTTCATCATAAAACAATAAAACACTCCATTGTTAGTTTTTGTAGACACGACATAAGTATTGTAATCTCACAGGCAGGTAACTTTTGTATTAATTTCTTTTTAGAGCTGACAGAGGTAAATGTTTCTGCTTGGCAAAGCAAAGATCCCACACCTGAAGAGGAGAAAGTTGCACTTAAATTGCAGGCTGCCTGGAAAGGGTCTTACGTGCGGCTACTAATGAATGGCAGAAAACCAGGTCAGGATTCTTCTGAGGGAAGTGACAGTTGCTTCCTGACACAGCCCCTACGGGACGGAGCAGGGCGGCGCCTTCCTCCTTTGCAGGCAGCCGTTTGCTTTGACTTCAACCAGCCACGGAGGATGATGGGATAGCCCACCAAAACTCTAAATTTAAGTTAGCTAATGGAGGCCTACATGCAGGGCGGGTTGGGGCTTCAGAAACAGACTGAAGGAACCAAGGCGTCACTCCGGTCCACCACTGAAGTATATAAGTGGGCTGCTCATGTGGTAGATAAAGGTTGACTCTTTAGTCTACTCCCAGCGGGGTGAGATGGTGCATCACCCCGCCTTTTTTATCAGGTGTGATATATCTGGGTATTCCTGTAAAGGGATCTGGATGGAAAATTTTGTACAGAAGCCCAGATGAGGAGTGGAAAAGACATAGAACTTCCAAATGGCTGCCAAACACAATTTTCCTGACTTTCGGATTGGGGGGCCAAGGCCCAATCTTGACACCTAGAATCTTGAATTATTCACAGAATGCCATAGGAGTCACCACAGTGCTCGTATAATGCAGTTGGTCATTATATCATAAAAGCTATTTATTTGTACAAAACATGGCATTGTTGGCTACAGATGTCCTCAGATGATGTCTTGCAGAAGTGTTGGCTAGATAGTCTTTTCAGCTAGACATGCTTTCATTCTGCTTACTCTCAGAGCTTTATATTTTACCTTATTTCTTTATGCCAGTGTTTAGGAATGATAACTATGTTGAATATTTACTAATAGCCAAATTTGTTTTTATTTGTCTTTTTATTTTTCAGGTACTAAGGAGAATACTAAAGTCAAAGACACACTTCAAAAGTTGTGGGCTCTAATAGAGCCAAATTTTGAACAATGTTCTTTGACACTTTTGAGGTAATACAAAGTATGGTTTCTGCAGGGTCACGTATATAAATCCCATGTTTTGCCTCACAACACCTCCCCCGCCCCCCTTATTTTCTCTCATAAAAACTGACCTGACCCTGAGGAAGTGCTGTAGGGAAAGTACTGAAGCCCAGTTTTGGGCATCCCTATATTTAGTTTTTCAGATGTAAAAGTGAAATTTAAAGAACACCCTGCTTAACCATTGAATCAATTTTTATTCTGCTTTATATTCAGGATAAAAAAAATCTATGATTTTTACATCAATTTGTTACTGAAGAATTAAATATAATGTATCTGTCAGGGGTCCTTTACCTTTACCTTTATGTGCAAATTGGCAAATGGGGCAACATCTCTTCTGTTTATTGATCCACATTCACATCTGTATTAAGGATACCAGATTGTTGTCCCAGATAAATGACTGAGCCCTGCATGAATAGATCTACAAATCATGGGCTATAGTCTGACTGAGTAGAGATGGTTGTCTTCAAATTGTGTTAGTTGATAAGGTGGAAGCCAAATTTCTTAATTTTTTTTTATCATTAGAAAAGGTTTATATATTTATAATTTTATTTATTACAGCTCTATTCTACCCATCATCCCAAGGATCACAGACTGGATTACAATAGAAAAGCACAAAAATACATAACATAGTAACAAGCAAAAACAAGCCCCCCCCCCCAGTTTATAATGGTGTAGATTTGCCAGGCGCCTCCCTGGGGGGAGCATTCCACAAGTGTGGAGTTTACCACAGAAAAGGCCCATTCCTGTGTTGCCACCCTCCAGACCTCTCATGGAGGGGGCACACAAAGAAGGGCCTCAGATGATGATTGCAAGGACTGGGTTGGTTCATATGAGGAAAGGAAACGTACTTTGGTCCTGAGCCATTTAAGGCTTTATATATTTTGCACCGCTCAGTAAGAACAGTCTTGTGACTTGAATCCACAAGAGGTTTCTTCTTGCTCACAGATTGAGACACTGCCTCTCCAATGTACACATCTGTTCTGTGTTGACAGCTCAGCTTCAGCCAGCGATAAGGTCTGAAACAGGGTACTGCAGAGGCAGACAAAAGGTAACCCTGGACCCGCTGGATCCAAAGTTCCTTTGTTTTCCTGATAGGCCCCAGAATTGGATCCCTAAACTATGCCAGCCTGGAGGTAGCATAGTTATTACATTGGTACAGAGAAAGTAGTTTTTAAAAGAATGTATAGAATATATTTCTTGTGTCCAGTGATAAAGCTGCATGATCATATCTTAATTTCCCTTTGAACTTCTGCTACTCCTCAGGGCCACATTAGATGTGATGTGAAAGATTCAGAAATACAACTCCCGACATCTTATTCTTCTCCAAAAACAACCACAGAGCGGGGGTAGGGCTAGATTTGGGTCACACTGCTAATCTAAATCCTCCCTCTGGGAACTGCTATTCGTTTCAGACAGTAGAATACATAGAAACAGTATGAGTTTCACTCTCCACAGCACACTTTCCTTTCACAGCTAATAGCAGCTGGTGTATGTGTGAATTAGATTGGCCGTGATCCATAGTGGGGGCGCCACAGCTGGTTTTAGCAGGAAAAAAGATGTTGAAAGATACATTTGAGCATCTCCCATGCTATTTCTAGTTTGGCCAGCTCTTAAAATATAAAAAGGTAAAGGGCCCCTGACAGTTAAGTCCAGTTGCAAACGACTCTGGGGTTGTGCCACTCATCTTGCTTTACTGGCCGAGGGAGCTGACATTTGTCCGCAGACAGTTTTTCCAGGTCATGTGGCCAGCATGAACTATAGGTCTGGCTAATTAAGCATAAAGCAGAAGGAACAAGGGAGGTCTGGCTTTAAGAGCAAAAAAGGTGTGTAGTGAGGCTTTAAACCTGAGTTTATTGTGGTTTGTGCTCCAGCTGCTTTCACCTCCCAATTAGATTCAAGCTGACAGAGAAGTGAAATCCCAGTTAAACAGAGGTAATCCTCAGATTGGGATATAGTTCAGCACCCTTCATCCCCATATTCCTTTTGCCCTTTAAATCAGACTCCTACTGTTTATTCTGGTGTGGGGAAGCCATTGGCCTTGCTTGCTGGGGCTGATGGGAGTTGTAGTTTAGCAGCATCTGGAAGGCTTGATCCCTCATTTGTGAGATTGAGTAGACCCACACTTAAAGTGTTTGATATGCCTCTGCTACAAGTAATTTGTTGCTTGTTGGGGAAGGCATTTATTTCATAATACAGTAGCCACTGCTTAATCTTTGGGATGCTATTATATCTTATGTATATATAGAGTGGAGGCAGCTTGAAGCTCAGTACTGTTGGTTATGATCTCAACTGATTATTTTATATTCTTCTTGTTGTGCTTCACAGAGATATGTTCAAAAGTAAATGTAAGTCACTTGAAAAATACCGTTGTGCTGAAGATGAGTGGACTAAGACATCTTTTGCTGATTATACTGTAACATATGCGGACCAGCCAGCAAATTTTTGGTTTGTGGTCTTCAGGTGAGGTTTGTTATTGATGAGTCACATACAGACCACCTATATCATATTATAGTTTAACTGCTAATTCTGTTTGTGTGACTGAAAGCCAAGTGACCACATGTTGAAACATTCTTGTACTTGTTCATGAAGGTCATGCTTGAGGAATTCAGTCTTCGTTAATTTTGATATGAAATTATCTGATCACCATCTCTAGAACTGACATGTGGATCAGAACTTTGATATTCACTAGATTGCAACCCTTCTTTGAATGTTGTGCAGTTCTAGGCAGTTTAAGCATGTCAAAATCTGCCCATAAATAGGCATTTTAAACGTATTTTTTAAAAATTGGATTCATGGTGGAAGTGACATGGAAATACAGTGGTACCTGTTTACGAATGATTCGGTTTACGAACTCCGCAAAACCAGAAGCAATGTCCTAGTTTGCGACAGGAGGCCTCATTAGGGAAAGCGCACCTTGGTTTAAGAACAGTTTCGGTTTAGGAACGGATTAAGTTCGTAAACTGAGATACCACTGTATGGGTAAAACCTGCAAAAATGGCATGAATTGGAGATAGACAGATCCCCTTATCCTTACTTTACACTTTTCTCCCTTTTATTATAGAGAGGTGTTTTATGTTCCAGAAGATATGATCATAGCAGCAAAATTTTATTCTTCCATACCTACATGCGCATTGCATGTCGTAGACAATGATACATTGGAAGAAATGCCTCGGATCTTTCTCAGGGTTGCACCCCATCTTTATACAAAGAATAAGGTGATAAATACAAACATCTTCATAGTAATTACAGTACTACTGTCTTACTAACAAAATGATACAAAGGACCTGTTACTACACACTGATATAAATAACAATTATTTTCCCCAGGTACTGTGAATGCAGCAACACAACCTGTAATTCTTCATAATGTACAAGTCTTGAATATTGTAGGGCCATTTTGGGGTATACAGTATTGCATCAGCAGCAGCTATAATATTTACTCTTTACTTACCATTACTTATTGTATCATATTACTTGTGTTAATAGCTAACAAAATTAACTTTAATTTCAGAGAGGATATACTTTTATGGCTGAAGTTCAAACTGGTGAGTCACCAGTGTTGGCTGGGAAATGGAGGCTTCGACTCATAGGTTCCTACAGTCCCCTTCCAGTTCTTTCTCGTGAGACTATAAACAATGTATATTCCATTAAAGAAGTTAAGGACTATTATGTACCAAATGCTAAGAATATTATATTCAGGTAAAATTGAGGAAACAGCAAAGGTATTTGCATATGTACCCTATTTGAGTGTTCATATGTTACTTTGAGCATATTACTTACTGAAGCATTAATGAGTAGTAATCATAGAATCATAAGATTTTAGAGTTGGAAGGGACTGTGAGTGTCATTCTAGTCCAACCCCCACAATGCATGATTATTTTTGTCAAATGTGGGGCTTAAACCCACAAGATTAAGTCTTATGCTCTGGCTAACTGAGCTGTCCCAGTAATGCTTTTGTATCTTTCCCCAAATGCACCTCGTTGGGCATTCTAAAATGCTGGGTCAAGTCCTGGTCTTTCTGAAAGTCAGACATGAAAGTTGTTTTTCTATCTCACATTCATCTCAAGACATTTGCATGATCTAGGAAATAAGGTTTATATTCTAAAAACATGAAGGAGTAAACCACACTGAACTCAGTAGTGACTCACTTCTGTGCAAACATGTATGTGATTGTTCCTAAGGTACTCAGGGCTTTGCACAGGCCTCTTTTTTATCATTTGTCTAATGTTTGTTCAGAAAGTTTATTGTAGTCAATCTTGGCATTTTAACTGCAGTTTCATTTTGATAACTGGTTTCCATAGCAACAAATGGACTGTTCTAAACATATGTCTTAACTTCCATCTCAGAGCTTGCTGAGCTGGGGCTAGGCTGCCTTCTTGAATAACATTATTTTAAGGATTGAGATCTTAGACTTGCTGAAAATAATAAAATCTGCCTCAGTTAACTATATATCTTTACTCCCCCTTCTCCTTCAGGTATGCAGTAAAAGTAACAACACCACTTATGGCTACTGTGCAAGTACAGACCTCCAAGCCAGATGTAATCATTAAAGTGCAAGTTCTGGACTCTGAGGAAGAAATGGTGCACTCTGTTGGGAAGGGTCATGCTGTTGTTCCTGCGTTTTATTTCATATCTAATGAGCGGCCTCTAAGTAGCATGTGTAAGTATGGTAAACTGAATTGCTATGATTATTGTGGACAAAGAGACTGCCAATATATTTGCATGTGCACCTGCCTTAATAACTACGTTAATAATTTGTGGCATACGCTAAGACCTCATTTAAGGATTACTGACTTTGCTTTGTCGTGCTTGCTGCTGAGTGATCAGGCTTGCATATTTTGAATCGGTTTCTGGCATATAGACCATCAGACCATGCAGAATGGGTATACCATTCCTTGTCAAGTGAATCAAATTCTGTTTCCCCTCAAATTACCCTACAGTGGTAAGTTAGGTGTTCCAAGAGAGCCATACACCACATCTATTTGGGCATTGTCTCTAGAGATTTCCACTAGGGTGCTATTAGGAGTCTCACAGCAGCTAATAGCAGGAATAGCAAAGTGATACTTTCTCATTCTGACAGTTAAGCTTTACTTAGAACTAACAAGCTTCCAATCAAGCAATTATTTTGCCAAGACTAATCGACATTTATAAGCTCCTTATAAACAGTTCTGAGCTGTTTTTCTGGATTAATTATTATTCAGACGTGCATTATTCAAAAGAATAAAGAGCAAAGAGACCAAATTCCATTTTAAAATATGAATTATTCAACTTAAAGGAGTGTGTGTGTATGTGTGTGTGTGTGTGTGTGTGTGACCACCAATTTCCATATGGGCCTGCCTGTTCACTGAAATATTATTTGGGACGTTCTGCTATTATAAATTTAGTGGGTGAAAAACAGTTTGGGCCTTTTTGGTGGTGGTACCTAATTATTACATGCTGTCTTTGAAGAGACTTGGCTCTCTCAATTAGGTGTCAGTTGAAGACTTCTTATTTTTTCATTGCATTTATATAGGTATTTTATCTAATTTTTATACTGTTTGATATCAGCATTTTGGAAGTTGTGGTTATCTGTATTTTAGTATTATATTATTTATTTTACTATATTTTAAAATTCCCTGGGAAGGTTTATGAAGGTTGGGCTGTAAATCCTTAGAAAGAGTCAGTAGATAAGTAGGTAAAGCAGGAGAAGGAGAGAATTACAGAAGTAGATATAAAATTGAAATTAGTAAGACAAATGACTAAATGCTAAAATACTCTTTAAAATGTTATTGCCTCTTCCAGCAACATCAAGTAAAGGTGGAGTTGCCCAAAGCACTCCCAAAAAGGAACCTGAAGTAGTTGCAGTCTCTAAGAAAAAAGGTACTGTGGCAGCTCAGAAGAATGTCAAGTCTGCAGCCAAGATGTCACAGGAAGGCCCAACTTCAACAGAAGAAGAAACTGTTGTTACCCCTGTTCTTGATGAAAATTTATTTCAGCAGGTGAGAGATCTTAAATATATTTGTGGAGGAATTTTGAGAATAATTCCTACTACATTGCTTCTTAGTGTAATAAACATTGTATCCTAAAGTTCCTGTGGAAGGTTGAACAAAGCAGTTCCCCAGGAGTGAACTCTTAGGTATCGTGTTTCCTAAGGGGAGCGTTATCTAAAACAAGAAGATGAAAACAAGGTTCAGGTAATTCAAGATTCCTGCTAAATGTGGGTTTGGAATTAGATGAAAAGGAAGAACAGAACGCTTTGTGCAAAACAGAACAAGGCACCACCAGCAGTGGGGTTATCTTGCCAAGCCGCCACTCTAGCTTGTTAAAATGGTACTTTTGTTCTTCCCAGGGCTACTGAATGGCCAAATGGAGGCACATACTTGTGGTGGCTGTATTCAGGTGTAACACAATACACAAAGTGCAACAAGCTGAATAATAATAACTGTAAACATTTTATTGGTTATTTCCTAATGTAAAGGTCTAGCCCAGTATGTGCAACATATACAGTTCATATGTACGGTATATAACCTATGAGACTAATTACAATATTAATACATTTCTTCTTTACTTATCTTTTCTTATTGTTTCTCCTTATAAGTTCCTGTATAACACAATCCTTAGGCTTTCTTATTGTTTGTTCCTGTAAGTTTCTGTATAACACAATCCTTAGGTGAAAATAGAAAAGTCCTCAAGGTAATGAGAACAACACAGCTGATGTAGACTGCTGGCACTAGCTGGCTGGTGCAGCTGCAAACTGCTAACTTGGGCAGAACAAGGTTTCCGGATATCTCCCTTGTTTCACCCCGAAGGGCTTCCTCAGCTGATATTAAATCTATACAATATAAATAAACACATGGTAATACAGTGGTACCTCGGGTTACATACGCTTCAGGTTACATACGCTTCAGGTTACAGACTCCGCTAACCCAGAAATAGTACCTCGGGTTAAGAACGTTGCTTCAGGATGAGAACAGAAATTGTGCTCTGGTGGTGCGGCGGCAGCAGGAGGCCCCATTAGCTAAAGTGGTGCTTCAGGTTAAGAACAGTTTCAGGTTAAAAACGGACCTCCAGAACAAATTAAGTACTTAACCCGAGGTACCACTGTAAATGAAATTTGGAACTTACCAGCGTAGCATGAGGGTAGACGAAGATGATGTCAGTCCTGCACACTGCAGTTGGGCCCAGTACCTGGTTCAGCAGCTGTGAAGTGGTGCCATCAACTTGTCTCTCCTCTGATAGCACTTGTGAGAGCCTTGTAGCACACTTAGGTGGATGAACAGTTTATTACTGAATTTCTGCTAGAACGGATGCAAGACCTGAAACAATTCTCAACTAGCATATTCTCTTCTACCACAGCATCTTTCTCAGATGTAACAGGGATAAATTATACCTTTAGAGAGCATCAATTATAGCCAATTACTCACATCTAGAACATAATGAAGATTACTGTATTTTCATCAAGATGTGATTTTTTTTTTTTAAGGGACAAAGCCTTTATAATTCAGGAAGTGAAACTGTTACGTAATGTATGCTAGAGAGGTATACTCCGGAACGAATTAAGTACCGTATTTTGTGCTCTATAACACGCACCCAACCATAACACGCACGTAGTTTTTAGAGGAGGGAAATCCGTAGGCATGCCACCTGTAGGCATTCCCTCCATAACACGCACAGACATTTTCCCTTACTTTTTAGGAGGAAAAAAGTGAGTGTTATGGTGCAGAAAATACGGTACTTAACCCGAGGTACCACTGTACAATATTTGGTATCCAAGGTACATGTTCATATTATAATGTATTGATGCTTATGTTTGTAATAAGCTGCAGATTGTTTGGAGACCTCTGTGTAACAAGCGACTAACAACTCGAATATATAAGTAATATGTGCAAGTTTACCTGTAACAGAGAGGGCAGCTTTTGTATGTCATGGTTTGCTTCCTCTCTTGTGCTGACCCATGCCTTTGCTGGGCACGGTCACCTGCAGAGCGAACCTGTAGGAAACAAGGAGTTAAGGGGCATGCTCAAGTTGTCAAAGAGGCAGCCCAGTAATGCCTTGGGGTGTGCTCTGGCTTTCCTTGCAGGCAGCAATAGGGCACTGAATCCGCTCTTTCTCTTCTGCTCCTCCAAACCAAGCCCCCTTGTCTGGGGCATATAGTTGGGCAAACCCCATCATGGTATTTCCTGCCTCTTTTACCCATAATCCCATTCCATTTCTGCATTAATTTGTGCATTTCTAAAAATTATTCAAAAAGTCATTTCAATATACATATTTAAGTGCATATTTTGATACTAAACAGCCTAGAACTGAATCTTAGCATTCAGAGAAGTGAAAGAACTGGTGGCTAGTTAAGTTTCAACCTGCATTTCAGTCTGAGAGGTTTAGATCAGGTTGTTTTGTACAGGAATTCAACACATTCAGATTCTTCAGGCACCTTTTTTTGACCCTTCTTTCCTTCCCTACAGAAATCCAAGATAGCAGTCAAGGGGGTGATGGCTAAAAGCAAGGTTTTTAAAAATTTTAAAATAAGAAGCTGTGATTATTTCTGAAAAAAGTAATTTACTGCATTTGGCTTTTACAGCCTCACAAGTATATTATACAAGCCTCAGTGTTGCATAATAGTTGGCCACTTACTGAGAACCAATTGGTATTTGTTCAGGCACTGAGAGAACTGGAAAAAAATGAAATCAAAGGTGAGTGAGTGACTTTGCTACATGCTTATTTTTTTATTGAAATGCATCATAACAAACACCAATTTCTTTGATTTCAGTTAGCTAATTATGTAACTTACATTTAACAGAATTGTATGAGAACTTACAAATAGCAAATTATTTCTCATAAATGCCTTTAATACCACCCTGAGAACGTTTTTACTGAATGGTAGCACAAAACTTTATTAAATAGAGAGAGAGAGGTCAAACCAGAAAAAATCAATTATATTCAAGTCCATTAAAACTATGGTGCTTAAGTTTCAGGGCAATCCTATGCATTTTTACTCTGAAATATGTGCCATGAATTTCAATGGGACATTCTTCCTAGTAGGTGGTTTTAGGAATTCAATAAGTCTGGAGTACAAATTTCTCTGGGAGTAGCTTTTTTCTTCTTTAGTATGCTAGTGTACCTTTTTACCTCTCTTACACCAAGACATTAGAAACAGTGTACTGAAATGAACAAATATGAACATACAGTTGAAGATGAACTGTTGCTCTGATACTACGAGAATGATGTCACAATTTATTTATTTATTTATTAGGTCTTATTTTTCCAGCTTCTGCTTTGGAGTGCCATTTGTTTTGAATTATGCCCCCAAATGATAACTTTTTTACTATCCTTTATAATGATTGAAATAATTATGCATGTCAAAGGATATGAAACTGGGTTTTTTTAGGTGATGATGGTTCTATCCAGGGCTGAGTGTGGCCAGCCCTATTTCCCTTGTGGCTGAAGCTATTGAAAGAAGCTGTTGCCTGTGCTTTTTATTTAATTATTTATTTAATTTTCTGTGTACAATGGACTGTGTGTTCCACATGGGTCTGTGTGGGATCAGCTGGCCAGCCCACCTTCCTTGTGACTGACTGTTCTTAAGACCACTCACTGTTATCCAACTAACTGTTCTTAAGTTCTAAGTTGTTGCTGTTGTTTAGTCGTTTAGTCGTGTCCGACTCTTCGTGACCCCATGGACCAGAGCACACCAGGCACTCCTGTCTTCCACTGCCTCCCGCAGTTTGGTCAAACTCATGCTGGTAGCTTCAAGAACACTGTCCAACCATCTCATCCTCTGTCGTCCCCTTCTCCTTGTGCCCTCCATCTTTCCCAACGTCATGGTCTTTTCCAGGGAGTCTTCTCTTCTCATGAGGTGGCCAGAGTATTGGAGCCTCAGCTTCAGGATCTGTCCTCCCAGTGAGCACTCAGGGCTGATTTCCTTAAGAATGGATAGGTTTGATCTTGCAGTCCATGCGATTCTCAAGAGTCTCCTCCAGCACCATAATTCAAAAGCATCAATTCTTCGGTGATCAGCCTTCTTTATGGTCCAGCTCTCACTTCCATACATCACTACTGGGGAAACCATAGCTTTAACTATACGGACCTTGGTCGGCAAGGTGATGTCTCTGCTTTTTAAGATGCTGTCTAGGTTTGTCATTCCTTTTCTCCCAAGAAGATCTATGTTACTTTTTGTTTATTTAAAATACCTCCTGAAAGTCTATCATTATATTAACTTGGAAAAGTAGTAGTAGTGTTTTGAGTGTGAAAGCATCCATTTTCAGAAAGAGGCTGTGAAGAAGAGTTGCAGACATGCTGGATGTAGTCAAAATTATTTTTTATTCAAAGATGCTGATACAGTCCTGCATCAAAAGAACATGTCACTTGATAATTTCCAGAAAACGCTATTGTGTAAATGGAAAAATAGAAAACCACTTCTATAAGCTTTCATCTCTCATCCTAATATTTCATAATTTAAGACAACAGTGCCATCTAGGGTAGATTTTAGTGTCCAAATTAAGTAGCTAGGACAGAACATTTTACTTTTAAAGTGAAATTTACAGCAGTTTGTCATAAATAAGGGAGAGTGCATAATTTTAAAGACCTGTTTCCTAAAAATAAACTCTTCGGTAACAAACAATTATGTAGCTCCAGAAGCATAAATGGAAAGCATAAATAAATACTACAATGAAATTTACACAGCACGTCCTACTGAAAAACATGAAGAAAGTGTAAGTGTCCTAAGTCCAGACATTCACAGCAACATGGAAGGACAAAAATCTGCAGGCTCTTCCAAAGGAGGTCGAAAAGTGAAGGAGAAAACAACTGAGAAGGCAGAAAAAGCTGCTAAAGAAAAACCCGTAACTGTTGTTAGGCCCGAATCACAGGTAATAATAAATATACAAGTTCATAAAGTGAATTTTCAGATGTTCTGAATTATGTTGTATAGGGTAAATTTCATCTTTATTTTTCCAGGAGTGAAGGGGAAAGTAGTAAAAAAAATGTAATATGTTCACTCTCTAGTGCTGTGGCTGAAACACACACTGTATTGTGCTATATTTCAGCTCTGCCTGGGTAGGCAGCTGTCTTGAGATCCTGTATAATTGAATGGCATGCAAATTGAATTGAATTCAAATTCTATTTGAATTTGCTGGAGCAATGAAATATTAATATCAGTCGCAATTTGCATCACTAATGTCACAGTTGTGACAACTGAGAGGTTTCACAACTTGTTCTGCCCCTCATACACATTTCATTCACATCTTCCACTATTATAATTATCATTGTCTTTATTTTAATGACCCTTTATTTAATGACCCTTAATAGTTTTTGATTCCCCTTCCTCTACACCTCCACTTGAGGGTGGAAATACATTGCCACACTTTTTAGGGTGTTCTCTTCTGTCTATCTACTTGGATCAACTCAAGTGGCCTCTCTTGTTTATTTTCATTAACTTGTTTCCATCCACATTTCTTCATTTTACATGGTGATGGCCTAGATAAGCCAAGTAATACTAATTATCGACGAGAGCCACCTAGGCAACTTGGCATCTTAGCTATGGCAAATAACAACTGTTATGTACTCAAGTTCTCACCCTGGGCCAGCAGGGGGATACTGTAGATAGTTATGCAAATGAAGGCTCGAAAGTGACGTTCAGTGATTGGATAGTTTTAGAAAGTTGCAACAGTAACAAGGTACTGGAGCTCTATATAAACAGGCTGACTGAGCTCCTCAGTTCAGTTCTGTTCCAGCTTACAAATAAAGAGCTGCTTTGGAAGAATCGCTGTGTCGTCTGATATGTTCGCCCACAACTTAACAACAACCATCGTCAGGTGACTGGACATGGAAGCAAGCATTTGTAAATGGAAAAAGAGTCCCCCCCCCCCCTTCAGGCCATTGATGTGCTGCAAATGATTAGCTCCCATGATAAACATAGTGCTACTCCAAGACTACTCATAGTTTGGGTAGCAGAATCACATGCTCTCTTTCCTCCCCAGCAATTACCCCATTTGTACAAATTTCTCTTGGCAGTCATATGCTAGCCATGAATAAGGGCTCTCCTGAACCACAGTTTAGAAACCGGGTTTTAAAACAACTCACATTGGGGTTCACTTCAAATCCAGCCCTCCAGTGACCCATTACTGCTCTTGTCTGCTAAAGAAAATATTGACTGAAAGCAGCCTTTGCTGCATGTGTGGGGGAAACAGACTAGTTTTGGGGATGGTAACTCTTGTGGGTTCCCTTGCAAAGTTGAGCACACATACGTCAAATGAGACCAGAAGGTGGTATTTGGCATTCTTTGACAATAAGAGTCTATCACGGACAGTGCTTCTCGATAATGAATTGGCTCTTTCATTCATTTGAGAGTTTCAAAGCAATATGTGCTCTTCTGATTTTGCTTTGTGCATTTCATTTCCAGCAATCTGATCCTAACAAACCCTCCTGGATCTTACGTCTAGTCATTGAACAAAATGAAATAGAAGCACTGGATTTGAGGAAAGACACTGAGAGAGCAGATGAGATCAAAGCTATGAAGCAAGCATGGGAGGCTGCGGAGCCAGGGAGAGCTGTTAAGGTAACCAGGGCTTATCGTTTTACACATGCATTTAAAATGAGTTCCGAGATTCAGCAGGGTAGTGTGGAAATGCCAACCAAAAAGTCAAATCCCTGCAGAGATTTTTCAGTATCAAACTCCTGTTTGAAGAGTGAGTGCTGAGGCTGAACTGAGAGATTGATTTGAATAAATCACGGTAGGCAGCTAGGCAGTGAAAGCCCTGAATTTTCATCTATGCTTTACAGTGCTGGCTGGTAACATTCTGACTTGGTTATGGCTGCAATTTTTAACATTGCTGTTTTCATCACAGTAGCCAACATGAGGTGGCTTACAATGGGTGCAATTAAATTTTGTGCCAAAGCAATTGCCCTCTCAGCAGAAGCGTTTCTCCTTGCCCACACATGCCAGCTTCTGAATAAGATTTTTTTGGGGGGAGGGGGGATGCACAGTGCATGTGATGTCAGGATGTCGGAGGATCTGGGCAGAGCTCAGCCCAGTGGCAGCACAGCTTCAGTGGCTGTGGCTTCTCCTGCTGCTGCCGCCACCGGCCTGGGGCTGCTTCCAGCCTCTTTCCCCTCCATAGCAGGAGGAGGAAGAGGAGAAGGAGCCATGGCTATTGAGGCCACATTGTGCCCGGCTCTGTGATTTGGACTTGGGGGGGTGTTCATCCCCTAGGAGATGGCACCCCTGTGCTTGCCAGACGGAATGATTTCCCACCCCTCCCACTTTTCTAGGGGTTCTCCTGCTTCTTCCAAGCTGATTTGGGAAGAGTGGGGAGCAAGGGAGTCCTACAGTGGGACACATTGCTCATTGCACTAGATTCTGCTAGCACAACAACTTAGTTTAATCCAGCCTAATATGTTTAAAAGACAATACCAGTCACTGTTGGACTCAGAATGCTGCATTAGATGGGCCTTTGATCCATTCCAGCAGGGCATATTTTATGTTAATAACTGAGCATCAACATGACTGCAAAAACAAAACAAGGTGTTTTTCTTTTATAAGCATTAATCATCTCCCATTTTCAGTTGCTTTAAAAAATATTGTGCTTTATTCAGTGCATTTTCCATGTACCCAGTTGTTTTTGTTATTTAACAGCTCGTAGTCAAACAGCTTAAAATTGCATAATTTAAGGAGAAAATATTGATTTTTTGTTTCTGCTCCTGTCACTCCAAGCACTGCAGTTGAATGTTGTGACATGAGTCATTTACCCATGTGTGTGCTTTAATTCAGTGACTCATCATTCAGTTGTCAGCCAGACCTCCATCACTTAATAAAATAATTAAGCCGCTCGGCTCAAAATTTAAATGATACGTTCTCTTGGTGTGCAATGATAACATGCTACTGTTGTACAGCTAGACCAAATCTGAAGAGATTGTTGTTTCGTATGCCACTGCAATTACATGCATGTGCCTATGTTGCTATGGTAACATCATAGGCAATACAGGAAGCTGTCTTATTACATGTCAGGCTTTTTGACTATCTATCTGTTGCTTGCCCTAACATTGACTATGCGTGGTATATTGTGGCCAACTTACCAGCAGTGGCTCTATTATGGGGCAATGGGCAAAGGATTGGGTGAGAAAATGCAAGCTTATTTCTTTGCTTTTGTTCTCTAAGATAGTATTCAGCTCAAACACAAACTAATGGTCAGACAGGGGAGAAGTGGGCATGTAGCAGACATGCAGTGATTTAGACTTTCCTGTCTTTCTTAGAAATGTTTTCATATAAGTGCCTCACATGAAATAGATGTGGTCGTAGATGCAGGGCCATCTTTACCCGGGGTGTGGGGCACTCGGGCGCTGAATTCTGGGGGGTGCCAAATGTATACCTACTGCTGTATACTAGTCCCTCTCTATTGGCAGTGAAAAGCAATGCAGTGAAAGTCCCCGCCCCCCTCCTCTGTTGCTCTGCTACCCCGTAGCGTCAAATATTCTTGATGAGTTAGGAAACAAAAGCAGCTTTTTCCACTGTGTTGTTGTTACAGGTGAGTGATTTCCCCTACCAAAAAAAGCTCAATAACTTTGAGTTTGCCCTTCCCAAAAAAAGCTCAATAAAAGTTAATTTGGATTTTGGATTCTGCTCCACTGCTCTCCTGTCTGAGAAGCCAGATCCTCCCCCATCCCATCTGCATGACAATTATTGAGATCATTTCTCTAATTGTGACACATTCTTTGTTGTTGAAAATTTGTGCCTCCAAAAAAAGGTAATCTCCTTTCCCCGAGTTCAACTTATTTGAAGGGGGAAGGGAATAATAGCTTTCCAGATTACTGTAAGAAAAATGGCATGAGTGGAAGAAAGGGAGTGACCACCTACTCATTCTCCATCACGGACAACAAGGTTGTGGATGACCTTGCTTTGTATTGCCTGGCTTTTTGTAGATCTGCCTCAAGGACCGTTTTGTCAGTCATTTCAAAATTATAAAATATAGGGGAGCATTCCTGCCTGGCAACCTTTCCCTGGAGACTGTCAGCCATGAAAGGACCTCCTTTTGGCAGGATTTGATTTGGAGCAAATAGGCATTCCAAGGCTACAGTGTGTTAATTTGGACTCACATTATTGCAATAAACATCAATATTATGTGGGAAAGGAAGGGAGGGTTTAAAAATTGCTTCGCCAGTTGTTGCTGTATAGAAGAACCCTATTTCCCAATGTCCCAAGACTGTTGCAATGCCAACCCAACAACAAACAGGCCAAGCCAATCTTGTTTGTTCACATGTGAACTGGGAATCATAAACAAGATGTTGGCTTTGGAAGCATCTTCTAAACAGACTTGAGGGTGGGACAACTATTATAATTGCTTTTAGATATCCATGCTAGATACATGTTGGTATTGATAAAACCAAGAGGCTTTAAATTCATGTTGATAGCCAGTGCTTACCAGTGCATGGATGCATAGAATTTTTATGATCCTATTAAGCTTTTAGCCTAAAATTCTGGCTTTTGCATCTATAAGATTCATGAATTATTGAATATATCTTTTGCCAGTGATAAAAATGTTCCCATATAAAAATGGCTTGATAATTAATATAGCATGCAGTACTTCAAATATTTGCAATAAAACTCTCTTTGCAGGCTGTTCAGGAGCGCATGCAGTTTATTAATAAATGTGCACGGAAAGGTTTAGTTGCGTCTGAGGCCGACAGTGTCAGCACTAGAGTGAGTTCAGGAGAAACAGGTATGTATATGCCTACATAAATAGGGTTGCCATATTTTGAAGAGCAAAAAAGAGGATGCTATGATGGATATAACAGCCACTCAAAGCAAATAAATGCAATTTATCTCAAATTTTACCGCTGAAAGGTGTCCTGGAAAAAGAGGACACATGGCAACCCTAAAATAATATAAGCTTTCTTACCTATGAAAACCTTGAAGAAACTGTTTTCAGGTGTAGGATTTGTGGAATGAAATAGTAATTTCTGTCTGCCATAAAATGGGTGTCATTACCAACTAGGCTGTGTGGGTAATAGGCAAAATATTCTTTACTTCTATCATATGCTGCTTTTCAAGTCACTTCTGAATATACCTTGCTTTTGGAATGCATTTTAGCAAAAATACTGCAGTCCAAACTATTATTATTATTTATTATTTATTAAATTTGTATACCACCCTATACCTGTAGATCTCAGGGTGGTTCACAACATAAACAACCATGCTGCCCAGGCCCCTGATCCAAGTCAGGGGCAGCAGCTTGGAGGAAAGATGTTTCCCTCGCTATGTTTTCCTAGTGGAAATCCTCCTGGCAGTCTGACATTTGGCCCAGGAGGGAGGCTGTTCTTTATGTCCATATCAACTCCCCCCCCCCCCCCCCCCGGGAGCTTCACTGGCCATTTTTGTTGGGAGAACAGCATGGAAGGAAGGATTAACATCCACTGTGTGACTCCCAGTCAGAAGTCCTAATGGCTCTTGTATATATACACACACATACTTAATCATGCACTTAAGATATCTGTCTTTCTGTCAATTGCATTTGTATCATTTATGTATTACTCATACAACTAAGTTCTCTGGGCAGTTTACATAAATTACAAAATATAATTCACAGTTGAAACACTTACACTGAAATAAGATAAGCTACAAAAACAAAAAAGCTGAGCAAAAAAGCAACTAAAGCAAGCAGAAACCTAGAATTTAAAGTAGTTAATACTAGCTTAAAATCCCTTGCACAAAAGCTGAAGCACTCAATGTAATTTGTAATTATAAAAGGCCTGGAAAAACAAGGAGGTCTTCTGGGGATTCATATGACAGCTAAAAATGGGAATTTATTTAAAGACAATTATGAAAAGTGTTGGTTGGACATTAAAAAGGATTTAGAAATATGGACAAATTTGAAGCTTTCCTTGTTAGGTCGAATTGCTGCCATTAAGATGAATGTATTGCCAAGAATGCTGTTTTTGTTTCAATCGATACAAATAATAGACAAAATGGATTGTTTTAAGAAGTGGCAGAGAGATATCTCTAAGTTTGTCTGGCAGGGCAAGAGGCCCAGGATAAAATTTAAAATATTGACTGATGCTAAAGAAAGAGGGGGATTTGCCCTGCCAGACTTTAAACTTTATTATGAATCAGCAGCTTTCTGCTGGTTGAAGGATTGGTTACTTCTGGAAAATACTGATGTTTTGGACTTAGAAGGTTTTAATAATGTGTTTGGGTGGCATGCATATTTGTGGTATGACAAGGTTAAAGCTCATAAAATATTTAAAAACCATATTGTCAGGAAAGCATTGTTCAATGTCTGGATAAGATATAAAGACTTATTGGAGAATAAAACCCCAAGGTGGCTATCACCAATGAAGGCAAAGGCCCTGAAAAAGTCCAATATGGAGGCCAAGTGGCCAAAATATTGGGAGATCCTGGAACAAGAAGGAGATAAATTCAAATTGCAGAGTTTTGAAAAACTAAAAGATAGAGTGCGAGACTGGTTGCATTATTATCAAATAAGAGAGGTCTATAATTTGGATAGAAAAATTGGCTTCCAGGTGGAAAAATCAAAGTTGGAAACAGAACTGCTAGATCCCAAAACTAAAACACTTTCAAGAATGTATAACTTGCTGCTAAAATGGAATACTCAGGATGAAACGGTAAAATCTGCTATGATTAAATGGGCACAGGATGTTGGACACAACATTATGTTTGCTGACTGGGAACGGTTATGGACCACAGGTACGAAGTTTACAGCATGTAATGCTTTAAAAGAGAATATAATGAAAATGGTGTACAGGTGGTACATGACCCCAGTCAAGCTTGCAAAAATCTACCATTTGCCCGATAATAAATGTTGGAAATGTAATGAAACTGAAGGTACATTCTTTCACCTTTGGTGGACGTGCCTAAAGATTAAGGCCTTCTGGGAAAGGATATATAATGAGTTGAAAAAGGTATTTAAGTATACCTTCTTAAAGAAACCAGAGGCCTTTCTCCTGGGCATTGTTGGCCAATTGGTGCCAAAGAAAGATAGAACTTTCTTTATGTATGCAACAGCAGCAGCAAGGATACTTATCGCAAAGTATTGGAAGACACAAGACTTACCCACTCTGGAAGAATGGCAGATGAAGGTAATCGATTATATGGAATTGGCGGAAATGACTGGCAGAATCCGTGACCAGGGAGAAGAGTCGGTGGAAGAAGATTGGAAGAAATTTAAAGACTATCTACAGAAATACTATAAAATTAATGAATGTTAAATTGAGGTCTGATTGAAAATAACTGGTATTGGCAAAAGCCTTGCGTTTAAGAGCATGGAATATTTGATTGATAAGGTTGTAAAAATATCTATATATAAATAGATTAAGTTTCTTGAGTTAAGATAAAGGAAGGAGGGTAAGGATTTGCTGAAAGGAGTTTTTAAATGGAAATACAAGTGGGGAGGTGTGGGGAAGTCAAAGAACCAAGGAAAGATAAGAAGGTTAAATGAGAGTATAAATTTTTAAATTTTTCTGTTTCTTTTTTTTTTCTCTTTTTTCTTTCTTTTTTATGGTTATTGTTATTTTTTGTTTTCCTTTTGTCACTGTTATTGTTGTTTTTTGTCTTTGAAATTTTGTATTTTTGTATGTTTTGGAATCTTTGTAAAACCAATAAATATTATATTAAAAAAAAAAAAAGAAAGAAAAAGAAAAAAAAGAAAAGAAAAACAAGGAGGTCTTCTTCTGGTGTCATAAAGACCATAGTGAAGTGCCAGGCAAGCTTTTGGGGGGCGGGGGAGACATCTCATAAATGGGGAGATACCACCACCTTTCCCTCGTAGCTGTTTTTTCTCACTTAATTAGGTAGGAAACCTGGAGGAAGGCTTCCAAGGAAGTTGCAGGGTCTGGACAGATATGTATGAGGGATGGTGAACTGTCAGGTAACCCAGCCCTAAGTCATTTTAGGGATTTAGAGGTTAAACCCAGCACTTTGTATTGGTCCCAAAAACATAGCTGTCAACGTTTTCCTTTTTTAAGGGAAATTCCCTTATTCCGAATAGTATTCCTTGCAGGAAAAGGGATAAGTTGACAGCTATGCCCAGAAATGGAGTGGAAGCCAGCTAATTAAGTCTGTAGCCTAGTGATTGGAAGGATATAGGAAATATGGCACAAGGATAAAGGTTTACACCTTGCTGTGCAGCCAGGGATATCATACATAGATAGACATGGTCTGGAGGTGCAGTTTCATTCAGATGGGTAAAAAATTGTTAGCTTTGACAGTACTGACAATATGTTTCTATAGACTGGGATAGAGCCCAAGCTCTTCTACCAGGCAGCAGTTCGGTTTGGGTAAAGGTGACTTCACTGGCCATCTGATCATCATGTCAGTTTGCAAATATACATGCTGGTGCATATTTATATCTTTGGATCAGGTCAATATATTGTTAGGATATTTCCGTTCCACCTTAAAAGGGAGCAGGCTTTGTGAGTCACAGAGTCTGCATATTTCCTGTTCACAGGATGTTTCTGTTGTGTCTTTGCTTTCGTTTCTCTCTCTGTGCCTGAACACTGAAGCAGGCAGTCATGTTTTTCTTTGTTCTGACCAACGCTGAATAAACTTGTAAATAATACTCTCCTGCGTGCATCTTTCGCTGTGCATTATCTGCTGATAGAGCGTGCACGAGTTCTGGAATGTGGCAGGCTATTTCTGGAGCTCGTGTCGCTAACTGCTGATACTGCGTGTCTACGGGAGATTGATGGACGTCCAGAGACGGCTTGGGGGCCATGATGGACTTTGTCTCCCTGGCAGTATCCCAACATATATAACTATCATGTCTGGGATAATATGGTACTAAAGTTTTGACCAGTTTCTCTTTTCTGGCCAGGGACTGCTTCTCCTGTTTCTGAACTAGTGGTGTCCCCTGCTGGAGTAGTTGCTGAAACGCAGCGGAAGGAACCTTTAGACCTCTCTCCCTATATTAGGTAAATTGCAGCAAGTGTTTAAAGTTTGGTTACAACATATATATTTTTAAATGTGTAAAAGTTAAGAAATGTAGGGTTGCCATATTTCAAACAGTAACGGAAAAGTTGTTGAGCTTTTTGTTTTTGTTTTGCAAAAAAATGACTTTGATGGAAGTTCGGCAAAATTGACACCGCCAACATGGGTTGCCATACATCTTGAAGGTTTTATCGATTTCCACCTGGACACTGTTGCCAAATGCAGTATTCCATATATGGCCAGGAAATTCCAGACAAAAGGCAACCCTAAGAAATATTTTAAAGTACTCATCTAGCTCCTATGGTTAGTTGTATCCCATGAAGTTATCCCATTAGCAGAAGAACTCCCACTTGTGTGAGGGCACTTCCCCTCTAGAGGGCTGAGAACACAACATGCACTTGAAAAGTTCATTCCGCTCAATCAAAAGTCCTTTTGCGAAAAGGATGGCTTTCTCGGATACAGACCTTTATATGCCTTTATATTTAGCAGTACACCATGTTGTCTCATTTGTGCCTAGTCCCATTGTCTAAGCATGTCCTGCTCCCAAAGCTATGGAGATGGAGTGGATCTGGATCTCAGCACCCTGAAATCAATTCTAACTAAGCAGCACATCAAAGGGAACTATTTAATCTCTGCTTTACCCACAGAAAAACACTACCTGAACCTGTCTTGAAAAATGAAGCTATTATTCAAGAGCAAGAGATGCGTAAGGCAGAAGAAATAAATCATTTTAGACAATTTCGAGAGATGGTTGGAGAACACAGAGGGCAAGAACACATGGCTAGGAATCGGTTGAAGCAAAATGTACTTGATATGTATGACAGTCTTCAGGTAAGTATGCATAATTCTGCTAATCATTTGAATAAATGTCTTATTTATTTATTTATTTATTTATGCTTACCTGTTACGTTTTTGCTTGGTTCATATTTTTCCTGATTTCCTTTCACTTCCTTTTCTTCCTTTTCTTTCTTTTTTATCATCAATCCAAATTTGGTATGCTGAGGATGGAGAGGAAGTACAACATGCAGTTATAGTGACCAGACATTGCAATAACATGATCCTGTGCATGTTTACTCAGAGAAGTCCTGCTGGGTTCAATGGGGCTTGCTCCCTAGGCAGTTTCTTTAGTATTGCTCCTTAGAGTTATGTATGAACAAGCAGCCCCTAGACACACATCTTTAAAAAACCTTCAGTATAATACATCTGTGTGGTCATTAGAAAAATAAAAACTTTGTGAGAAAATATACATGAGCTCTAGGTAACTAAAATATTCATGCTTTTATAAAAGTTGTGCAACCCACAGTATTGAAGAGATAATACTTAGGATTTTTTATTACAGTACCTTCTATGCTACTACAGACTTCTGGGAAATAACATCTTGTAATAATTTGGAAATCAAACAAATTGCATACACATTTGATGTGTCTTATACTTTAGAACATTTGTTGCGTTTTAACATTCTTGTATCAAGATGCAGAATTTTTCCATAGGTAGAAAAGGCCTGGTGTCAGATAATACGTAAGGAATTCATTGTGTAAGGAATTTTCTTGGTTGTGAAGTAAGCGTTCAGAATTTTAGAACACTGAAATCTGCTCAAAATATTTGGTTGTTGTTTTAGGTATACATCCAAGATTTATAAGTATACACTTGAAAAGGTAAATGATAGTTTCTCCCATTTGATATAATTAAACAAAACTGACAATTAAGCCATGTAATTGAGAAAAGGAAAGGACTCACATATTTATGGAATAAATGAAGTACTTAAAATATTACTAGAAAGGCACTAGATTTATTATATACCTATAGGTTTAATTTTGAATAGAGTGGATGTGTTTGTCTTTGGATAGGCATCCTTAGATGAAGCACGAGGCAGGGTGCTCAGCGTCCGGGAAGCATACAGAGCTAAGCTATTAGAAGCTGAGCGCTTAAGATTAGAAGCACTAGCAGCTGAAGAAGCCGCTCTTCGAGCAGAGCAAGAAAAGAAAACCCCAGATGTGCAGAAGAAAAAAAAGGGAGGAGGAAAAGGAGGGAAAGGAGGGAAGAAAAAGTAAATTTGCTTGAAATAGAAGCTGGGTAAACCTCCTTACTGGTCAGAAAAGAGCACCAGTTTTTGCAGTATTTTGGAATGCAATTCTGTCTTTTTTCCAAGTGTTATTTTTGAAATCCATTTGTAATCTTTAAATGATATTGATTTTAAAATTGTAACTGTATGCCATTACTTTGGCATTATATTTTTATGCTTTAACTGCAATAAATGTTTGCAACAAAATTACCAATATGCCGTTCAGTATTGTCAGATAGTTTTTAGAATAAATGAACATCTAAATCAAGGAAGTCTAGTGGAATGGAGAGGAGAGTTACCTTGGTACCATCCTCAACCATTCTGCTGGGCCAAGAGGTGGTGATACAAGTAAACAAAATCCTGAAAAAGAAAATTCTGAGCAAACTTGACCACGTGCCTGCTTCTGATTGCCATTTTGCTATATATTTACGGATTTTATGAAGTGCAATAACAGCTCTAGAACCCCTTGTTGTAGAAGTAACTATTGGGGGAGGGGGAAAGGATATATGAATCTAGACACACAGCCTACAAAGTACATGACACAGCAGAGGAACACTAAAATATTCTTAGGAATCTCAGTATTGGTATTTTGGGCTGTCTTTGTTCTTCACCTTTTCCAGTGAAGAGAGAGAGTTTGTGAAAGGTTATGCCTAGCGTTACAAAAAAATGACAAAAGAAAAGGATGCCTCGTTCTCATGTGTGATAACTAAAGGAATGTTTACAAATTATGCTCAGAACATTGGTCAATGATATATTTTTATCAGGTTACTTTCAATTCTCAAGGAGCTAGTTTCATCCAAATCCTACACACGACCTATCATTTTTCATTCCTGTTTAGTTCTCTGCCAACTGAGAGTATTGTTTCCCTTTGCAGCAGTTACTACTTTAAAGAAGTATGGTATGTTCTGAGATTAGCTTGAACAAATGCTCTGCAAAATCCTGTCATTTAAATTAGAAGGATGGCAAGATAAATAATTTTGCTTTGTAGAAATGCAGCAGAATAATCCGTGAATCCAATTTCCTTTAATGACACAGGTATTAGATCCCAGAACCTTTCTCACACTACCAGGCATTGCTTATTGGCAGTGTGTCTTAGCCCACGTAGGCGAGCGCTGACTAATCTCATTCTGTGGCATTGCATAGATAGATAGATAGATAGATAGATAAATTTATTGTCATTGTCCGTATATACACAGTATACACAACAACGAAAATCAAACACCCACTCGAAGACCGGGTTCACATACACATTTGCACGTATCTCCAACACTCTCATCCTATTCAGACATAATCTATAAAAACATATCATACTCCAGAATGTAACATAACCTATTAAAAGCATAACATAACCTAAAAACCTGTCTCATTCCTTCCTACTCCCTGCTTGCTATTCCTTGCAACTGGCCCTGAGATCATTATTTAGTGCAATCAGAGCTCTTGGATAGAAACTATTCAGAAGGCGTGTGGTTCGTGTTTTCATTGTCCTATATCTTCTGCCCGAAGGCAACAGTTCAAAGAAGTTGTGAGCAGGATGGGTGGGATCTCTCAGGATATTGTGTGACTTCTTCAAAGTGCGAGACGTGAAGATCTCATCCAGGGTTGGTAGTTGGAGCCCAATAACATTCTGGGCAATTTTAATTATTCTCTGTAAAGCTTTTTTATCCGTTTCAGAGCTGCTCCCATACCACGATAATATACTATATGTTCGTGCATCTGCACTGGCCTTTGTTTTGTCCAGCTGGAAGATGTTTCTCCCATAAGCACCCTAGCTGGATGATGAATAGAAAGAAAAGGAAGCAACAAAATACTTTTTGTCCCAGAAAACACTCCATTCTATTACTCCAAGTAGGATAATTTGTTGCTTAGAAATAAATACTGGGGGATTGGATCAGGGGATAAATCCCCGGGGGAGGATATGATTCCACCCGAGGTATTCTTATCGAACCAGAAGTGGTGGGCCCCTATTTTTGCATCTCTCTTTACCACTATTAATGCCACTCTTAAGATCCCGCCAAATTGGAAACAGAGCATAGTCATCCCAATACATAAAAAGGGGGACCCACAAGATCCGCGTAACTTTCGACCCATCAGCCTGCTAGACATATCATACAAGGTTTACTCTAGATTCTTGCTAGAGAAATTAATCGAGTGGGCAGAAGAAACAAAGCTATTCCACCCGGAACAGGCTGGCTTCCGTAAAGGTCACAGTACATCTGGCCAATGTCTTGTTCTATTTACCCTGATTGATAAATACCTAAACAGGTTTAACTGCAAACTACACGCGGCTTTTGTGGACCTGACCGCCGCTTTTGACTCCATTCCCAGAGATAGGCTATGGCAGAAGCTTAGTTACACCAACATAGATAAGAGACTCCTCCTTCTTCTTATGGAAATTCATAATGACATATCGGCCAGAGTAAAATTCGGCCCCTGGGAGCTCTTTCTGATTCTTTCCCTCTGAATAAAGGGGTCAAACAGGGCTGCCTCTTGGCCCCTTTTCTATTCAATTTCTATATCAACGACATCGTTACAACTATGCAGGCCCTAAATCAATCTGCCCCCTCTCTACAACAGCTCAAGATCCCCATATTACTCTATGCGGACGACATGGTGATACTGTCTTTAACCAAGCAGGGCTTAAACAACATGCTCAGAGGGCTCATGACATATTGTGATACCAATTCCCTCAAAATCAATTTCGCCAAAACCAAAATTCTTACTTTTGGCACGAAAACTCGGAAGTCATTCTGGAACTTTGAGGGCCACTCTATTGAATATTGCTCAGCTTTCAAGTATTTGGGAATCACTTTTCAGCATGGGCTTAGCTGGTCAGCTCACCTAAATATGACCATCCTGGCTGCCCGTAGAACCATCAAAGCCTTGGAGAAATTCTTCTATGCAAAAGGCGGCCAGTTGGTTCCACCAATCAGAAAAGCATTTATTAGCAAAGTCCTCCCGATGTTACTGTATGGGGTTGAAATCTGGGGGTGGAATTTAAAAACACTTCAACGGCTGGAGATTCTACAAAACTCTTTTGTACGAAAGATACTGGGTCTCCCCAAGGGCTCGGTTGCTGCTCAGTTAAGAACAGAACTGGGCCTCCCCTCCATTGTTGCGAGAGCCCATATTAGAATTATTAGTTTTTATTGCAAATTAATCAATGCCCCAGGTTCCCTACTAGCCAGGCAAGCCTTTTTAACTTGTTCTCACTCCAACAAATGGTCCAAGGCCATGGAGACTATTACTGTACGCTACTCCCTCCCAGAATTCGACACGTTGTCATCTTGGGACCAACATAAAATCCGGGACTGGATTCTTATAAGAGATGAGGCCATGGACCGGGCACAGTCCACCTCAGCTCGCCTCTCCATGTGGCTCCCTAAAGTGAAAGTGGTAAGATCACTTGCCAACTACTTGATAGACCTGACGGAGCCCAATTTGAGAAGAGCGTTTACAATGGCCCGTTTTCATTCTATACCCACGGCCTTCTTGCAGGGGACCTACTCTAAGACCCCTATTACTCAGCGTCTATGTCCATGCACAATGAATGAAGTAGAGGACTTCATACATTTCTTTTTCTACTGCCCTATTTATGACCCAATAAGACCTAAGCTCCTCCTCTTGATCCCGTCCTCCATTTCATCTAAGGAAGACTGTCTGAAAGCACTTCTTGTGGACGCAAATCCCCAAATTTCACGTGGGGTGGCAATCTTCATAGTGCAGGCTCTGAAACTCAGGGCTACTCTGACAGGGTAGTGTGCCCTAGTCCTGGACCTGTTTAATTCTTTTATTACCTTTTTAACTCAATGTGCTGAGCCTATTTTGGGGCCATTTTATGCTTTATTTATATCCGCATACTAGTTTTTGGTGCTGGCAACCAAATCTTTGTATTATTGTCTTAGGGTGTTTTAAATGTCATTACGCCAGCAATATCGCTTTGAATTTTGCTTGGTTGCTTGTCCCCAACATTTTTTGTATTGTCTTATTTTGCTATGGCTGTATGCTAATGCAATTAAATTAAAATTGATACTGGGGGATTGGCAATCATAGATGGTGAGTGTTTTGCAGGCTGGGATAGTAAATAACTTCCGAAATTGGGTTGGCTCAGGAAAGAAGCTAAGGTATTTCAATTTTGTAAAGTAGTTTGATTTATTTTCCAAGTCAGTCTGATGTTGGCTGATGGGAAGTCGCCCATCACTACTCAGCACTCACTTTCCTGAAAATTCTTTACTGAAATTCACCTTTTAGCTCCTCTGCTACATCCTCTCTGTCACCAGCGTATTTCTCAAAGTTAGTACCTTATTTGCCATCCCTATTTTCTCCATCTGTCCTCTGTGAATGGCCGCATGCGAAAGCCAATGAAGTCTTCCCCCATGCACACAATAGCAATACCATTTGCACAATCACTGCATATTTGTCAAGCATTTTTTCCCCAAGGCTTTAGAGAAGTCCTGTGGCAACAATATTGAGGCTGGTGCATTGCTTGCCTGTAAAACTGTTGTGTTTTAACCTAAGGGCCAAGGGGCAGCTCTAAGGTTCAACAACATTATCAGCACGGATAATCTGATTTTAAGCAGCTGCCTGTGAATTGAGAATTCTAGTACTCTCCTGGCCTTTGATAGTTGTGTGAAGCAGTCCTGTAACTACACCAAGCCCCTATTTTTTACTCAAGTTGTACTGATGGAGGCTGGGCCCCATAGTACTTATCATTTTCACCTTTTGATTGCTTGCTTGCTTGTGGTGTTTCAAAGGAGGTCGGGGTGATTAACATGGCTTCTCCCTCACTCCCCTCCTAATACATCACGTTTGCATTCTGAACCAACACTATGGAATCTTGGTACTTAATAAATATTAACTAGTAGCAGTAGCAAGAGTGTTGTGAAACCCTTGCTTCCTGCAGCATTACAGTGGTATCTTGGTTCTCAAACGGCTTGGCTCCCAAACAAATCGGATCCCGAACGCCACAAACCCGGAAGTGAGTGTTCCAGTTTGCAAACGTTTTTTGGAAGCTGAACATCCAACGCAGCTTCTGCAGCTTCCAGTTGAGTGCAGGAAGCTCCTGCAGCCAATTGGAAGCCGTGCCTTGGTTTTCGAACGGTTCCGGGAGTCGAATGGACTCCAGGAACAGATAAAGTTTGACAACCAAGGTATAGGGTTGTATAGGGATAGCTCAGTCAGTAGAGCACGAGACTCTTAATCTCAGGGTCATGCCTTCAAGGTCCACATTGGGTGAAATAGTCCTGTACTGCAGGGGTTGGAATAGATTAGGGTTGCCTTACGTCCAGGAAATCCCAGACATGTCCTCTTTTGGGGGGCTTACACACCCATCTGGGGGATGTTTACATTTATAGCAAGTGTCTGGGGTTTGGGGGGTTCAGTTTTGGGGAGTGCAGGCAGCTCAGGCGTGGGTGGCTCAGGCTGCTTTGCATGCCGTGGCTGCTGCCAGCTCAAGCCAGGGAAAGATGGCATGGGTGCTCTGCACACTGCAGCCACTGCCAGCCCGAGCCGGGGAGAGAAATGCATGGCAGCCCCGCACATCCGCGCATCTGCCTGCCTCTTTCCCTGGCTTGGGCTGGCAGTCGCTCGGGCTGTGCTCTTTTTTGCTCTTCAGGATATGACAGCCCTAGACTAAATGATCCTCGTGGTCCCTTCCAACTCTGTAATTCAACTTCAAGCACATTGAGTAATGATGCTGTGAGACTCTGAATGGGAAGAGAAGGACTAAAAATGTGATTCTCTTTGACAGGCATGCATGCACACACACTTGAAAAGTCTGACCTTATTTGTATCAGGTGTAGTTCCTTTTGACCTGGCCCTGACTTAAGGTGAGATTTGAACCCTGTGCCCACCACCATCCAATTATTCCTGATCATTTGCATGGTGGGGGTGGGGGGATTAATGGGAATCAGACAGGTCTCACTTTCATATTGGAGAGACGCTGCAAGGCCTCTTGTTTTATGGGAAATAGCACCTGTGTAGAGCTTGCAGCTTTTGTAGTTATATGTTCCATAATGTCTGGGAGGAGGTGATACTCCATTCACCATTTCCAACTAAGGGGAAGCCTTGCAGGGCCTCCATTGATAATTTTTCTTCGTTTTTATTTGTATTTTGAATTGCTTTCAGTTGTATGCTATGTAATTCTGTTTCATTCACCTTTGTATATTTTGTTTACTTATTTTTTGTTGCTTCTCTCCCTTGTTATCTATTTGTGTTAAATGTGTGATATGTAAAGGCTGCAACATTCATTGAATTAGCCTATTAATCAATTTAGAACATTTTGCTTGACTAAAGGTGCCTCTAATTAATCAGGCCACAGGTTGTTTCTTTATAAAAAAAAGTATTTTTAATGCACACAGTTAGAAAAACCGCAGTGTGCCAGTTTAGAAAGGAGGCACTCCTTTTCTACCATGCGGCAACGTTTTTGCTGCTGTCTAAAAGCAAGACTTTTACAAGCACAATTGTATTATCATATGCAAATTTATGCACAAAAGAATTGACTAAATCTTACAGGATTAATCAACTACATTTTTTATTGAATGGCAGCCCTAGAAATAAGATTATGAGAAATAAAGTGATTTTTAATAAATGTAGAAATTGCTTTTTCTTATTACTCATGACAGATATGAGTCTTACAAAAACCTGAGGAGTAGGGGTGGTCACTCTAGGCTGATATGGTCAGAGTTGTGGTCACAGGAAACTGCTTCCCTTCACAGATGCACAAAGCTCAGTGTCTTACAGCTGTAGAAGCACAACTACGCAGAGACCCAGGGTCACTAACATTACACAACAGAACAGTCGGTAGTTACAGGTTGGCAACAGGGTGCTCATGAAAACACCCCTTGCATGTTGAGGAGAAAGTGGGATTGTGCTGGCTGGGCCATGCCTCTCTGATGGTTGTGAGTTCAGGCTCAGTGGTAAAGGGCCCTGCATGTGTAAGAATGTACAGACGTATGGCTCCTCCAAAGGATGGGAAATCTTGATTGGCCCGGGACTTCCAGGAGTCCATGGAGGAATGTTGAGTTTATAATGCCCACTAAGGCTGAGCTTATGACCATGCGCTGCAGGGAGGGCATATCTGGCTGATGCAAAGGGCCATGGCTGGACGATGCAATTCCCATGTCCCCTCATATTGTGGAAAGGGATTGTGTGTATTCCCTCCCCAAATACTGTAAGTATAAGCAAGGAACCATGCAACATTAATCCAGATTGTGTCAGGCTTAATTTAAATAAATGTGCTTATTCTTTTTAAGAAAAATAGGAAATACAGATCAACAAGGGAGGGTAAAGGTGCCTTTCAGAGAAAAAAGAAGCTAAAAAGAAAATATCAAACTAAGGAAGACCAGACCACTATCCATGCTGAGCTAAGAAAAAGAAGAGCAAAACCCACGGTTGAAGCATGTACAGACCACACCTACTGACTTTAGAAGGCCTCTGCTATGGCATAGACCCAGCTATAGTCAAGCTTTGTGTGACTAATGGGCCAGGTGTGTGCTTGCATCCCTCCATATCAGAAGCATCCATTAGACTCAATGGAAAGCAGTTCACATCTCCATCTGGACTGACCATCTGCGTGACCGACGTGTTCAGCTCTCTTGCAGGATTTGAGAAATAGAGGAACTCAATCTCTTAGCCTATTAATACAGTGGTACCTCTAGTTATGAACTTATTTCGTTCTGGAGGTCCATTCTTAACCTGAAACTGTTCTTAACTAGAGGCATGCTTTCGCTAATGCGGCCTCTTGCTGCCACTGCGCCGCCAGCACATGATTTCCGTTCTCATCCTGGGGCAAAGTTCTCAACTCGAGGTAATTCTTCCAGGTTAGCAGAGGTTAGTAACCTGAAGCATTTGTAACCTGAGGCGTTTGTAACTCGAGGTACCACTGTACTTGACTTTACCTTTCACTTTAATGCCACATTTAAAATGCTCTAGTGCAATATTAATCCGGAATGATACAATGAATTATTGGTTGTAGCCACCTATTTATTTCAAATAATTGAGAGGTAGCATAGAGCAATGTTTGTTCATTTACCACCCTTTTAAAGTTCAATACATTTTATATAATTTCATTCATCTGTATGTCAGAGGCTGTTTCTATATGTATTTATTTTTTAAGCTGGAGAACTGATCATACTATGTTGACATTTGTCAAGGTTATTCACTGTATACAGCTTGAGCCTTTCCAAAAGTGTTGTTACAAATATTTAATGATTTGGTTCCCAAAATGGCAATGTCTTCTTGGTGGTTCTACAAGTGGATTTCATTTCCCCCCAGTCAAATGGCACTTTTTCCTGGCAATGCCACTGCAGAAGGGAGGGCCCACCTGGTGCTGCTTGAAAAAGATTTGGCAGACACAACTTTTCTATCAGGAAGTCTTCTGAAGTTCTGCCACTCATGCTAGAATCCATTCTGGATTCTGGATGTCCTGTTCCACCAGTTACTTAATTGGCTTTGTCAGCTCTGATACTGTGGGCTTACAGCCCACAGATGCAAGAGGCTTCAGTATTTGTGTGGAGTAGGTTTCCCTGAAGATGTAGACCATATATTTGCTGAGGCATTTTGTACTGACAAGATGTGATGAATGATATTGTGCCCCCATGGAACATGATTCGGTACAAGTGCAACATAGCATCCAGGCAGCCTTCCAGCTTTGCAACAAAACTCACCAATTCCAAATCCCTATTTTTGGTGGCTTAGTTTTGCTGCAACCAGAGATGTAAATCACAGCCAGGGTGCTGTAGTTCTTATTGTGTTGGGTTATACCTACAGACACCTGGGATCAAATCCCTGCTTGGCAAGAAAACTTAGTGTGTGATTTTGGACCAGGCAGTCTCCCAACAATACAGGCTTTTTGTGAGCTTGGAGGAGGAGGGAAGAGAACCATGTATGTCTGAAAAAAGGCCTTGGGGAAAGCACACTTCTACAAATAGGAGAGAGCATGGTGAAGCCCAGAGAAGTGAACACCACTCTGAAAACCTGAATGGACTGCTTATTAAGACGGTCAAACTAGGGCTCGGGAGACCCCACTGT